TGTATAATTAGATGTCATTATGGACTGCATTAGCACCTTGATATTGTACAGTTTATAACCTAATGTATGCACAATACCCTCAAAGATTCCCCACTGACTTCTTGAATTAACTTAACCGCAATTTTTCACTGGAGAAAATGGGTAACAACGCAGTTATCATGATTCAATCGATTGCAATTCTTGATCAGCTATAAAGGTAATTTTCGCTTGATGAGTACAAGATGGTCAAGGAAGAACGTAAGGCATTCAATAATGGATGGCTGTAGCTATAAGAATTATATCGCAACGAATGAACCACATGATGAATTCATTCGACATTTTTTGGATACGATTAATGAAGAGTAAAAAAAGATCGATTTGATCGTCACTGGGTTGGGTTGTCTTATTGCAAGAAGTTGAAAAAAATCATTTCAAATACTTGTCCGTGATTATTCTATGTTTCAAAATGATTCTTTCCGCATACGGACGATTTTGTCATATCCTTTAACGCAGTTTTGCTTTGTAGTATTGTTAATTTGATGGCAACGTGGTTAAAAATTTGTATCATGCCTTTAAGTCGATGTTCAATGCAAAGAAATACTAGTAAACTATTTTGATCTCGTGTTTACTTGTGTGTTTTTTACCACCTGCTAGCATAAAAAACGAGCATAGATTGATCCAATATTGCAGTAGAACGATAGCTGATTACATTTACACCATCAAAGCTACAATAGAATCTGTATTCCCCTGTTCAATCCCCTTAACTTATTAATAACACGTTTTCTATAAATATTCATTTTTGAACCCTTGATTGTCATTTCACACTTTATATTCTTGTCTTCATTTTCTTGTCTAGCTTGGAAGACAATTATTCTCCAATGGTAAGTCGAATATTCTCATCGTTATTATCACTACACTGCTCATATTAATCGCGTTAAGCATTCTTCAAATCTTAATAAACTCTCTTAGTTGTTACTCATACACAATACTTGAACATACATGTCATAAACTTCACGTTTATGATTTAAAATGTTATACTTAGTATCATTGCTAATCGAAATCAATAAGTAATGTACGGTCTCATAAAGCTACTTCAAATACTCTTTCTTAATAAGTAATGTTGTTCTTAGTAAACTATGGGAGTTTGATTTCTTTGACAATACTGTTGCTTGTGTCTTCTGTTTATCAAATAGGAATTTCCACCTAAAAAGGCAAAGTCATCTCCAATAGGTAAGTACGGTGTTACTGTTGATGGTGTCTGTGCACAGTAGAGCGCTACGAGTCCTACGACATTTGCCGTTGCCTTTCCAAATTGATATTTAATCAATTACACAATCCATCGTGTTGTAGTACTAGCTACACAAATATTAAATTAGTGTAAAGGGTGTTTGGAGAGTGTTGAGAAAGTTCTTATAACTAGGCTGAATTATCCCCCAAAAATTTAGTATACGAATTATGCTTTTTTCGGTGATAAAGATAACCGTACATGACTTTGAAATGATCCCCAATTCTTTTTTTGGTGCTACAGTAACTGCACTTTATTAACACTACTGCTATTTAGTCATAGTTTGCAATTCGCAATCACAACGTGCTTGACCTTTTTTCCTTCAGTAGCACAGAAAGACCATCACACGGGATGAAGGAAATAACAGTTCAATTTTATGCACTAATGCATGCTCTAGCATTAGTAAAATTAAGCTAAAAATTGCTGGGAAGAAGCTCAATGTAGATATGAAAGAGCAGACTGCTTTACTGTTTGAAATATTATCTCTGATTAGGTTAAATCACCATAGGTAGTTTTATATTATATTATATTTTACCCTAACCGAGTAGTAAAAGAAAAACTGACAGACGTACGGTACATAAAAAGAGTCCATTTACTGTAGCCCAGTCCTAGACCGACGTTAAAGATCGATGTGAAATTGACATGATCAACATTTAGTAAAAGTAATTAACCAGACTAAATTCTCCATCATGATTTTAATTGCCAACTTTTGCGTTGTTCAGTAATTAATAACCAATTAGTCAGAAATTGTTCATTATTAGAAATGAAAGCTTTTACAGGCTGTCATTACAGCATAATAATACCATGTTACCATTATTTACATCGTAAATCAATTTAAAACACTTAATGATCACATATGTAGAAAGATATGGCTGTAAAGAAGTACTTTCAATGTGCGAAAACGTTCGACCCAGGGCATTTTTAAATTTCACACCTACTTCTGTACGCTCTCTCATCTGTATCATTTCAGAATAGTTTAATAAGTCCCAAATGAGTACAGTGCAGGCTTCATGTTGTCGAGAAATAGCCACGTGTACTGACGGCATCATCATCCACCTGCGTTGGTAGTAAAGTAGTTAGTTCTCATAAAATCATACTACGAGTAACTACTCCTGCTAAAGACGTCAAAATTGTGACTTCTCCATGTTGTAAGTACTTTATAAATTTTTGCTAACTGCTCTTAAGCAGCGTAAGTACTCGTATACCTGTATCCGCGCGCGTATCTTGCAACGCAAGTAGATTACAAATCTAGCATTAAATTCATCTTGAAAAATTTTCGGTGGTTCCTCGTTTATTTTTAACCCTTATTTAATAAATGAAAACTACAATATTGTACCATTTTGTTATCCTGTTAATGACTACTATATATAACATTCTATATAACCCTCATTTAATAAATGAAAACGACAGTACTTTACTATCTCGTTATTCTGTTAATGAACAACTACAAATAATATTTTGTATTCAGTATGCAGTTATAAATCTTACCTGCAGCGCCATTTGGCATACGTGTGTCTTCATTTATAATAAATTCTTTCATCAAATTTTAATCGTAGAAGGAATTTTTAGTGGTTTTGAAAAAGCTAAGGACTATCTTTCACAGTTTCTCCGAAACGCGATACTTAATTTTAGCCACAGGATAACGTATGTTATTCGAACCTTGATTGCAAGATAATTTCATATCAACGATACTTCTATATCGTTATGCTATTTCTAACTTTAACAATCATATTGTTTGTGTAGGGATACCTCTCCATCAATGTCTAATAATAGTGACAATAGTTTAGATAGTTTACAGGTAATGAATCATTCCAGGCTTAAAAAATATGTAGCTAATAATAGTGATCTTTAGCACAAATTTATTTCAATATGTAGTTTATAGTACTACTGTACTGATAATCGCGTTATTATTGATCTATAAATTGTTTCAAGACTCCTCCAAAGCGAAGACAAGCTAAAGCTAGTATTGGTACGTAATATTCAAATCTCTATGTAAAGCAAGCAATTGTACAACGTACTGCTTCTACACAGTACATTATGCTACAAGAAATCTTGCGCACGCTTTTATTTTTTACATGACAGCCGTCATTTTAGATATAGTTGGAATCTTATTACAACTTTGTTGCTAATTCTATTGTTGATTTTTAACAATAAAACAGAACACGACAGTAATGGAATGAAAGAAGACGGTAGAAACATTTATCACCGTCCGCCATTAAATTCATCGCCTAAAATGATACAAAGCAAACCCATGAAAAAGCAGCAATCGACCCGAATTGGCCGTGAAGTATTTAAACAAAGTCACGAGGTGACATTTTGAAAGGAATAAAATAGAATATTTACAACTCAGGACTATGCGTATATCATTTATGATCGCCTGCTTTGAATAATCTGATGATACAATTCATCTGTTAGGAAGCATTTGAAGAATGTTTCATTTGCAAGGACAATTCGGACAATACAAATGCCCCGCTTCGTCCAAACTCTGTACTGGCACTTAATCCTGCATTGTCTTTTATAGACGATAGATCACCAAAGACTATAGACAATGTAACTGCTATATTTATTAATTTGAAATTTGCCAAGGGTCAGTTAAACTGAAAAACAATTACGATATGACACTTAGGTTATTCGAATAAAGGAGAAGAAAAAGTATGCTAAGCTCATACAGCTGCATACCAGTACGCCAATATCAAATGATGCTCAAAAATTTACGTCAACACGCAGATTAACGGAGAAATTAACGACTGGATATGAGGGAAACCATGAGCTTTCACCTCTTCACTCAGATGCGACAAATGAATCGATTAGGTATACCATTATAAAATAATTATTGTATACCTTTAAATTGGATAACTTTCACACGATTGTAAAACGAAATTCTCTATTGTCTTTCCAGTATTCACTTGTCTAATAAGCAGATTAACGATCATAAGATTACAAATGATCACTCTTCTGGCCCAATGGACGACTCATTTAAATCAGCAGGTAATTTTAATTATACTGATTAGTAGATTAACTAGGTACGAGTTGGCATTATGTATTTACTCCTGATAAACTTTAGATGATGCCGTCCTTGGTGTTAGTCTTAAGTCACGAAAACCTGGGTAATTACTGCAATATCTTGTAATTATACTTTTGGAAAATACTTCCGCTAACAAGTGGACGTTTTTTTGTTAGTAATCTGGATCGTTCATCAAGAAAAATTTCAGGAAGTACTTACGATCTCGAATGGTTAAATAAATGGTATATATTATGTTCATTTTAGAGCCTTTATTTGGTATGTCAGAGTTGATGTTGTACTGTATGGTCAATTTCTAGGAAAGAAAAAACTAAAGAAGAAATTAAAATTCGTAAAGAAATTGAAAGGGAATCGGGCAACTTAAAGAACATTGATGTGATGGTAATTGACGATTATTTAGTAGAATCGATTTTAATGAAGAGCTAATATCATATTACTGTGTTTCTATATAGAAGGAGAAATCGATCGATAAATTAATACAAGAGGTCAGTGACGTTTTTGATAGACTATTGCAATCATGCTACGGTCCATATAGCTTTACTCTCTATTTACAGATTGATATTATAAAGGATGAAAAGAAAATAGAACCCGCGAATCTTTTTCCAACTTTGGACAACTGCATGAAAGAAGCTGTGAGTTATATTTTAGTAAACTTCCACCTTCAAAGATATTACTTTAAGATTGTAAACCCTTTAAGGCTGTTTCTATTTTTTTCAGATCAATTCCGCCTTACATGGAGGACCTAATAACAAAGTATTATCGGAAGAGTTTAATATAACGATTACACGATCAGATATTAAAACATTATCGAATTGTAATTGGCTAAATGATGAGGTTTGTAAATAGCTACTGCATCATTCAAGTTAGCTGCATTACTACAAACTTAGATATAACAAGAATTGTTTACACAAGGCAAGAGATTGGGTAAATGGCCAACAAATGGTACATATCTTTTACGTTTTAATTATTTAATTCTGTCTTGTAGGTTATCAACTTTTATTTTAATTTAATTTCAAGAAGAAGTCAAAATGAAAAGGTATTTTTAGAATATTTTAAACCGTATATTAATTGTAAGCGGATTTTGATGAACATTATTGTTTGGTTTATTTATGAAGTCACTGCCCAAGGTACATGTCTTCAATACATTTTTTTATCCGAAACTATCAAGCCAAGGATATTCTAGCGTTAGACGATGGACGAAAAAGGTTTAAATTTTATTGCATTGATCACCACATTCGATACAGATTTAAACTGTATGCATGTTTAGTACAAGATTGAATCCAATTTTTTTCGTTACTAATAAATAGTTCAATTTAATTCGATCGCGTGTAACCTATCATGTAGGTGGATATATTTCAATTTGATCTATTGTTAATACCTATACATCTGGGAGTTCATTGGTGTTTAGCGGTACGAATGACAAAGAGTATTATTTTGCGTATATTCAGCACGAAATTTTACCTTACCGTGAATTATTTCTGTTTCTACTGTAGACAATTGATTTTCGTAAGAAGGAAGTGAAATATTATGATTCCATGCTTGGGAGTAATTATAAATGCGTCGATACGCTGTTGTAAGTGCCTTGGAATTTAACGTAGACTTAGCTTATTGCTATCTTCCATACAATATTGCTAATATTTTTAGAGAGTATATCGGTAAAGAATCCAAAGATAAAAGGCAAAAAGAATATGACGTATCAGAATGGAACAGCATAATGGTTAAGGTACTATAATTGACTACGATTATATTATATAGTTTGACATTTTTAATTTTTTTTAATGCAAATACTTTGCATCTCTTCTTTAGGACGTGCCACAGCAAATGAATGGATCCGACTGTGGTGTCTTTGCTTGCAAGGTAGCCTTAATAAGTTGTCAGCTTTTCGAGTGTGATATCTATTACTTGTTATGTAAAAAACGAAAAGCTATAAGTACTGTAAGGTTTTCGTTGTTGATAATGCTGCATTTTATTAGTTTGCAGATTGCGTTTCTCGTGACCTCCCTTTGGCTTTCGAGCAGGTTAGTTCTCTTTAGCGAAAGATACATGACTATATACTGTACTATCTCTCTTTATATCTATTGTAACCAGGAGATCACTTCTATGTCTAATTTTTTTATAGGAAAATATGCCATACTTCAGACATTTATTGATTTATGAGATTGTACATAAAAGGCTTCTGTGAAGATTGCTTCCTATCGAACTAAATTTTATTTGACAGATATTTTGTTGACTAATGTAAATTTCAATAATTTGGGTTTCAACGCAAACTGCAAAGGTTTTTACGACTTTCTGATTGGATTTACTGTAATTATTATACCTTATTGATTCTAAGTTGTCATTTGTGCGTGATTGGAATACATCGATTAATTCATTATATACATATATCTATATCTATATCTATTCAGTATATACTTCTCCTGCAGAAGTGGTGACGACTTGATTCCACAAATTTATTCCTATTTTAGGCTTCTATCTGAAATGAATTGATTTTTTTTATATGACAGTTCGATTCAAGTAGTTGTCATTGTAGGCAATAAAACATTTTCCGTATTTATTTTGGATCGATTTGTATTTAACCCTTAAGGTGCATGTATAACAGGGACTATGGTAGCCAGTGATGGATATCAATTGTCTATGTAGTAGAAGTTCATTACACATGAATGCGCGACGATTTTAGTCTTGATCAAAAGTAATCATAGAATTGCGATTGCAGGTTGCATCCATGCGTACGTAATAATGCAATGGCTAACAATTCTGGCAATATAGGAACCGTATGAGGTCACTCGTTAAGACACAGAAGTATGCACACTTTGCATAGTGTCAAAATTTGACGATATCTGTTGTCTTTGCTCAAGTACTCTACCGTACCTGTCATTATTTGCTAAGCATTGTTTACCAATTTGAATCCAATCCAATATCATGCAAACAAGATTCTTTCCATTGATGAAAGAGTATTGACAGTACGTATAAGCTAGTGGACTATCAATACTGTAAAGTCCAGTACAGTTTATACAGTAAATGGTGATATTCAAGGGAAGTATTGATGCTGGTTTAATTTCTTGAATGATTGAATTACTCCGTGAAGGTTGAACTTGATAGAGTCATTTACGCCTGTGAAAAGCGTGGAGCAAATTTTAATATTGTACCGTATCCTGGACGCCTTGAACTACATACCCGTATACGTCTAATCGATTGCTCGCAAAAATGCTCAGAACCGGAACTGATCCATGAACAGATTGGTGATTGAATAAGTATTATTGTATCAACACTGACATTGTTGTTTTTATCCATGATTTAGCAATGTGCTTTATGAATGGGTCCCTTGGTGTTGAAATGTTATGCATGGATGAGACACTAATCAACTCTAGACCATTAGCTGGTTTATTGACCGTAAGCTCAATTGCCATGAAATGACTTTGGGTCATTATTGAGATTTGTTGAAAGACAATTTAGCCGAGTGTATCAATGTCTAAAGATTGCTTCATTCTGGTCGTAGGATCAAGTTGTCCTTTTAGCTTGACCCTAACCCTAACATTAGCAGGGTGTGTGGAAAGTCATTTGATATTTAAAGTGCCATTTAAATGACAGACGTTGGCAAATTGGCCACTATTTTTGGATATTTCTTTGTATACTAATGTTAGGGAATAATTTGGATATGGATTTTCCTCCTTACTGGATAGATCATCCTCCTGACTCGTCATACGATCTGTTGATCGAGCACTATGGCGAATGAATGAATGATTGAGTGGGATAACCACTTAACCAGTAGTTGAAGCCGTCAGTATTAAGCTGTTGCAGACCAAGATGTCATGCGATCGTCAACGGCCGAGACGCAATTTGATTGGTTGGCTATCAATCACCTTACAAGATGGCACATGCGTAGTCTCTTTCTTGGAAGAACAGTTCACCACCTCACTCCATTGACATCACGTCCACTGTAACCTTTACTACAGTACTCGACTGTACGTACTGTGGTCTGCAGTACTTTGCACTGTACCCTAGCTGCTTTAAGGCTTGTACGATACGACACAGAATGCCCACGGCTGGCTGATAGTCTACAGTATAGTACTGTACTGCAATACCGTACAGGGTACTGTACGGCACCCATCCAATCCAATGGTTACACCACTGATCACCTGACTAAAAGAATGGATGCCCTGTTTGATTACCGTATCACTCTTTCCAACAATTTTTCCAACGAGTATCAGCAGATCAATCAGATGTTACTGACTTGGACACTACCATAGCGACCATTAGGATCGAATAGTTGGCATACTGCAATCACAGTCTGCCTTGACACCGATGTCAACACGCTCTAGTCTACTCGGTTTCTACTCCATATATCAACCTTCAAGGCAAAATCAATCAATCCATTTTACTTGGCTTTTTAGCTTGAATTGAATACTTTGATTGGCAAAAGGATCAAATTACGTAAGTGAAACGCTGTCGAAATTTCTTTATGGAAGAGCTTGCAGTGGATACTTTACATATACAGTACTGTATGCCTTGCGTTGATTTTGAATATAATAATAATGCTGTACGATATTGCAACAGAAATTGAAGATTCACTAGCCTACAACAGCTGGAAAAATCAAACTTAGTCCATAGACCTACAGTAGTGTAGCTCTGGAATGATCATCTACCGTTTGTACAGTAGATACTTTGGTCAACGGAAGATTCTGATATGGACTGCACGTCACTTGTAGTGTAATAATCATAGAATAGAATTTGCTGTACTGTAATTGACATCAGCAGTAAGGCAAGTTTGTTATTGCTATCATGTTGGAAATACTTCCATTTCTAATTCTCATCAGTAGATAATTGCAATAAGTAACATGTAAACTGGACACTATCTTTGCTGTCATAACATTGGATATTACTTACTATTCATTGTGGTATAGGCTCGTTAGAGAGTCATCAGCGTAATAGAAAACATTGTCAAATAACGAAAACGAAATCTGGTCAACGCTTACTGTCTTTATGCACAATCATGACCAACGTCAAATCACTTCGTTCGGCACTAGTTCCTTGGCTTCGAATAGTCATTGCCTTGTTTTTCATTGGTGTCATATTCGCTCTTGTACTGAATGTCTTACAAGTTCAACGTAATGTAGCCGCTTTTTCGCGAGACGTCCTGTCAGGCCTCGCTTTGTTTGGCCTATCAATGTCTACTTGGTGGATGCTGCCATCATATGGTACTGGTGCTGTATTGATTGGATTGGCATTTCCTTGTGCAGATCATCATTTAGGTGAATCTCCTAAAATCAAGAACGAGTGGACAAGTATAATGCGTTGTACTGCTTTATGGATAGGAATTAATCACGCTGCCGCTGTAAGTTGAATCTGCCGTATAGGTTATGCCGTTCTCTTTCCTAGTGTCCTCTTTACTTCTGATGCTTTTTTTCGACATACAGTCATTCATGTACTTCTTCTGCTAGTAGTAAGACACAAGTTTGAAAACCTTTGCCACGACTAATCGCTTAGTATTATTACAGTGTTTTACTAGCATGTTATTGTTGAATATCAACAGGATTGTAATTTCACGATCAGAATAATGATGTTGTTAGTCCGCATCATCATCTCAAGTAATACAATCAGAATAATGATGTCATGAGTCAACATCATCATTTCAAGTTTTACGATCAAAATGATGATGATATTAGTCAACATCAACGTCTCAAGTTATACGATCAGAAATGATGATGTCATTAGTCAGCATCATCATCTCCAGTTAGACGATCAGAATGATGTTATTAGTCAACATCATCATCTCAAGTTATGCGATCAGAATGATGATGTTATTAGTCAACATCATCATCTCAAGTTGTACTACAACATTTCGATTTTGATTGATCCATGATCAATATACACGTCATCATGATGGAAGAGACGTTTTATTCAATTGCTTGATCATTATTATACTACACAAGAATGCTATGTAGTGTTCATGGACTAGTACAAACTGCGATTGTTTTTGTGTTTTGACGCAAATAGTTGAGTCTCTGTTCCCAACCTAATCGATGAAAATGTTGAATTAATGAAGGGTTAAATAGCGTCGTGGAAGGGCAGTTTACACTAAAGCGATCCACTACATGTTATTATGCTATTGTAGCGTATATCTACGCTTCTAAATGATCTTTTCAACTCTCGCTATGGGAGTGTAGGTAATGTACGGAACAGTACACTGTTTGATACTGCAATACCGTAGGTGAATCCTTTATGACGCAAAGTCCGCACCCACTATCACGTGAGTGCAGTGCGGTCTTGCGCTAATTTGCATCAACTTCTACTAAAATAACTATATTTGTGATCTACGGAATATAGTCGAAATGGTTGTACTAAAATATTCTCGTGATCTACGGAATATAGTCGAAATGGTTGTACTAAAATATTCTCGTGATCTACGGAATATAGTCGAAATGGTTGTACTAAAATATTCTCGTGATCTACGGAATATAGTCGAAATGGTTGTACTAAAATATTCTCGTGATCTACGGAATATAGTCGAAATAGTTCTACTAAAATATTCTCTTGATCTACGGAATATAATCGAAATGGTTGTACTAAAATATTCTCGTGATCTACGGAATATAGTCGAAATAGTTGTACTAAAATATTCTCGTGATCTACGGAATATGGTCGAAATGGCTGTTGAACTAAATTCTTTCGACACAGTTTCATCTAATGTTATGTTATACGTTAACTAGAAGTAACTTGTCTTACCTGCAAGTTTCAGTCAGTTATGCCCTAATTGACGGTGTTACAGCACAAGCAAATCAACAGGCACACTAATGTAAACTTCATGATTGGTGTTCTTCTCACATATTACAGTGTCAGGACACAGTGGATACCGCTCTACGCGTATATTGAATATGCGACAAAAAACATTCACAATATGATACTGTACATTATACAGTATATACAAATTTGGATGCCTGCATATTGACAGTAACTATATTGCTCAATGACCCTGTATCAATACAATAATATAATACACTGCTCGGTGCACCTTTTCCGTTATCGTAGTTTTTACACATCTGTCGATTTGCAATTCATTTCTATTGTACAAGAATGTCAACACCTTAAAGTTAATCTCGCAAATGGACGTGTATTTTTAATGTGCTCGTTGATTCTTTCCCATATAGACACTTAATTTTTCAACACCTGCTCAGCTAACATTCTGGGTATCGGCAATGTCACTTTGTTTGTGGTGGTTATACGATCGCACTCGAACTGGTCTTTTCTTGGCCATGCTATCGGCTGTTGTTGCTACGGGCTTTAATCAAATTTTAGTCTCAAATGGTGTCTTTAGGTAATTGTCACTCTATCAACATTTACTATTACTAGCATTGGCTAAAAGCATGCAAAATGCGTTGCTCTATAGTAAGCTAACGAAGTGTAAATTTTCGCCTTTTATCAGTTACAATGAGCCAGATTTGTTATCTGTCAAGTCTTGGCTACCGTCGATTTATTTCTCAGGTGGACTTACAATTGGAAATATTGGGAGACAACTTGTTGTGGTAAGATTATCTGTTGACATTGATGTATACGTACGATTAAAATGCTAAAATTTCCAACTGCTATCGAGATTGCTAATGAACATCTTTTTTTCCTTTGCAGTATGAAGATTTATACAAGCCTCATCAAGATTAAACTTGAATTAAATCTCAAATTGTATCATAGCTCATTTTTGTAAAGTGACTTGCTTATACTCTATATTGTCCTGGACTGGACATAAGACTCCTACTAAAATCTTTGTAATAATGCGGAGAAAATGGCCGTATTATATTGACTGTAAATGAACTTTTACTGATATCATTCTAGTCCATGCAGTGCATGCCTAGCAATGCAAATGTAGCGTTTCACTACTAAATCCTGTATTATTTGCGGTACATTGTGTAATAATGTAATCATTTTTGTACGTATTAATTTGTAAGAATCAGTAATATTTATTTTATTACTATGGTATCTACCAATATTAGCATGTAATAAAGTACGCTTATTCATATTTCAATACACAATTTCTTCTAGTGCTGTTTTTACTCACTGATTATCATGATGTGCATAAACGACCAGTAGTCACGCATGCAGAGCACACATCCGTTTTAGTTGTTCATAAAATCAGTCGTAGAACGTTTCGTTCTTTGAAATAGCAGCAATGTACTACACGAGTTTCATTGATTTCAAACTAACTTTATTGCATTTCTGATTGACGTGCTTGTACATATTTATTGTTTATAGCATCAATATTTTATTCATTGTACAAACAGTTTACGGCAACAAACTGACTAATAGGTACAATTAGTATTGATTAATGACAGAATGGGTCCTTCACCCCACCCTACTCTGTGCAATTCAATTTGTCAGGCTGTCTGCAGTAATCACGCCTCAAGAAATGTCAGTAACGTACCAAAAACGATCTTGGTAATTACGAATTGTCTTGTACCTCCAATGTCGGCTTTCACCACTGCCTATAGCAATATAGAATACATTCCAAGCATATAGATATTAATCACCTACGCCTAACAAGTACCTATTTTCGAACTCCAGCTACACAGTACATTGATACGCACATGACATACAGAAATAACGTATTCAAATTTGTCAAGAGTAGTCCAAGAGCAACTGCATCATCGCAAGCTAGTAAATACGGCACTATACAGTATGTCTACGTGTACACTGTTGTAGCAAATCTCAGACATCCAAGGAATATGCCATCACAGGTTGTGTAGCTGGCAACTACCCAACCTCGGTTGGAAACTGCGAATTTCGGCAAATCTTCATCATCGATTTGCATCAGAAATGTACTGAACAGTGTACAATCAAAAGGCGTGATGCATTACTAAAATGATCTATGTCACGGTGTGCTTTTCTACATACCTCAATTCATGGTAACCATCTAACACAACAGCTGTTGGAATTCACTTGCTTCAATGTTTCTTTACGCATGACTATTTGTGGAAAGGCTGATCCTAAAGAGTACGGGTAGTAATAAAATGACCTAGTTTAGTTGATCAGCAAGTACCAGAAATGTGAACAAATAATAGGATTCAATATCATTGGATAATTTGGGATCAGTAGTCACTGGCTTAAAATTAAAGTGAAAACGTCGTCATATATCGATAAGAAGGGGAAAAAAGGTATAGTCATCATTTACCCAAAAATCGGTTGCACTATCGAGTTTTACATGCTACTGTATTGACACTTACACTGCCTATCCAAGCATGTTAAGATCACAGCCGACAAAGACGCTACTTTAATAACGTAGTCGGTCGACGCAAAGAGTTGGAAGATGCATGCATCCATCATTCACCCTTGCAAGGCCATGGCACGTTTTTTGTCATGGAAAATTGCGTTTAGCTCTTGTCTCATAGACCATTATCTTTCATCTTTGGTGGACCGCTGCAGCGAAAGCTTTCTCCATCATGACGATAGCATTACCTAGGTAAGAACAGAAATAATTTGCTATTTAATTGAAGCATGACTGGAAGCAAGCTATTTGGATATTGCCTTTTAAGGTCAAGGCATTGATGGAATCAGAATTTGTTGCATGTCGTCATAACATAGTCTGATGGGGAATCACATACAACATCATCATATCAGAAGAGAACATGACATGGTACAGATAGCATGCTCCACTAGCAGAGATCGCTACGAATGACGCTGCAAGCATGACGATGAAAAAGACAAAAACTGAAGCGTCATGGACCTCCGAGGAGAGGCATGACTGGTCAGCATTTCAAGACTTTTTTCAAGGTGGAAAAGACGTCTCCTACTGTCTACTTCTGCAGCTTCTACTAGGTTGACTGTCGAGGAAATCTACTTACCATTGGCTAGTCCTACAGGCCCATTTCTTCTCTACCATGGCGTTTTCTTTTTCTTTTTGCCACATTTGCCTCAATCCAGGAAAAACGAAACGAAGAGGAGCGCAACAAGATAGACTGATTAGAGAGCCACGTGCGCGGAGAAGTGAACTGCCAAGAGGCTGGTTGCAATATTTAAAGCTTTTGCTGTTCCGTGACGTACCGTACCGTAGCATGGCAAGCAGTGTACAGTACTGTACTGTACAGTACTATACTGTACAGTACAGTACTATCAAGTCATGCACTGCTCGTGTGGTGGATCCTAACCCTAAGCCTGACGCTCTATGTACTGTACACTGTACAGTACATTGTACAGTACAGTACAGTACTGTACTGTACTTGTAAGTCATCACAGTTATTACAGTACAGTACAGTTGTACAGTACTCTACGTACTGTACAGTCCATAATACTACAGTATACTACAGTACACTGTACACTGTACACTGTACTGTAAATACCGACTACTGTACCCAGTTTAAAGCTTTGGCTGTGACGTGACGTACCGTACCGTAGCATGGCAATCAGTGTACTGTACACTCTGTATTACTGTACAGTACACTGTACAATACAGTAAGTCATCACAGTTACTACTGTACTGTACAGTACTGTACTCTACTGTACAGTCCATAATACTTACTACAGTACGCAGTACGCTGTGCACTGTACACTGTACACTGTACTGTAATTACCGACTACTGTGCCAACATGAAATTTATCGAGTCCTCCACAAGATATGCAAATAACTTGATACAATACCCTACTCGTATTGGCAATGTTTCATCCATTACCCTTGCAAACGTCAATCAACCATCACACGACGATGGCCACTTTGTTCCACACAGTTCGAGTCCGTAACCTCGGTCTGTCCTAGAGCGTCCATACCAACATCCAGTCGAGTGCTCCATCCATCAGCGAGTTGGAAGTCGATGACGCTACGACAGAAAGACCCAGCGGGGATGTTGAAAACATTGCTCTCTATTCCCTTTCCATGTCGTTGACAGAGTTAAGGAATTGCAATTTTCAAGAGGCAATTTATTTGCAGAATCAAAACTCTCCATCCTAAGTAGGATTTATTCCATTCTATGCTCCATTATTGACTGTTGTTGCTGCTACAGCTCTAATTGCAATTGCTTGTTGAATATTAGATCGTCGACAAGAAAAGTCAGGTAGGTCGATCGAGCGTGCTAACTCTTTCTCCACAGCGAGCTCGACGATTGCTAATGCAGCCATACAATCATTGCATAGACTTTAAGGATAGGATAGAGACGAGTAGATAGCAAATAAAGGAGATAGAAAAATGGCAAATTCATGTCTATTTCTTGATACAACATTGTCTATAGTAGTAGTGGTAGTATCATAATGACTGTCCATTTCAACCAGGTTGGCTGGATGGACACTGCAATAGAGCAATTGATGCATCCTAGTACTCAGCATTTCAAAATGGACGTATGTTATTCTAGGTTGGACTACCAAAGGTCTACAACATCATGGATGACCACGAACTCGATCCAATGGAAATAGGAGAAGATGATGTAAGAATAGGCATGATAGCATCAATTAAATGCATACTTAGCTTAACCACGCTGAATGTGGGCAAGAAATTACTGTACTATTGACTATTCGTCCACAATGGAATTCTCATCACGTACGTTATCACCGTAGTTGGTCATTTTTACCTTTCGATAGATGTTTGCGCCACCATTTTCCTACAACACTCTTCCATACAAGTATCGACGTACTGCATGGAAAGTGATAGAAGATATGTCCCTTTGCAATCATGTCCAGGCATAACAACATACGTTCTCACCTTCATGGATAGCGATCCAATGCATGTTGATCCTCTTCTACTGAGAGGAGAGAAATATCAATTGACAGGATACCTGCTGCCTTGTTGATAGTCCTTGATGACGCATTTTAGTTTAGTCCAAACCATGAGCACACGATAGATGTCACAATCTATCCCACTCACAAGATTCCCGAGGTGTATTTAGTGGATTGAAATTTGCAATAGCCTGCTACACACACACACACTCTATTTTGACCATCTTTAGTACTGTAATCAAAAGTCTTCTAATCCAATATTGGACAACGTGATGAGACAGAGTAGCAGCAATAAACCTAAGCATTATCCAATTTTATTAATGTACCTTTCTTGACAATAGGATCTCAGCAAATTTGCTATGCCGGTATTTGATGATACCGATGTGGATCCATCCAATGCTAAGGTCAAATCACCTACCAAAAAAACAGCCCATAAACTTGCTCATAAAACCAATTCCGGTAACCGACGTTCTCAGTCTGTTCATGATTCATCCCCATCTGAAAGATTGCTAGCACGATCTCGATCGGATCCAGGTGAAAAACCCAACTTAAGGGCCTATGTACCTTCGGATTTACAAAACATCGAAGATGATGAAATGGAAACAGAAGAAGTTAAGGTACTCTATATTTTCATCGTAGTAATTGTAGTTCAACTTGAATGCAACAACTCATACGAGCACATCTTGACCGCTATCCTTTTTTTTTCTTCTTTTCTGATCATTCCTAAAATAATGTTGACTTTTAAAGTTATACTAATGAAAGATAGCAGTCTTTTACAGTACAGAACAGTTTTTAGAAACTGGACTGTATGCTATCACTTAATGCTACATGCATCACAATTTCTGTAATAAAATCATAACTTTATTTGAATATGGGCATTCATCGATTAGTTCAGTGCACTTTTATCAACTTTCTCTCACTTTTCTATTTTCAAGAAAGACTGTGAAAATTGTAGTTGTCTTGTGAGAATGTTCACAAGTTATCACTAATACAATCGATTCAAATATCTAATGATTTTATTGGATAACTAATTTGCGCCAAAGTAGAATTACATTACCCTATTCTGTATCTTATTATCAGTTCTTACGGTGCTTTACTATCTGTATAAAAATGCGCAATTACCGAGTCAACACCAAGCTATATCATCAGTTTTATTTATTTTTTTATTTTATCAACTCGCTACAATAATGAATTGACCTACCTAGATCATTGATACGTTTTTTTTCTCATGGAAACTCTTATGAATTGCTTCTACCTCGTCAATATTTTTATATTATGATCACCTTGATGATTTTATTATCAACATGCGGCCGCCTCTTACACTTTGTTTTTACACTTAGAATTCTCGCACTCAAGTTGAAAGGATGATTTTACAAGGCAAGTCCTCAGATTATAAATTCTACTTAATTATTATCATCGTAAACACTATTTTACTCGCTATTGTATAGTATGCATAGTACAGTAATGTAGTAGCACGGTATTCAAGATAATTAATAATAAAAACTAACCAAAACGGTAAGAATGAATTAATTGTAAGTTAAATTAGACAATTGTTAATTATCGACAATTGCTCTACCTTTTATAACGTTCTAGAAGGATAACCTTAGTTGCATCACATTACAGTAACATCGGAGCATTTAATTTCTCATTCATTACTTATCTACCCCTACCTGCACTCTAAACTTGCATAAGAGAATTATTTCAACATGATAACCCTATTACTGATCCTAATAATTAATTAATCGTAATCAATATCTACCCAGCATGCCAATGATAGCTCAGAATGAATTCTTTTGTAGATTCGGAGGATGACAACTATATGAGATTTTTAAAATCTGTAAAATGCGAAGAACTCATTCCTCCTAGCTCCAAAATTGTAACCCTGGATACCAAGTTATCGGTAAGATATACAAATTTATATTGGACAGTACAGTATAATCACGCTTTATTAACTAAACTCAGAACTAACTGCAACTGAATCGATTACGTTTTTTGTATTAGATGAAAAAAGCTTTCTTTGCACTAGTCGCTAACGGTTAGTATGATCGTATGGACGATGTAGCTGTCTTAGCGAGCTTTGTTACTGCAATAAAATAATAATTTCTAAATACCTCATTTCAGTCGTATTCAAATAGACTGTTTCCTATTCCGTCTGGGTAGTAAAAAATTTTTACATATTTTAACTAATATCAATCTCAGTTTTTAGGCATTATACAATGCCGATTCATTTTAAAAATATTATATCAATTTACTAAATTCCTATAACAGGATAAAGACAACCGATCCCAAAAGTAATAAGGATAATTTTGTGTTGTATAATTTTATTTTTTATTCCTTGACTAGAAATACGATCTGCCCCTTTATGGTCATCATCAGAACAACGATTTGTTGGTATGGCTTGTAGTATTTTAGTATTGACAGTAGTGAACATAATCTGATTTCTAAGCTATAAAATGTTAATATTTTCGTTGTATACTTTGTAGGAATGTTGACAGTGACAGATTTCATCGAAATTTTACGCCATTATTATAAATCGCCTTTGGTATTAACCATAACGATAACTTACACTTTACAATAATAACAATTAATTTACTTTGTTATTATGATATCAGTGGCCAATTGAATCTGAAGTAGATCACTAGTATAAACTTGTTTTACCTTGTATTAGATTCAAATTACCGAACTAGAAGATCATAGGATTGAAACTTGGAAAAGTACGAATAGTAACTAGCAATTTTTTAATCTAGTGCATTAATAAAATGGAAAATCGTGACGAACGTAGCGAGTTCAGTACAGTAGTACTATTACTAACTAAACTATCTTTTTATCAGAATTAGCGACATCCAGTAAACATGCCAAATTAATTTCGATTGGACCATCTGCAAGGTATGCGGTATCAAAATATTAATTAACCTTTAATCTAAATCAAGGTTCTTTGAAAACTGATTAATTACAATTATAGATAACTGTTAAATTAAAGGAGTACAGTATATACTTATATTATTTATACCATAGCCGTGGTACAGTACTAATTATAAGTGAATCATTTTTTTCTAGTTTATATGAAGCTGTAAAATATCTTACTACCCATAAAATTCATCGATTACCAATAATTGACGAGACTACTGGTGCAGTTCTGTATATTATAACACATAAACGGCTTATTAGGTTTTTATACCTACACGTAAGTTAACGAAATAGGATTATATCGGTTATCAATCCCTAAATTAATATCTTTAACGTCGTTCTATGCTAAGAATCTAGAAATTTTAATCGCTCTATTGACTTCCCGTTATTCCTTCTAGTTTCCAGACATGGGATTTCCTTCATATATGAGTCAAACAGTAGAGGAACTTCGAATTGGAACGTATGAAAATGTTGCCATGGTAATTATGCCAGATGATTCATATAATATAAATATCTAAACTGTTAGCATGTTGCTTTTTGAATTTTTACTGGCTTGCAAGTATTGACCCTCAATATCACTGTCTATAATGTATCTGGTCAATGTAATTCAAACCTACACCATCAACCATTAGGTATCGCCAGATACACCTCTAATAGTGGCCCATAACATAATCATGGAGCGTAGAATTTCCGCACTTCCAATTGTCAATGAAGCAGGTCAAAAGTAACTAGGATTAATTATTTTACGCTTGATGTAATTTATAACTTGTTCTTCTATATTATTCCTTTATAGGTAAAGTCATGGACATTTATGCAAAATTTGATGCATTAGTAAGTAGCTTACACTGCATATTAATACTGGCGCTTCATAGAGTTAAATATAATTGTATACGGTATTCATCCTACAAGAGAATTGACTAGTTTCTCTTTAATATTTTATTTATGCTTAGAATTTAGCAGAGGGTCGCTCTTACAATAATCTGGATGTTACAGTCAGACAGGCCTTAGAGAAAAGATCGTCTGTAAGTAGATTCATGCATTTGTCAATAGCATATTATTTGATGAAGAAATTATAAAGGCCATTTGTAATTTCCTTTTCTTAGACTCTTGAGGGAGTTATTGTTTGCTATCCTAATGAAACCTTATCTGCGGTCATTAACAAACTAGTTGAGAAGCAGGTAATTTTTAAATAATATCTTATAGGTAGAATAATACAATTAGGTTGTCTTTAAGCTTATCTATAAGTTCTTACTGGATTTTTAGGTGCATCGTTTGATTGTCGTCGATAGTCAACAACATTGTATGGGTATAATCTCCTTATCAGATTTGATGAAATTCTTAGTTTTACGCTCATCGGGTACTAATTTCTTATGTTAGATTATGTTGAGGTGTTATAAGTTGGAAATCAAGATAGATATACAGTGCTGTTATAGCTTTTTAATCGGTAAACTTGTATTCCTTTTCAGATAACGTATTCTAGCCATTGGCAAAATCATACCATCTTGATATGAGTCATTTTAAAGTTCCATGATTGCTTAGAAAATAACCTTGGAAATCCAAAATTTATTTGACTTTTAAGCTTAACATTAGCTTATGGTATACCCTGTTTGTAAAAGTCTATAAAAAATGCCGCGATCTTGCATTTTGTTATAACTTCGGCCTGTACAGTGATAGATTTCGTTGTTTTGCAATTGCCTAAAACTAGCAAGTAATTACATAAGGAAAAGATCTTCTATTATTACCCACTAAAATTAAATCAACCACTAGATTGGAAATTGATGTTGATGCCGCTGCGGAAATAATTTTATAAACTGGAATGAATGATTGAAATAACTATGTGTTGTACTGACTAATTCCAATGATCATTGAAAATTCATTTTTTACATGGGAAGTGAACAGACTTTCTAATGTATTACCTCTGACGCTGATGTAATATATTCAGTAGTGCAACTGTAATTGGTTTATTTGACACCTGGCTTTTAAATTTATTGAATTATATTAAAGGTTTGAATTACTTACTTTGGTTATGATTGAAAATCATTTTGTAATTCATTGCCTATAACAATCATTCGATCTCCTCAACTTAGTATACCATATATATTAGGACACGCCTTTATTGAATGTTATTATTTGACCTCTTTGTTTCTTCTACCATTGCTAGAGCTGCTATTTAGACTAATAATTATGTTGGGTAATTTTGGGCATCTCACAGAGATACGTATGGTCATCAGTACAATCTGCAATGCTCGTATATCACTTAAAAGGTGGGCAAAAAATACCTTGCATGATGCTACTATTTTTATCGAAAAGTTATCGACTGAAAATGATCAGATGTGTTAGTATCAGTTTACCGCATTATGCCGACGCACACATTCACCCCAAAAAAGCGCAAATGTCGTTCTAAAAATGCGTGTAATAACAAAATGGATCCAATAATAAGTATGACCATTGGTATATTATTTAGCTTTGTTGAGTTCTAAGCTTAGCATAATAGAATATCGATATTAGTCACCAAGTACACAGAGGCAACTGCAGGAAAGACGTGACACAATTTGAATACAATTACACCATCCTTATTTACAAATAAATCGTACCATTCGATTAAATTTTTATAAAATGGTGCGTCTAAGTCCAAAGCTACGGTACTTATTCTACCATCGTCAGAAAGTTAAAAGTAGACAATATTAACTCTAAGCAAAATAAAATATTATATCAGCGATACAGTATCTGATACGTATACAGCTACTATATATCTGAAGACTATATCGTATAAAATTACTAATGGAATACTGTACAACATATGTGTGTTTATCCTCTGTCTGTGTACGTGACATTAATCACATTTTCTATACAGTGATTTGCTCTATCACCATCAGAACACGTGATATTGGTAGATCTTATTAATTTCTTACTCCATCAGATTGTATATCTTATTCATTGTACTGTCAACATAATCATGAAGAAATCCTACTAAGTATTATTTTTAACACAGGATAAATTAAATTGCTTCTTTATTATTTACATCCATATTGAGAAAAGCTCTATAAAGTCTATAGCTGTATTTAAAACTATATACCATTGCTAGCTGTTAACAGATTCTATTAATTACAGAATTACGCAGAGTTCTCCAACGATTTCAATTACTTTCTGAATTTGAAAGGGTGCTTCCTTAACGCAACACACCCTATGAATAAAAGTTATTTTAAATTGAACGATCAACAAACAGTTGCTCGCGATTTATGAATTTTGTGCATTACAGTATGATATTGTTATATCAATTTATAAAATGGAAGGAGCTCGATTAAATGATGTACCCTTACTCCGCTATACAATCTTATGATTTAAACTTAATAAGTAATTACTCCCTGTTGTGGTTTGATTTATCTAATTAAAGTACTTATTGCATCCAATTGATAGTAAAATCTCCTTAGTCCATCACAGATTTCAGATTGCCGCAAATGAAAACAATTCTGGTGGCAATGTTATGATATTATAGCTGTTGATTACTATGAGTAATTTGACTAATAAACTATAGATTGATATTACTCGATTTCCTCCGCAGCTTCAACCACCATTGATTGTGGGAGAGCATCCATCTAAATCTATACTATTTGAAGATTGCCATTATTTAGTCGCTAAGATATATAAAATTAATACATATTACTATTCATTCGCCCTTTTCATCAACCAATACCGCTTCCAAATAGCTCTAAAATAAATCATCCTGATTTCAAGATACAATTTTTAACTTGCCACTACAAAATTCTTTCCATTTCATTTCAACATTTTCCAATCGATTTCATCTATTGCTAAATATCTTACTACTGTTAGATCAAAATACATAATCCATTGTACTATCTTAGCGACAAAATTCATACAGCAATTGATTACTACAGCACTGCATCTCGTCCATTTTATTCTTTCTGACTATTCTATTTTAAACTTGACTTAATATCGTGGAAATAGGACTACCAAGGAAGAAATTTACCCCCCCCAAGACGACTGAAATAAAAATAGATTCAAGCACAAAATAGATATCATTAGTAAATGGCTATTCAATGGATTTATCAATCGTTACTAAAATTATCCTCTAGTTTGAACAATGATTCATTATCATGATGAAAGGATCCTCTGCCTCGCCAAAAACGTCAACGTCACATTGAATTTCTATTGCTTGCATAGATTGCGTCATAAAATACGTGAAGACTATAGACAATCGTTGTTAGTTACAACAAAGTAAACTTGATTTTCTTTGCTATTGTAAGTCAATAAGAATGGCTTTTGATCGTGATATAAATGATATGAGGAAGAGAAGGGGTCACTTAAATTAACTGAAGATTGGTACCTTATTTACGTATCATATTGCTAGGCAACCGAGTCATCATAAAATAGAAACGGCCGATCATTAACTGTATTTAACTAATAAGAAGGTCATTCCTATTTGTATTTAAGTTAAGGGATTGTCTAAAAGTTACAGCGGCATTTTTTTCTTTTCATTAATCGTTTACTTGACGGCGATATAAATCTAATCGATTAGATCGATCGATTACCGTGTGGTAGTAAAATTAATCCAAACTAATCTACATTTCAACGTAAAGTGAATATACAGTCATCCATTTGAGTCTAAGTTGACGAAATTATTGGATATCAAAGAATATTTTTATTTTTTATCACCTGTTGAACGTTTGAGACTGAATTAAAATCACAACATTTATTCATCATGGGAAATTGTACATCCATGAAAGCAGATTACCTTATTTTCATTAAAACTGGCGATCGCAAAGGTGCTGGTACTGATGCCAATATCTATATTGCACTCATCGACAAGGAGGGAAAGAAGTCACGTAAAATTTTCCTTGATTGTAAATGGCGAAATGATTTCGAACAAGGTCGGACCGATAAATTTCCTGTCTCCAATGTGCCTGACTTAGGCGAAATTGAATTTATTGAATTAAGTCGTGATACGAAAGGATTTGGCGATAGTTGGTTTTGTGACCGTGTTTGGATCATACCCAATCAACCTGGTGTTGAGCCGACACCAATCTATTTCCCAGTCAATCGTTGGGTAAAAGCAGATGGACTTTTGAAAATTCAAAAGTGGGACTGCTGCCTACCTCAGAATGATGTGGCATCCGAGACCCGTAAACAAGAAATATTGGAAAAACGGATGTATTACACACTTGATCAGAAATCGCCTGGTATCCCTGTACAGGTACTGCAACGTTAAATAAGACAACAAGCACGCTTTTAAAAATAGAGTAGAATCATGTAAGAAACTCCTTAAAATCGAAAATAAATTCAAATTGAAAAAAGATTAAATTAATTTATACCGGTTCTGTAGTCTATTGAAAGTGATAGAAAAAAAGAATAATAGTTGGATTTGTTAAATATGCGCGTAACTTTTCATATATAAATATAATTTGTCCCTAGTTCGTAAAACTAATGTAAAGAAAGTAGTAGTTATAAAACAACTTTTTAAAGTTACCATTATAATTTGATTTTTCAACTAAAGTAATACAATTATTGTACTGGATAACTCACTATTTCACGTATTTGTTTACCCTTGCTATTTTAACCGTAGATTAAAGAGTTACCAAGTGATGAAATGTTTAGTAACGACTACAAGGTAAGTTCAAAGCGTTGACTAAGAATTTAGTGCTAGCTTTTCATTCTGGTAGTTTAATATATACGTTTTACCTTCACATATCAACGAGTAAAAAGGGTTAAAAGGTACAAACTACTGCTATTTCATAGATTTAAATGCGTAAATCTAAGGGTAGTTTTTGCCATTTCTGGTATTATTTTTCGGATATAGTGGGATATCGTTCGAACCAAAGGTATACTCCTGATTAAGAGTAAAATGAGAAGGCTTACTAGCGACACATGGTCGTCACTAAAAGATCTTGGTAACATCTATAAGAAAGGAACCAGTCTTGATATTCCTATGGTAAGATAGAAAGAATGGACAATTGCCGTTTAATTTATGTTATGTTTTCATTGATGATTGCCCTAAGTCTTCTCACATTAATACCTAATTACGGTTTGACAATCACAAATGATATAGATTCAATTTTTAATTTCTATTTTTTACTTATTAGGGCATGTACAGATGGAAAGAAGATAACTATTTCGGTAAACAGCGCGTCCAAGGTGTTAATCCAGTCTTAGTGAAGTTGTGTACTGAAATTCCATCAAAGTAAGTTGCAATAAAATCATCGTTCAAATAGGATTACTTTCAAGGATTTAAGGCAACTTCGAGGATTATAGAATTTGTAACAAGATTTTCTACGTATTTGTTAGTTTTAAAGTGACCAACGAGATGGTTAGCCCATTCTTGGAAGGTTTCACCTTAGATGAAGCTCTCGCCAAGAAAAAATTGTTCATTTGTGACTTGACAATGCTAGAAGACGTACCACTCATGGGTATTCCAGTGGAGAAAGAGGTTAGCGATTTAGAGTTATAAACAAATAATGCTCTTTTCCATGAGAAAGAACATCGCTTGCATGATTGATACTTGTGTACAATTATTTAAAAATAGAGATATAAGGCATACTTTAACCTTTCCACTTGTCTAATACATGCCTTGTACTAACAAATTGACATCGCCTTAATTTTTGATTATTTTCTAGCTGGTAAATCCTTACGCTCTTTTCTTCTTAAATAAAGAAAATGATTTGTCGCCAATCGCTATCCAATTATTTGCGAAAACCACCGAAGACTGCCCCAATCCTGTAAGAAAACAGTTTAATCTATTAGTCATTATCCTATTAAAGCGTAGGATAGCATTCTATCAACGTCTTTCCATTATTAACATTATTTTGAATTGTGCCGTAGGTTTTTCTACCTAGTGATCATAAGTATGTCTGGATGTTGGCCAAAATGTATTACAACAACGCCGATTCTCTATTTCATCAAGGCAGTACCCATTTAGGTCTGTTCCACCTAGGTTAAAATTCATTCTTCTCAATCTACGATTAAATATAAGTACACTGCTGGTCTACCACAGATGGATTATGTTGCTATATACTAGAATTATCATTTTTACGCATTCATTAAAGTTTATCTCGTACTCATTTTTAAATTCATTTCAATTTAGGCTTTACACACTTGATTATGGAATCCGTTGCAGTTGCTGCTAATCGTACACTAAGCATGTCTCATCCTCTATACCGCCTGATTGCACCTCATTTCCTTTTCCTTATTGCTATCAATAGGTAATGCCTTTCACTATCGCCTGAATAATACTTGTATAGACTAAAACTACTATAATACTCTGTTCGATCGAAATGATTGCCTGGTATACTCAATTTTTCTTTAACCGTTATGAAATAGTCGTGCACTCAATAAATTGGTAGCACCTGGTGGCTGGGTAGATCAAGTTATGACAGCCGGTGCGGGTGGAATGCTGAGCATTACCGCTAAACGATTCCAAAGCTGGCGATTAGATCGTGATGGCACTCTACCAGAAGAACTAAAAATGCGTCAGGTAGGTTTAAGACGGTGATTTAATTCACTTAGCTCAGAAAAGTTATTCACGCTACTTATTGAGCTACCAATTATCATTTCATAAATATACTATTGATAACTTTAATAATTTTACAAATAACCTAGAAATATTGATATTAAAATCTTTAATTGATATAGGTTGATGACCCTGAAGTATTGCCATATTATCCTTATCGAGATGACGCATTGCCTATCTGGTATTGTATCAAGAATTACGTTACTAGATTTGTCGAAGGCCACTATGAGAATGAAAAGGCCATTGAAGATGATTGGGAACTACAGGAATTTTCCAAAGCACTCGTATCTCCTTATCCTAATGGTTGTAATATTAAAGGAATTCCTGGTGACGGCAAATTTCAAACAAGGCAACAAATTATCGATACGTTTACATCGTTCGTGTTTATTAGCAGCGTCGGTCATGCAGCAGCTAACTTTGCTCAATATGATGAATATGCTTTCCCACCAAATTATCCATCATTTATGAGAGGAAAAGCACCGCGAAATAAGGTATGTTTTTCATTGTTCTAAAAGTTATTGTATTGATAGTTTTTGTAGAAATTTTATATTACAGCTTGTCTAAATTGGTCACGGGATAAAGTAAATATTAAAATGTTTCTGGTATTTACAGCTAATGAAAGTTATACAACAATTAAGATTGTGCTAGTTTACCTATTCGCATTTTAGTATTAAATACGAAAGCGATCAATTTCACCGATAATTCTAAAAAGTATAAAATATTGTAGGTTGATAGATATTAATGAAAAATTTAGTCTTACTAGTATGCAAGATAGGAACAACAACACGTGATTACTGTAATTTATCATTGGTACTAAAAATATGCGAAACATCAGAATATACGGTATAAATATACATGATGTATTTATAATGATTCCATGCTTATTATTCGCTGTAGGATCCCATTACTGAAGCAGATATCATCAAGCATTTACCTCATAAAGCGATGACTTTAGACATCATGGTCGTCGGTAGAATTCTTAGTGACCGTGGAACGAATGCGTTAGGCGACTTTGAAATCGATTATATATTTGATCCAATAGGAACTGCAGCAGTGAAACAGTAAGTAACCGATATTACTATACTATATTTTTGTCGGAATTACGATGGTACAATAAAATCATTGGCATATATTGCTGGATATCATCGATAAATTCGATTTTACATTTTTATCTATTTTATAATCGGATTGTATTTAATTCTTGCTGGTATTTGTTTTAATAGATTTCGTGAAGAACTGGAGAAAATCTCAGAAGAGAATACCAAAAGAAACGAAACTAGAAATCCACCTTATGCCTACTTGAATCCGATGCACATCCCCAATTCAATTAGTATATAATATCCTATTCTGCTGGTTTATTATTTACACAAGATCCTTGGGGCTAATCTAAGGCTTTAATTATAAAATAGTTGTCAATAGATATATAGGGCATATCTTACTCCTATATATATATATAGCCATATTCCTCATTGATATAGACGAAATGCTACGTATAGGTTGAGCTAATCTATACGATAGTGTTGATCTCCGTTATCTTATACTGTATTTCAGTCTAAGTTAAGGCTTGGCGTCTTGTAATTAATAATTTTGTAAAAGAATAACGGCCTAAATCAAGTTTTACTTTTAGCACTATTGACATGCTATTCAAAAATGGTACTCTAATATAGCATCATAACGTAGTACGATGATCATGTTGTTTACCACTTTGTATGGCACTTTTTACTTATTCTAACAATGTCTATTTTGATACATCATCTTTTAAAATATTATATTACTGACCTATTACTTATATGTATTATTACTTGGGTACTGCTGCAATTTCGCTAAGCCATGTGTTTGGATTGATTTCTATTGTATGGTATGTTACTCAGTCACACTGTTAAAATCTATTTTATAACTTTTCTATATTATTTTTACAATTCATTTACTAAATATGAGTTCCTGAACGTTATTTCTTCTAATGATAATTCATTGCTACTTGGACTTGGCTTATTTACTGTTCAAGAGAGTTTCAATTAATTAATGGTACTTTTAGCTTCATCACGTAGAAGTAGTTGTGCTACTTCCATCGTGTGATATATATTAATTAAGGGTACAGCATTTGATGTTCTATCTCATTATCAGGCTATTTACGCATAGGTTGATATTTATTTATGAAATTGGAAAAAACCCCACGAATGAATTTTTTCTTGCCTTTTTGGTGTTTGATTTTTCTTGCTTTATTTATTAATGCAAGAAGCATTTAATCTTTTGATCATTATATGTATTGTAGTTTCTCGTTTCCCTTCTACCTAGCCAAAAATAATAGTTCAATTTGTCCTAGACTACGTATTATGAAATGGATTTTTAGCTGTGACTAGCAGTATATCGGATAGGATTTTCGTTAGACTCTTGATATTGGGTGTGAGTGGCTAAACTTATCTCAAGATTACTTTATACGCATATAATAAGAATAAATTGGATTTTAAATCATCGATTGTATCATTATTGTGTCACGAGAGTTGCAATACTGTATAAAAGCTAGTGCAACTTGTATAATAGACTACTAGAAGGTAATTGTGTAAGCAATACACACTACACTTGTACACTCAATGTACGGCGTAGTCCATGAATAAGTACTCCTATGTAAGCCTTTGACGCGAGAAATAAATGATAAAATTTTCATGATGGACTCCTATTAGATATTGAGGATGTACATCTTGGCGGACTATGCTTACAGTATCATACCATAGCAATTTATTCATTCATGCACGCCGAAGTCTTGTTGCTTTTAACGTAAGAAACAAACCATGAGTTTCATAGTTGTTCATATTTAGTGTGGATATCCTATTGCATGCCCATCTTGCCAACCATATCATCGTTTATATACTGTTCATTCATAATATCTTGTAGCCTTGAACGTGAGAAATAAATCGTAAATTGCATCGTTGGTTTGGTATCAATCTTGCTAGATATGCTTTTCGTCCTTTCATGATAGCCATCAATTCTATGGTAGTATAGCAATTTATTCATTCATATATACAGAATAGTATAGCCTTTAACGATGGAATGAATAATGCGTTTGTACCAAGGTGTGTGAATGGAATTTCTGATAATTAATCGTCCTTTTACTAGCTGACGATACTTTGAATCGATTTATTCAAATTTTCACCCACTTAAAATTTATTATGCGCGTATTAGTTAATTACTATACCCTTATATACCATATATAGGTTACTATACGCTTATATACCGTATATAGGCCTTACCATTCGCCACTAGCTCCCGAAGTCAACCCCTAAAGGCATTGCAAGTCAACCTCGAAATTTTGGCGATCCTAGAATTGGATGGTCAATCCTAGGATAGTCATATCTCGGGATTGGCCATGTCATTCTAGCTCATGATATTTGGATGATCGATTTAATAAAATATTTCACTAAGTTAAAATTTGATTTATTATGCGCTTAATGATTCATTACTTGGATAGTCAATCGTTGGATTGGCATAGCTCATGATACTTTGAGTGATCGATTTAATAAATTGTTTCACTCATTTAAAATTTGATTTATTATGCGCTTATTGATTGATTACTAGGATAGTCAATTGCCATACCTCGGGGATTGGCCATGTCGTTCTAGCTCATAAGACGTTGATCGATTTAATAAAATATTTCACCAAGTTAAAATTTGATTTATTAAGCGCTTATTGATTGATTACTTGGATAGTCCATGGTTGGATTGCCATAGCTCGGGGATAGACCATATCGTTCTAGCTCATGATACTTTGAATGATTGATTGAATAAAATATTTCACTCATTTAAAATTTGATTGATTATGTGCGTCTTGATTAATTGCTGTATAGAATAGTCAATCCTAGAATTGTCATACCTCTGGGATTGACCATATTATATTATATGTTATATATATATATATATATACAGTATATATATAATATCTCTATTCTACTAGTCTACATGTATTCTATTGATCTAGCTAAGCATGCGTAGTAGCAGTTCTTCAATATTCCATCCGAACATGACTTTTACGCTAGATACAGTCCAGTGCGTACAGTACAGTACGTACAGTATACTGTACATGACATGTTCTATACACATGCTGTACAGTACATACACGATTGTACGTACAATGCAATGTACTGTACTGTAACGTCAACGTTGGCGGACATGACGACGCCAAAACACTGTGAAGTGTGAACGACGACCAGTATTCACCGTCCTGTACTGTACACTGTGCAGTCCGTGGAACAGGCAAGAGCGCTAGCAAAAGATATTATTACTACCAATGTCGTCTACTAACCAGGGAAAACGTTGAGCCGTCTTGCACTTGTTCCACAGTTGTCAGTCGTTGATACATTGGGCCTTTTCCCCGTCGCAGTCATTCTATTGCTATTGTACCGTACCATACTATCAGCAATGTTCTTCTTATTATCTATCAGCGCCATTGTTGTGGTTGCTTTAGCCAGCGCTAAACGATTTGGTTACGATCCGATGTTTGCCGTCTTGTAAGTAGTCCATCATCCATGGATGCCAGTAGAAATGAATACACGATAGATGGATCTTATTGGATAAAGATTGTACAATCGGCTGTTTTGGTAGTGACTAACGTTGCGGTTGTGTTTGCAAGCGTCATTCGTTATTGTTTCGTTCTACCGACAGGTCAATCATTGCAGTCATCCATGGATCGGTTCCATTGCTTGACGACATCATTTGTAGTCTTGCGTTAATGGACGATAATTCGACCATCGGTTACGAAGTTCGACTTTCTACATATTCTACACTACTATCGTGGCCGATACTATTGATGGATATCTTACTATCAGAATAGACTATCCATAAATAGATCAGTTGTCGTCAATTAATGAATTCAATAGTAGCCAACAAATCGGATGTTAATTAGCATCTAGGTTGAAAAGAAGGAGAAAGGAAGAAACATATGTTACTAAAGTTACTGCACACGCGTTGTCATCATTGACTGACTTTTCATCACCCTTCACATACAAAGTATCTATTGAATGGTGATCCTGGCCTTGGTCATGGACTACTAAAAGAAGTCTCTTGGTAGTCCTTGCCTTGGTCATCCTGCTGTCGTAGATTGTTTACATTGGTAATATTGTTAAAAGGGAATAGATACTTTGCTCGACTTTCTGCTGCACAACCATGCTATACCGGATATGCAAAACATGGATTAGACGTATTTTGAGTAAATGCTTGTACAGTATCCAATTCAATGATACCAAGCAAAGTGGTATCATTGATTACACTTTCAAGGATATGGCAATCACTCCATAGACGCGTACCGTAGCTACTTTGTTCTAAATTCATCTCCTATGGTATTGCAATGATTAAAAAACTCACTCAAGGATAACCCATAACATAAAGTAAAATATCTTGACTACACGTATAATTCGTCCACTTACTGTATATAAACACTAAATGAAAAATTTGAATGACACGCGTATTGGTATCCTATATCTTGATAATATATAGTAAGCTTAATCGTAAAATTTCCCCTAAAAATTAGCCATGGTCTTTGCATTAGTACAGTGATCTCTCGTCAACCACCGTGCTACGGCAATGCAATTAATCATGGAGTAATTATAACATTCTTGATCAGTTTTTGTCCTTGTAAATGAGATTCAAATACAAACCAATACTTTTTTAAACATGCCAGTCGCTGAAGATTCCTATTTTTATTGATTACAGACAAAGAAATGACAGTCTGCTTTAAAGTGTACAGTAATCCACATTATAAATCATAACAGTGAAGATATACGAGTACGATAGGAACGGTGCAATCACTTTGCCGCTACTTTAATTGTAATCATCTATCTGTCAATAGTGAGTAATAAAAAGATTATGCAATCGTAATTCACTTGCGAAATATTGACCTAATCCATACACAACATATACAAATGACATCAGACATTCTGCTATAATCGTGATTTTGTTTCAACATTTCTATTAATATATAATTGCAATAGTGCCCTTGTGCGCATAGAGTCTACAGACTCTTTCATTTACTGAACGCACGAGAGTTTAATTTCACATTTCCTTCCCCAAGGACTTGTTTAAAATGCCTTAAGATATGCAAATGTTACTGTAGCAATTATAAACAATCTGTAATAGCTTCGTCATTAATGATAAATATACTTGTATATAACTGATTGAACCATGTACGAGTACTGTAGTAGAGTAGCGTTATAATGCAATAAATAATGTAGTATAATTTCGTGTATTCTCTTAAAGTTAAAATCTTTTAAACCGTTTATAGCCAGCAAACGCACAAAGGCGTTGGATTTAACCATGTTGTACTCGTCATAACTTTGCAGTCCTAGTGATTTGCCCAATTTCTTTTGTATTATCAACTTTTTCCAATATAAAGTAGCTAACTGGTAATCGTCAGAAGTACTGTACATGCCGCTTCTTAACTATAAATTGATCTTATTTGGTCCATAGGTATTACCTATATGCCAGAACGTTTGTGGGACGTTGGTTGCATTTAAATCGCTTGTCAGCCGCTACGAAAGCTCAGAAAGGTTCCCATTCTAAAGTTAAACTGCATCGATATTCCGGTAACTAAATCATATTATTACATTAATAGCCACATCCTGACTAAGTAACGATTATGAATACTTAACTATTGCAAATATTCTTATACGTTGTAAGTATATAAGCGTTTACTACTTACAATGGCATTACGACCATAGTACCAAAAGCTATGCAATTTTACACTCTAATATTGAATTCCGTAATTTTAATACACCATTGCAGATTAATTATATCTTTGTGTTAACGTTGTATGCGCTTTATTTTTGAAGCTAAAATGCAATTTACTCTTATTGTCTGACATCATTTCGTTATTCTTTTCTAATTAGGTGTTACCATAAAGCCAATCGCAATACTTGATGACAACTATGCATATTTAATTATCGATCACAATCTTAAATTGGGTATACTCGTTGATCCATCCGAGCCTCGACTTGTTCAAGTAAGTACAATTATCATGGTAAATTTGCTATATTATAATGTTAAATTTGTCTGCTTCCAAGCCTGTAAAGTATGCTGTACTAATATCTGCACTACACCATTTCTATTCATTTTATGTACTCCTGTCTTTATTCATTATCTTTTAATAGGAAGCTTTAAAAGCAGAAGATATAAATTTAGCGGCGATCCTTATCACGCATGGACATTGGTTAGATAATTACTTCTGATGCTTTGTTGCGTACTAATTTCTAACACTATAAACACTTTAAGTCAACTTCGTACTTAGGTTATTAGGCATTCATAAAGATGATCATCATGTTCAGATAGTATTATTATACGGTAAAATTTCTAACTAAATACAATTTCCTAAATATTTTAGGGATCACAGTGGTGGTAATACTATCCTACACAAATTGTATCCCGATATAGCTATTTACGGAAATTCGGAAGACAATGTACCCAATCTGACTCAGTAAGTCGATCATTAATAACACTGCAATTACTACTGTAGGTATTGGAAAACATTTTGTATCTTTCCATACTATTTTTCTACCTTCATTCTAGTTCTGTTATGAAGGGATATTTTATCATAAAGTTCTACTCGACTATGAGTAATATTTTCTCATTACGTGCATAGTAGAGCCCGACTTACCTAGCACTACTTTGTTTAAATTATTGTTTGATTATAAATAATTACTAAGTAAATAAGTTGTCTTGTGTAGCGAGTAACAAGTTATGCGAATTTACCTAATGATGTGATATTCTAACATTGGTTTACTTTCAATTTTTGATATAAGCTTCGTAAAGGATGGAGATTCAATTAAGGTAATCAAAAATCTTAAAATCCTATATCTTAGGTGCTCTTAGAAGTGCACTTAGAATTCGTTCAAGGAAAATAGTTGCAACTACGGTATAGAATAGAAATGGTATCTTTGAAAAGGAGATATTGATATTGTTATAATTTAACTAATTGTCATAATAGATTGGGACTCTTGTATTTGATGTTATTGGAACCCCGGGTCATACATTGGGTCATGTTATGTATACCCTAAATCGAAAGGAACAAGGCGAACCTTCTTCAGTTTTTAGTGGTGATCATTTATTTTTGGCCGGATGTGGTAGGTGTTAGTCCTACCAAACCCTAACAGATTGTGTGCAGCGTAGTCTCTACATCGGATATTATTATTTTTATTGATATTTCATAATCTATTTTCCATTGACGTTCAATGTGGGTTATTGCATAGGACGTATCTTTGAGGGAAATGGTGCTATGATGTTAAAATCACTGGATCGCTTGCTGGAACTTGATGATAAAACATTAGTCTGGCCAGGTACTGGTGATACCTTTCTGACTACTTCGTCGGCTAAATTCGCGCTTTTAGCGCTGGTAACGCTAGAGAAATCAAATAACCGCATATTGTTATTTTGTTTAGGCCACGAATATGCTACTTCCAACCTAAAATTTGCTATCGCAGTCGAACCAAGCAATAAAGCCATAATTGTAAGTAATACAAATCGTATAAATTTGATAATGCATGTCTTCAAATGCAATTTAGTTAAAATTATCTGTCGTCAATCTAGTGTACAACTCTCATAGAGTACGGATACACTTAAAATGACCATAGGGTGTTGTAATCAATTCATTTTCTATTGATTATCTTGATGAATGATGACTAATGATCATAATGTACTTATGAAGGAAAAATTAACATGGGCCGATTCGTTGAGAAATAATTGTGAATCAACTGTACGTTATTTTACACTATTCTCGGATTAATTTTGGATTGCATATTTGAAAGATTACATTCGACGTTCTATTTTCTGTAGTGCCCGTCCACAATTGGTGAAGAAAAATCGTACAATCCCTTTCTAAGATCACATATTCCTGAAATCAGTAAAACACTAGGTTGTCCAGAGCAAACAGATTATCATAATCAAAATCATCGAGCTGAAGTTGTTTCACTCTTGCGATCAAAGAAAAATTCTTTTAAGGCAAAATAGTGCAGAGAATCTTGCACTCATCGTATCTAGCGTTCACTATTCAGTAGAATGGATGCAATACTTTTTTATTATTGTATATCATGAAATTTAGTTCCAATTTTGTTTCTATAAAATGTGTCTACGCATAGCAACAGACGCTAGTAGAGTATAGTTTATTAGCCTCCACGGTACGTATCCGACTGTATCAAACGTTGTTGGTACGTGATTGTCGACTTCGTAAACTTCGATCAAACTTCCATGTAAACAGTAATGTTGTTTCAGGAATCTACTGCACGATATTGATATCGTTTAAGTAATGCTAGCCAAAGTACTGCTATTCATAATTTTTCTCCGGTCTTTACTATCATTAAGCAATTGCAACTATGAATTGTACAGAAGCTACTTGTGATTCAAGCAAATAAAACGAACCTGCTATTGAATTATGAGAAAAGTCTATCTATCCTCTGTTAACTCAACCCATAGCATCGCTTTAGGTACGATTTACGCAAAGCAATAATCAATTGTACATTTTGTACTTCTCAAAGCTTTAGATTGGACGCATAAGCATCTTCATTTATTTTCAATGTGTCGACATTCAAGTGGTTAAAATTAGGTGTACACAGATCAAGTTTTTACTATACTAATTGCGGTGATATCCACAATTACTATTGGTTATATTTGATTAATTACCGCTCTATAGATGGTGGATGTATCACATCAAGGATTACAGTGGTACGTGATGTACAGGAGAAATAATGCAGACAATCTTTACTTAAATTAAGAATTGAATTAGTTTCAATTGTCTCTGAGAGGGTAATTTTTAAGATAGTCTTAGAGATAAAAGTGTAATTGGCTATGCATCATTTCCTTGACTCCTTAATTATCTCCTAGCTAATATAAGTTGGCATTCACAGCACATCACTACGCCTTGCTCTCCCTTGAGAGCGACAGCGGACTGATTTTCTTTCACGGCAAGATCCAAGGTCCTGCTATTGAGAAATTTACAAAGGAATCGTTAACAAATTGACAAAGGGAAAAATTACGATTTACGATGACGCTGTTAATTTAAGTCGTGAAATAGAACTTGTGTTACTAGGTCTACTAATAAGGCATAAGATACTGTATATAAAAATCGATCTACACTAGAGAAATGATACTCCAAAAAGAATTTTTAATTTTACACTTCCGTCATCTGTATTACATGAGCAAACGGCACTGGCGATTGAGGAACATTTGTGTTTGCTTGAAATCCAACCATAGAGGGCTGCTACCAATGCAAAGGGTTTTAGTAAAATGGATAAGTATATCGGTATTATTTTCAAACTTACGTATGGAGGTGGGGTGGGTTGGAAAGCAAGGACCAACTGAGGTAGTAACATAGCCAGGAACCTAAACGAAATTATAGATATTACGGTAAAAGTGAGAATCTTATTCCTACAAAATCATCATCCAGTAAATGGAGGGATTATAGTATCAACGTAGCAGGTAGTATTCATCTGTCTTCAAGTCAATGTGGGTTCAAATTTGACGTATAACTTACGTAATGTGGGTTAAATAGCATTGGGGGAGACATATCAGTGGGGCAATACGCTTCGCCAAAGCCACCTTGTAGATTGAAAGCTTCCATGCCTCCCGAAAACGACAAGTAATTAGGTTGCTGCATGCCGGTATGTTCGTTATAAACATTCATTTGATGTACTGGATTGTAAACTAAATTGAAAAATAAAGAGGCTGTAGATACCGCACTCATCGTACTACTGTATGAGGTTGCACTATCCAAGGACAGGGACTAACCAATTCAAGGATTGTCAAAAAATTTTAAATTTGACTTATAAAGCCTAATAAGGTTAGGGGCCGAGTTCAGGGCTAGTAACGAATGGTAAGGGTTTGATTAGGTTTAGTTTAATAATAAATAAATAATAGTAAAGACAATCCTAGGATACTTCATAGTTTCAAATCACTGGGTGTCCGGAATTTAGTAAAGTACGGTGACTGCGGTTCTACTGTGTAGCGTAAATCCCTGTAGTCAATCTACAAAATATGGGTAGAGAGCAATGACTGCGATACCGTCCGTGCTCCTTGAGAGAGAGCTTTTACAATTTTCTTTACCAGCTAGCTAATTAGACGTCGTTGTCGTTATTAGATATTACAGAGTTCCATTTATAAATAGTAGGACATCGACTCATAGCTGAAGTCTATCCCAGATTTTTACAATTGCTTTACTTTGCAAACCTTCAATTTGTGAACGAATGTTCCGTATAACTATTCTAATGATTACGAGAAGATGCGACAGTATATTGCATGTAAAGATAGCATTGCTGTAAATGAATTTTAACTTTGTCCTATCTGCCTGCTATCATATTCTACTATTAAAACTAAACTAGTACAGGTGGTTGGAAGGCCTATTGATTATTTTTTAACAAATTATATCAATTTTAGTGATTCTCTAGTATTTTACAGTTCTTACACAACCACTTTATCCTGCAAAGTGATTACTATCCTTTGCTTCATAAATAACTAATAGTATAACAGTTCCAACACAACTCACAATCTGTGACATTTTTTCTTTTTATTGTCGTAATTCGCTCATGTTTCAATTGTACGCTAATGAATATTCGATTATCAATAAACTCCATTGTGGAAACAAAATCGTACTGAAAGTGAATATAAAGGGAACAGTAGTAAGGTAGTAACCGTAAGAAACAACACAAATAGCTAATTTACTACAGTTTAATACCTGGCAAATGCAGTTTAAAATTGAATTTATGCCACTTTACTCACCTTCTACCCACCTAAAAAATGGCTACATGATATCAACTTGAGCTATTGCGTTTAAGGTGAAAAATTCAAACAAATCATACACACTCTGCGCTTTAATACAAGTCGTTATAAAAGTCCAGATAAAGTAGTCCTGCATAATTAATTAAAAAATAACATCCAATGTCATTGCACAATGCAGTTTATTCCTGCAAGTATGAGCACTGCTTTATATCGTGTAGTATGTGTTCGCTGTAAATCATAAAAATTCACATCACAATTACTCACTGTGTTTGTTATCAACTTTTGCAAATAAAACTTGTTCTATATCAATTATGCAAGTGATGACACAGCTTCAGTTGAAAAATTTGCTTCGATATAACCTTACAGTGCTAAAATCAATTTATTTCATACTGGATTAAACTACACATAAATTGTGTGCAACCTGTCTATACTGACGGTTTCGCCAGAGGAAAGGGAAGAATCTTGTGATATAACCAATCGCCAATATCGATTGGAAGGAACGATATCAAATGCCCAAGGAGGCAATCCAGGCCAACATAGTAATAATTTTTGGGCTTTAAAGATAAAAGTGCATCTTCCATCGCGTCGGTGACCAACGATATCTTTGGATTGGACAAAGTATACACTTCTTTGAAGGCTTCTATTACTGTCAAGAGAAAGTGAGATTTACCTTACATCAGAATCTACTTAAAGAAATCTCCATACGCGTTACAATTTATCGAACCACTGCACCACTACTGCATATGATAACAATAATAGCATCCTTTATAAGTTACATTCTATACAGTGTTGAACTCTTCCATAGTTCAATAATATTGTCATTCAGCTTAGACTAAATAATTACATAAATAAATATACAAAGATGTAAAGGTTTTTTATATCTTTATGGAATGTGCTTTAAAAGGGTTTGCATGGATAAATTAAGAGACGTTCGTTCTACAAGTGTGTATATGGCATATACATTGTTACTTGATTGAAGTTCAAGGGATATACAGCAATTTCACACTCAGTGTTTATTCCAAATTTCTCAACGAAAGTGCGCGTATATAAATCTTAGATAATTATAATAATAATTAATTATACATATACATTCCATATGATTAGTCCATTACGATTAATGACTGGCTATAACCGTTTGTGCAGGCAGTTCATACATAGACGTTACTACATCTGAGATCAACTAATTTTTAATGAGTAATAGTAATAATAATCAAATTATCCGAAAAATATTCAACTTTACTTACCTATGTTACGAGGTAAGACCTACCAAATGAAGCAATGAAATATGCTGATCTGTATCCAACTTAATATATTGCATATTATAGTTCAGGACTACTAAAAACGAACGATCGCCCTATTTCGTGGTATGTCATCTTTTAATTATAGTAAGTAATTTAATCTTTAAAATGCGCGTAATGCCATTATTCGAAATGATATACGATTCACACTTAACTCAAGCAAGGAAATAGGAATATATTCCACATGTTCCTTTTCGTTGCTTCTGCTGATGTGATGCAGAGAGTCGAAATGAAGGTAGAACGCACTGAGCGGGCTCAACTAGTATTAATTAATTGATTATCCGAAAAACTATCATACAATAATTAATAATCACTAATCAAAATATTATTTCTCAACATACGCGTATACAGTACCGTCAATTCTTAGAAAGGAGAGTTATTGTATCAATTCTTATTCTACTGTACTCGTAATTATTTGTTGCAAATAAGTTGCAGGCGAAAAGTCAGCTATGCATAACATTCAATCATGACGTATTACCAAAAAGTTCGCTAGCTTACGTGTTGAAGATTATTTGTTTGTTTTAATATGATAGTGATTTGATCTATTACTTATTATTCTGCAATTTACAATCATTTTAACCCCAAGCTGTGAACACTTCGCATAACGCCCTACAAGACTAATTTTTAAAAATTTCAACAAATCTCGATTTATATACTTACGCTCTTTCGCATGATCTTTGCCATAACGATAAAGAAGCTCTTTATCCAACGTAGCTTCAAGACGAATCATATTATCTGTTGCACCATGAACAAGTCCAGTTTGAAAATAGCCTGGGCAAATGTTATGAACCGATACTCCAAATGGCCTCATTTCCATTCGTAATGAATCTGAGAAACCTAATACACCAAACTTAGAAACTACATAAGATGATAGGAAAGTCGAATGATGCCTGCCTAGGAGGCTTGCTACATTGACAACACGTCCTTTTGCCTTTTGTATAAGATGGAGAAATTGTACAGTTACATCAATAACTCCTAACAGATTAACATCTAAGACTTTCATATAATCTTTACGCGTTAACCATTCAGCATAGCCGCATCCAACTACACCCGCATTGTTGACTACACCCCATAATCCTTCATTTTCCGGTAACTTTTGCTTTACAAACGCTACACCTTTGCGAATATCTTCACTATCTGTCACGTTCATTGTAAATGGAATGGCATGTGAGTATTTCTGACCAATTTCATCGACAGATTTTTGTAGCAAACAAGCAGCGAAAACTTTAACTCCAAGTCTATCAAGTTGTTCGGTGAGTAAAAGGCCAAAGCCAGAGTCACATCCAGTGACTAAGACATACTTTTCGCGTATACCATTAATTCTACCTCTCTTGGTGAATAGAAAAACGTATGCTGCAATAGCAATCAAAGCAATCGCGATATATAGCGCCATGATGAATTTGCAGATTGCTGTTTGTCCTGGTTCGGTTTCAACCGACGGACACAAGGTACGTACAGACTTCAACAACAAGCAAAAACAAATAAATAATTATAATAATGTCTGAATACTGTGAGTTATGTCTACAAATGCTTGCTTGCAAAAGTGCCCTACCATACACAGAAAATTGCGATTGCCTTCTGTACTGTACTACGCGCTGCTGTCCAATATAGTAATTTAATTACAGTCACCGGCTGGCCAGTCGGATTAACAGTAAAATTAGATTAGATTTTATTCTAGGATTAATTCGTTTTATTTTACGGTTAATCAATTCATCACAGCGTCGACATTCGACAACTTAACTAATGGTGAAAAGTTTGAAAACTGACAAACATTGCATTCAGTATAGCACAGTATGAGTGTTTGTACAAACTGTACTCAAATTCATTAAATTCACTAGTACTCAAACAAGATGGCCTAAGCTCTCATCTCAGGTTTCCAAGCCTTGCGACTTGCCAATGCACTCATACACGTACAGCAATCGGTCGTACTAGAAGAAGTACCTATGATAGACAGTAGATAGAGATAGTCGGGCATCATCTTGAAAACAAGAACGATAAAGTGAATAAGAAATAAGAAGAGTTACATTGACATTTCTGTAAAACTAGTTTGTACGTAGAATAATATTAATGTAATTCAATCATGCAATAATGATATCGAGCCATTTGAGCAAGGTATTATAACAAAATATTTCACAAGTTACACGTACTGTATGTACAAGTTAAGCCAGTTTACTAAGTATTGATAATTTGCAGTTTGTGGCATTGTAAGATTACTATACTTACTTGATTGAATGACCTGTTGATTTTCTTGAAATGATGCTAATGAGCCATAACTACATTAGAGTTCATTGCGCACCACTTAATTTTGTACTAACAACAAGTGTTTCAACTTATGCTAGATATCACCCATATTAACTTAACTTGTGATTGGTCTATCAGAGACAGCAATTTATTGAATGATTGATGTAATGATGCTATAGTAACACAGAGTTCTTACAACATAAATGTCCTACTTCAAAATTTCAACACAGGCAAAGCCAAGATGGTAAAATCCGCTAATTGCTGAACTGTGCGGGCATACTGTGCCCTGTACAGAGAAAGGATACATTAAAATTTCCTGGCATGCTTACAGGAATGAGCTGCTTCAAAGTTAAAACTCATTCTTCATGCATTACAGTACGTGCATGATTGCTCACAAGGAAAAAAATTGAAAGGATTTTGGTAACGGCTATACCCTCCAGTCATTGCAGTATATCTTGGCATATCTGCAATTGCAGTCTGAATCAAACTGTATCTCCTTACATCTCGCAGTCTATTTCTGATTAAAATACGAAAGCTGATACAACACACTCTACTGTACTGGTAAAGCACTGACATTGTCACGAAAGATTTCTCCATTCTAGAAGAATAATGACTACAATTATCCTCGAAAGAGGTCGAATATGGTTAATACGCAGAAACCAAATTTGGAAGCGGTAGTAAACAGAACTATACACTTTTATAAATCTTTAATTTTGGTGAGCACACATTCTTTCCAAATATTATATGCATATGTTTGTTACTTTTACAGTTAGGCAAACACAGAAATCACGAATTTATATCAAATTCTTAAATTTTAGCACCATTGCGAAATGATATTTTGACAAACCTGGTGTGCACTATTCAAAACAATAACATTAATTAGTTAGTTGTATGCAGTAACTCATATCAGCTAAGCGGTTTCATAATATCGATTAATCCGTAGTATTGAGTAAAAATTCTAACAAATTTGTACGTGTCGATTTTGACTTTTCATAAAGTTCAAACAAAACGTACTTATAAATATAAAGACAAACAATATTCAATGTCCTTGCATAGTGTATTCCTACAAAGGGCAGGGGATATTTATACCGCATAATACAAGTTTAGTGTAAAGTATATTGTAAAGAACCATATCGCAAACAGTCACGAAAGTACTACATTTACCAATTGATATAAATAAGTTCATTATAAATGATGCAAGTGGCGACATAGCTCCAGTAGAAATACCTATTTGCTTCACCCAAAATCTAAAGTACTACGATCAAATTAATTTATACGGGATTGAAGAACATAAAAAATAGTGGAGACTTGTCGCAACCCGTTTATACTGATGGTTTCGCCGATGGAAATGGGAAAATTTTGCGAAATAGCCAATCACCAATTTCGATTGGAAGGAACGACGTTAAATGCCCAAGGTAAAAGTCCAGGCCAATATAGTAATAATTTTTGGGCCTTGAAGACAAAAGTGCATCTTCCATCGCGTTCGTAACCAGTGATATATTTGGATTCGACAAGCTGTACGAAGCATCGCAGGCTTCTATTACTGTAAAGAGAAAGTGAGATTACTTAAATCAATAACTACCTAAAGATATCTTCATACGCATTACGATTTAATTATCAAATCACTGCACTATTTATAACAACATGAGCAAGCTTTATGTACACTGTTGATTCTATTGTACAGTATACTGTACGCTGCATTGACTCTTCGAGAGCTTGAAAGTATCATTTAGCTTAATTCATTAATCATATCTACCTGTATATAAACATTTGCAATAGAATTTTTAAATATTTCGTAAATGAATCATTAATATGCCTGGAATGATTTTAGCGAATTGTAGTAGTTATGTGTTAGGAAAATACGGTGATAGTAGAGTATGCAGTGTAGAATTGCATGTCTTATTTAAATAAAGTAAAGTAAATATTCATCATGGCTAGAATGATGAAACGGTTCAAATGTACAATATATTTATAAAACAACTGAAATTGCGAACCTAGAGTCAAGAACCCATACACTACAATGCTTTACAAAGGTTTGCATTGGATATGCTGAAAAGATATACAGTACTTTGGTAATAAAATCAGTAAGTGTGTACCGTACATTGCTGCCGGATTAAGAGCTACAGGTTAAAAAGATTCTATATTTAGTCTGCATTTCAATTTCTAAGATGAAAAGATCTAAACCTTCGGTAATCAATACGATTAGTCCAATGCATGAATTTTAGGTACAACTAGTGATTCTGACTATGACCGTCTATTTATGCGTAGATGATTTAATGATATGGACGTTAGCGCGTCTGAGATCGTTTAATTATTGAATGGGTAGTACAGTAACGACAAATTCAGTGAGAATTGCTCCTCTTGCACTTGTTAGGGAATAACAAACGGAATAATGAAGCATGTACAATTGCAAATTTACTGTGCTTAGCTCCGCTTGCACTCGTTAGGGAATAACAAATGGAACAATGAAGCATGTAGAATTGCAGATTTACTGTTAGCTAAGCTTAACGTGTTGTAGTTTTGTGCTATCAATTAATTATACGTAATGATACAATACTGTATAATTATATAGTGTATATGGCTCACTTTGAGCAAATGAGATAGGGACATTTAGTGTTGAGAAAGTATTTGTTGTCGCGGCCTCCATTGACGTTATGCAAGATACAAGTGATCATACTACGAAATTCGAAATAATAAAAGTATCTTGAAGAAATTTGCTGTAACATTACCGACGATTCTTAGCACTCTGCAATTAGGTATAGACTAATTAGTGGTACTCCGGTCAAGAATAATTCTATTTCTGTATGAACTGTACATATATACAATATTGCTGTAAACGAGATATGGACATTTACTGTTGAGAAAGTATTTGTTGTCGCGGCCTCCATTGACGCTATGCATGATACAAGTTATCATACTGTACGAAATTCGAAATAATAAAAGTATCATGAAGAAATTCGCTATAACATTACCGACGATTCTTAGCACTCTGCAATTAGGTATAGACTAATTAGTGGTACTCAGGTCAAGAATAATTCTATTTCTGTATGAACTGTACATATATATATATATACAATATTGCTGTAAATGCCGTCACTATCAACGAATTCCACTACATTATATTTTACTACTCGACTGCAGTATACGTAGGTTTAGAGGGGCGCTTACTATATACCAAAATGAAAAAGAACTGAGTATACACCACCAAACCACAAAAATTACAGTGAATAACCAAGAATGGGCTGAAACTGTTCCGATGAAAATCTATGTTGAAATGATTAGATCTATAGTAACTGTGCAATTTAATATGAATTTAATAGCATCACAGTCAAACGGAGAGTGCGAGGGGAAAACTATGTATACCTCCGGAATCAGCATTACAGTAAACGTAGATGGTCCTCGTCGACTTTAATTAAAACGACAAAAGTACTTTGATCCTAAAGTTTTAACCTCTAAACTGTTAACTCTAGTGAACATGTTTTGTGCAGAACATCAGGCTTACGCTAGCCAGTAATTTAATAATACTAGACTCTGCGTAAACTGTGCATAAAGCCCAACCACTTTAACATAGAATCTTCTACACTTTGCTAAACTGCTCCGATGAAAAATCGAAGTTGAAGTGGTTGGATCGACAGTATTATGCAATCCAATATGAATCTAAGATGATGAAAGTTATTTATACAGTATCAATCAATACTAATTATAGTTATCTGCTACAAATTATAGTAAATGTATACTATACAATAAGCCTGCGAAGTCAGCAATGGATAGCACAAGATGATTCTACAATAATTTTATGTTAATCAATATTAGTTCCAAATTTACAATCATTTAGCCGTGCAGATGTACTGTCGACACTGTACTAAGCAATAGCACCCTGCAGAAATTTTAAAAGCTGAATTCAATCACGATTAATGTACTTACATTCTTTCATATGCTCTTTGCCATAACGAGAAATAAGCTCTTTGTCCAACGTAGCTTCAAAGTGGCGCATAATATCTGATGCACTACGAACAAGTCCAGTTTGAAAATAGCCTGGGCAAATGTTATGAACCGATACTCCAAATGGCCTCATTTCCATTCGTAATGAATCTGAGAAACCTAATACACCAAACTTAGAAACTACATAAGGTGCGGCGAAAGTTTCATGATGCCTGCCTAGGAGACTGCCTATATTGACAACACGTCCTTTTGCCTTTTGTATAAGATGGAGAAATTGTACAGTTACATCAATAACTCCTAACAGATTAACATCTAAGACTTTCATAAAATCTTTACGCGTTAACCATTCAGCATAGCCGCATCCAACTACACCCGCATTGTTGACTACACCCCATAATCCTTCATTTTCCGGTAACTTTTGCTTTACAAACGCTACACCTTTGCGAATATCTTCACTATCTGTCACGTTCATTGTAAATGGAATGGCATGTGAGTATTTCTGACCAATTTCATCGACAGATTTTTGTAGCAAACAAGCAGCGAAAACTTTAACTCCAAGTCTATCAAGTTGTTCGGTGAGTAAAAGGCCAAAGCCAGAGTCACATCCAGTGACTAAGACATACTTTTCGCGTATACCATTAATTCTACCTCTCTTGGTGAATAGAAAAATGTATGCTGCAACAGCAATCAAAGCAATCGCGATATACAGTACCATGATGAACTTGTAGATTTGCTGGATGTCAATGCTGTCAATTTCAACGATATAGCTCACTGGAGATGGTAGCACAAGAACGACTAACTAGAGAAAAAACTACCAATGGCTAAAGAACGACCCTTAGCTGCTAATAGCCTTAGGCTGATGACGAAAATATTTTTTTGCTGGTTAGCTCACTTCGCCGTGTCTACACTGGCATATTAGTGTACGAAAGTAGTCGTACGCCACAGCAAAGTGACCAGGGAAAAAAATTCTATGGTCGTTTTGGACTCGATGAGCTGTGTACAATCCTTGCGTCTACTCTTGGTGTTGCAGTCTAACGAGTTCGCCAACGCTTTTCCTCTAATACAATCATACAGTAGTATCAATATGTACTCCATGGAACGTTTCAGTAACACACATTAACGATGCTCTGTACACTAATTAGGCGACGATTATAGTCTGGTTTAGGTGTGAAAGCTTGGACACATGCCTACAGTACTGTAGTACCAGGAGCTATTTTCTCTTCTTCAAGTAGAATACTGTACAGGAAAGTAGTCTGCGACTCTGATCAGGATACCTGCAAGGCTGCAACTACCTGCAACCTGCCAACCGTAGTCCAAGGGCTACTTTCTCTTCTTCAAGTAGAATACAGGAAAGTAGTCTGTGACTCTGATGCGGATACCTACAACCTGCAACCGTAGTCCAGGGGCTGCAATTACCTGCAACCGTAGACCAACGGCTACTTTCTCTTCTTCAAGTAGAATACAGGAAAGTAGTCTGTGACTCTGATGCGGATACCTACAACTCAGAACCGAAACGGATAAACTGACTTTAAACGGTTCGTATGCAGTTCGAACCGAACCTCTGACAGGTCTACCTACAAAGCTGCAACTACCTACAACCTGCAATCGTAGTCCGGGGCTACTTTCTCAAGTACTGTAGAATACATTAAAGTAGTCTGTGACTCTGATGCAGATACCTCAAGGGGCTGCAATTACCTGCAACCTGCAACCGTAGTCCACGGGCTACTTTCTCTTCAAATAGAATACAAGAAAGCAGCTGTGACTCTGATGCGGATACCTGCTAGGCTACAACTACCTACAACCTGCAACCGTAGTCCAGGGGCTGCTTTATCTTCAAGTAGAATACATGAAAGTAGTCTGTGACTCTGATGCGGATACCTGCAACCTGCCAACCGTAGTCCACGAGCTACTTTCTTTTCTTCAAGCAGAATACAGGAAAGCAGTCTGTGACTCTGATGCGGATACCTGCAATGCTGCAACTACCTGCAATCTACCAACCGTAGTCCACAGGCTACTTTCTCTTCTTCAAGTAGAATACAGGAAAGTAGTCTGTGACTCTGATGCAGATACCATCAAGGCTACAACTACCTGCAACCTGCTAACCGTAGTCCTGGAGCTACTTTCTCTTCTTCAAGTAGAAAACAGGAAAGTAGTCTGTGACTCTAATGGGGAAACCTGCAAGGTTACAACTACCTACAACCTGCAACCGTAGTCTAAAGGCTACTTTCTCTTCTTCAAGCATAATACAGGAAAGTAGTCTGTGACTCTGATGCAGATACCTGCAAGGCTGCAACCGTAGTCCACGGGCTACTTTCTCCTCTTCAAGCATAATACAGGAAAATAGTCTCTGACTCTGATGCGGCATACCTCCAACCTCCAACCTATTCCTCAATTCCGTTTACATTCTCAGCATGTCTACCACCGTGCATTCATTAAATACTAGTAGACCTCTCGCTCGTTATACTAGGGACTACTCAACTAAAAATTCTCCCCTCAAAGCCGTAACTAAAAAATACATTGTTGATACTGTCGATTCGTTGCCGGTCCCGTGTACTAAAAGTACAGGGGAAATATTCTAGTTACGGCTTTGAGAGGAGAATTTTTAGTGGAGTAGTTCCTGGTTATTCTTGGCGTGTACTACAATTAATGTACACTCATTGTACAGTATTAACTCAGCAACATATATTGCATAAAACGAGGATATGATAATACATATCTGTATTGTATTGCACCTGTAAGCAGAATAGTAAGACATTGCCGGTAAAGCGATAGGTTAAAATGCAAGTACTAAATTATAAAGTAAAAAGCAGAGACTGATATTAGTACTAATTAATTATTTACAGACTGCATACAGTACACAAAATAGAACGAGCGTGGATTCTACTAGCTAATATAACTCCACACGTAATATACAGACTGTAGAATACAGTAAATTGACTCAATTATTATAGTACAGGTGGTTCGACTGCAGTAGTTAGAAGAACAATCATACAGGTGGTCCTTGTACATCAGTGGGTCAATAAATATGTTCTATCTGCACTATGGACTACTAAACGTTCCCCATGTATTTATATCCCATAGACTACTAGATATTAATAATAATAGTAGTATACGCGTATATGTATTATAGTCAGCCTGAAAGTTGGCCAATCCTCGATTACGATCGAATGTTGAATTGCTACAAACATATAATCTATATTCAGATCATCCATCATACGTAATAAAAGAGGGGCAATTACGTAATGTGAGTTTCATCGGTAAAAGTAGCTGCTCCGAAGTTATAATTCGTAGTCAAGATATTGACGGTAATACTGTACCTAGTGTAACCCTACATAAATGTCACTAGGTGACTTGACTGATCAGAAGTACTGTCCGAACCCTAAAACTTTCTGTGTAGGAGCGATCCTGTGAATTTCCTTCATTTCTTTATGGCAAAAAAATCTCCATTTTACTAGCAATAGTCATACAGAAGGTAAAGATCAAATTCATACTACTGAAAGTATAATTTTGTATGGCATAAGTTGATGTAAATAAAGGTAATCAATTCACAAGATGTAAACAATAATTTTAGCCTTTGGAAGTACTCTTTAGCTAGCCTATGATTACATGCAGGTAATAAATTCGTAAGATTTAAACAATAATTTAGGCATTGCCAACTTTGGGTTTATCTAGTGCTGTAGTTAATGCCTGTATATTACCCTTTAATTATATGATTTATTATAAAAATTGATTACAGCCCAAGTAGTTGATAGAATAAAGCAGTTAATAATTTTTTCTTAAACAAGACTATAAGGTATATCTAAAGTTACACGTACATGAAGATTTATAAAACTTGATTATAGCCATGTGAATGTAGCATATGAGAAAATAAAAGTTACAAAACAATTTAATTCAATATGATATTGCATGTGCTCATTAATACTTATTGTAAATACATCTAAGGGCATTTATATTCATTTATACGATATTTATAAGATGTAGTAATTAGATACTGTAGCCATTTTTAAGTAACACGTTTCTATTGTAATATCTAGGTCAAGACTAAGACAATCACTTTGCACAGGATTATTTCTAGTCAATAATATAACTTGTTCAGCACAAATATCCAATTAACTAGATATCATGCTCGGCTTAAAGATAGGATTCACCTTAGCAAATAACCAATCAGATAGCTCAGTTGGGCAACTAGCGATAATTCGAAATAATATAGACTGTTTTCCTACGAAGTAGTAATTCTTTGGATTCGTACTAATTAATGCATCTTCAACTACATTTACCACTGGATTCAGATCAACAGGAGCCTCACCAGCGATATTTCTAAAATTTGTGAAAACTATTATGCAAAAGATATTTGAATTAATTTAAAAAATGTAATTGGCAGCACAGGACATACTCCGAACATATACATTCTATAATTTAACTTATAATGCTCACAGGTACAATTGAACATAATCTAACGACTACAGAAAATTGCCTTTGCATTATATTTGAGAGAGAAGCAATGAAGTAGAGTAAAGTTAAGTAACTTATTCTTTAACTACACACTATACTAAACTGATACTAGGTAAAAGGGTTATGGTAGAATAATAACGTTTAGCAGTTTATCCACAATATACAGCATTCGATAAGATATTACCGTTGTAGTATACGATATCCGCTACACTATGATATTACATCAAAAAACTACATTATCAAGCTTTAACTACAATAGACTATGGTGTTGATGTCCTTAATGTTAACTACACCGACTGATTTAAATAGTTGCTAGCGTTAGTATATTATTATGGATAGAGTTAAATCTCTGTAATATGATTGATGTTGCTTACATCTATTATAGTTTATACTATACACAGATGTTTTCTTTAATTACTTCTTCAGTTTATCTTTCTCAGTAATAAACTGCCAATTAATTGTAATCCAATTACCATCACTATCGACTGAGATTTTTATCGACACGAGCTTTTATTATTGTACCTTCTATCGAGCGTATTTCCTTGCATTTAATCGTATAGTACAGTATTACTCATCTATTACGTTGATAGCAATAATCTATAGTATCTACCATCACATTATACGTGTGATTTATATACATAATCATCGTAGTTTAGTATCAGCGTGAATAATATATAACCGTTATCGATATTCGTACACTTACCTTTCTCTGGAACATCTTTATAACTTTCTTTTACTTCGTCATTTACAGCTTCGAATAGGGTATTCATTCCAGTTACTAACTTTTCAGTATCGAGAATGTTTGTCCGAAAGAATGTTGGACAAATACAACAGACCCTAACACCAAATGCTAACATCTCAAATCTTAATGTATTAGTAAATGCTACTAATCCAAATTTCGAGATACTATATGGCGCTGTAACTGGTGGTGCTTGGATACCAGCCAAGCTTGCCATGTTTACTACTCGACCTTTCTCTTTCTTGATTAACGGTAGAAACTGGCATGTAACCTCGATTAAGCCAAATAAATTTACATCAGCGACTTTACGAAATGTCTCCATCGGTAACCATTCGATAAATCCTGAATCTGCGATTCCAGCATTATTAACAAGGCCCCATAATCCTTTTCCATCTGGTAACTTCTTTTTTACTAGAGCCACTGTATTTTTAATTTGTTCGCTATTTGTAACATCGAGTACGAATGGAATCATCTTCTTAGAATGAACCTTTAATTCGTTAACAGCTGAGTCTGTTAAGCATGCAGCGAATACATTGACACCCACTTGATCTAATCTTTCAGCTATTGCTCGTCCAAATCCACTATCACAACCAGTTATAAGCACATATTTCTCGTCGATGTTGGCTATTTTAGACTTTCTGTTGAACATGTAATATAAGTACACTATAACAAATACAACATTACCAGCAATAAAAATTGTAGCAGCAGGTTCCATCGTTACAGCTCAATTGGAACATAAGTAGATTGAAGAAGTTACCAAATCTCGATAGCCTAAAGTCGTTCCCAAGCTGTTAAGCAGCGATACAAGTCCGTTAAAATACGACCGACTATTTGGAAGTTTTTCACTCAGCTTTATCTCTGTCGTAGATAGTGATTTTAATAACAATAATACTACGATATTATACCTGTAATTTATTCGTTAATTATTCATAATCTTATACTTATCGATCAATAAATAATGTATATCGACAGTACAGTAGATGCGCACTTAGATCTGAGATGATTTAAGTACTTCTACTGTCTGTTAAGCTGACCTTATGGTTTGGTATCATACGGGTATCCTACGCTAGATTTACTAGATTGTATGTTTAATACGATGTATTACTATATACAGCATTAGCCAGTTATAGTACATTTAAGATTACTGCATTAATTCGATATTACCTGAATTTTGTACAATGATTCATTTGCTTTCAATTCGAATTTACTTCAAATAATCTCTCTAATAGCTTTATGAAATAATCTGATCTTGCATATAAAGCTAAATAATTTAAAAGTTATTTTTCTATCGATCTTTAAACTTATTAATCAGTTAGTAAACAAAAATTCGTTAAATATTCAGTTCTATTTTCAAATTTTAAAGTACATATGTCGTACTATGAACTAGCAAATATTCCCATCTATTTATATACCATGGACTATTAGATATTTGGTGCATTGATTTCAATCCATTTTTGATCGAATATTGCTTGTATTATTATTAATGATAGTAGTATATGCGTATATGTATCATAGTCAGCCTGAAAGTTGGCCAATCCTCGATTACGATCGAATGTTGAATTGTTACAAACATATAATCTATATTCAGATCATCCATCATACGTAATAAAAGAGGGGCAATTACGTAATGTGAGTTTCATCGGTAAAAGTAGCTGCTACGAAGTTATAATTCGTAGTCAAGATATTGACGGTAATACTGTACCTAGTGTAACCCTACATAAATGTCACTAGGTGACTTGACTGATCAGAAGTACTGTCCGAACCTTAAAAATTTTCTGTGTAGGAGCGATCCTGTGAATTTCCTTCATTTCTTTATGGCAAAAAAATCTCCATTTTACTAGCAATAGTCATATAGAAGGTAAAGATCAAATTCATACTACTGAAAGTATAATTTTGTATGGCATAAGTTGATGTAAATAAAGGTAATCAATTCACAAGATGTAAACAATAATTTTAGCCTTTGGAAGTACTCTTTAGCTAGCCTATGATTACATGCAGGTAATAAATTCGTAAGATTTAAACAATAATTTAGGCGTTGACAACTTGATAATAGTGACCATAGTGGCATGACCTTAATGCAGTATTGCAGTTAATACAGTTGCAATTTTACTGATTATGTAAATATATTACAACGATTCGGAAAAATAATCTTGCTTAATACCTGTATATTACTCTTTAATTATATAATTTATTATAAAAATTGATTACAGCCCAAGTAGTTGATAAAATATAGCGGTTTATAATTTTTCTTAAACAAGCGTATAAGGCATATCTAAAGTCACACGTACATGAAGATTTATAAAACTTGATTATAGCCATGTGAATGTAGCATATGAGAAAACAAAAAGCTACAAAACAATTTAATTTAATATAACATTTCATGTGCTCATTAATACTTATTGTAAATACATCTAAGTACATTTATATTCGTTTATACGACATTTATAAGATGTAGTAACTAGATACTGTAGCCATTTTTAAGTAACACGTTTCTATCGTAATATCTACATCAAGACTAGGACAATCACTTTGCACAAGATTATTTCTAGTCAATATAATATAACTTGTCCAGCACAAATATCCAATTAACTAGATATCATGCTCGGCTTAAAGATAGGATTCACCTTAGCAAATAACCAATCAGATAGCTCAGTTGGGCAACTAGCGATAATTCGAAATAATATAGACTGTTTTCCTACGAAGTAGTAATTCTTCGGCTTCGTACTAATTAATGCATCTTCAACTACATTTACCACTGGATTCAGATCAACAGGAGCCTCACCAGCGATATTTCTTAAATTTGTGATAACTATTACGCAAAAGATATTTGAATTAATTTAAAAGACGTAATTCGTAGCACAGAGTATACGCCGAACATATACATTTGTAGTAGTTTCAGCTAATTACAGTAGTAATTGAAGTACGGTAGCATTGAGAAGTAAAATGGTCTACCATGCTTATAATCTTGAGTCAAGTCAAGGATTGCTCAATTTTAATAATTCAGATTTTGAGTTGAACGATTGCTAACCTAAGAGGTTGTAAAACCCAATCACTACAATATTCTATGTATAAACTTATAAATAATGCGTACAGGTAGAATTGAACATAATCTAATGACTACAGAAAATTGTCTTTGCATTGCACTTGAGATAGAGGCAATGAAGTAAAGTAAAGTTAAGTAACTTATTCTTCGACTGCACAGTATACTAAATTGATATAATATAGAGCATTCGATAAGATATTACCGCTGTAGTATACGACATCCGCTACACTATGATATTACATCAAAAACTACATTATCAAGCATTAACTACAGGAGACTATGGTGTTGATGTCCTCAATGTTAACTACACCGACTGATTTAAATAGTTGCTAATGTTAGTATATTACTATAGATAGAGTTAAATCTCTGTAATATGATTGACGTTGCTTATATCTATTATAGTTTATAGTATACACAGATGTTTTCTTTAATTACTTCTTCAGTTTATCTTTCTCAGTAATAAACTGCCAATTAATTGTAATCCAATTACCATCACTATCGACTGAGATTTTTATCGACACGAGCTTTTATTATTGTACCTTCTATCGAGCGTATTTCCTTGCATTTAATCGTATAGTACAGTATTACTCATCTATTACGTTGATAGCAATAATCTATAGTATCTACCATCACATTATACGTGTGATTTATATATATACATCATCATAGTAGTTTAGCATCAGCATGAATAATATATAACCGTTATCGATATTCGTACACTTACCTTTCTCTGGAACATCTTTATAACTTTCTTTTACTTCGTCATTTACAGCTTCGAATAGGGTATTCATTCCAGTTACTAACTTTTCAGTATCGAGAATGTTTGTCCGAAAGAATGTTGGACAAATACAACAGACCCTAACACCAAATGCTAACATCTCAAATCTTAATGTATTAGTAAATGCTACTAATCCAAATTTCGAGATACTATATGGCGCTGCAACTGGTGGTGCTTGGATACCAGCCAAGCTTGCCATGTTTACTACTCGACCTTTCTCTTTCTTGATTAACGGTAGAAACTGGCATGTAACCTCGATTAAGCCAAATAAATTTACATCAGCGACTTTACGAAATGTTTCCATCGGTAACCATTCGATAAATCCTGAATCTGCGATTCCAGCATTATTAACAAGGCCCCATAATCCTTTTCCATCTGGTAACTTCTTTTTTACTAGAGCCACTGAATTTTTAATTTGTTCGCTATTTGTAACATCGAGTACGAATGGAATTATCTTCTTAGAATGAGCCTTTAATTCGTTAACAGCGGAGTCTGTTAAGCATGCAGCGAATACATTGACACCCACTTGATCTAATCTTTCAGCTATTGCTCGCCCAAATCCACTATCACAACCAGTTATAAGCACATATTTCTCGTCGATGTTAGCTATTTTTGACTTTCTGTTGAGCATGTAATATAAGTACACTATCACAAATACAACATTACCAGCAATAAAAATTGCAGCAGCAGGTTCCATCGTTACAGCGCTACTGGAACACAAGTAGATTGAAGAAGTTACCAAATCTCGATAGCCTAAAGTGGTTCCCAAGCCGTTAAGCAGCGATACAAGTCCGTTAAAATACGACCGACTATTTGGAAGTTTTTCACTCAGCTTTATCTCTGTCGTAGATAGTGATTTTAATAACAATAATACTACAATATTATACCTATAATTTATTCATTAATTATTCATAATCTTATACTTATCGATCAATAAACAATGTACTGAACAGTATACGCGCACTTAGTTCTGAGATGATTTAAGTACTTCTACTGTCTGTTAAGCTGACCTTGTGGTTGGTTAGCTATCCTTGCAGCCTTGCAGTTCGACCGGATACCTACTTATGCTGCAAGGCGGCACTAAAATCAATCGCCTATGGTAATTGCCCAGTATCAAGATTGATCTCGAGCCACATTGGACTAATCTTCAGAATAGGATAATACTAATCATTATCCTGTAGTACTGTGATATATAGTAAAACACTACATTGCAGACAAATGCACTCTAAATTAATTCGATCTCTTTTTATTTATAACCATACCTATTATTAGTAAAAATCGATTTTTTTATGCTAGTATCAGTACAAGCATAACCAAACTCGATTGCATTAATTATATGGCAAACGAACAGCTTATAAAGCTGAGCTATGTCATAATCAAAACCTTGTTCATCTGAGTGAAGTTTGCCTTTTACTATAACTAACAACTTACAATAATGAAGAGGAAGATTTAGTTAATTAATCAGGTATAATGATTTGGTTAGGGTATTCTAATTCTAATGATAATCAATTAATTAATCTATTCTATTGTACTGTAGCGTTCGTGATAAATTATTTGCTATAATTAACTGAGTTCGAATAATAAATATGATAGATAAGGCGATTCTTTCTAGGCATCATCCATGAAACGAAATCCATTTCTTAATCTACGAAAGCAGACTTAATGGGATATCGGTAGTTTATTGGAGAATTGTTTTATAAATAATACAATTACTCTACAATTAAGATTACAATGACATAAGATTAATACTAATCATTGCAATACATAAATTATACATTAGATTCGAGGATGCCGCATCTTTACTATGCGAGGTAAACGAAAAATCTTGAAAATGTTCATGCCATTTTCTTGAGTAAGCTGGTATTGAAATCGTATAATTTTGCCAGATAATATTAATTAATGTGTATAGAATAGATCTCACTTTACTGTAGAGAGTTAAACTGTACATAGTACTGCAATTCTAGGGTGATAACACATATAGCAATAAAAGTATATTAGGCCCTATGACTTGGTAAGAAAATAGAAGGCATAATAAACATTGTAGAGATTCAAGGACATTCAATAAAATTTCAGGATAATAGTATATCTTAAAGCGATTGTTCATTCAATAAATTTGAACTAGCTGCAATTCTTAAATGGTTACTTTAGCTCTATAGTATCTTAGATGATAGTTGATCGATGCATTCGGTGGTATTCATTCAAGAATTAATTATACAAGGTTACAAGATTTAAGATTATTTGATAGGTATGTATAAAAGTGGTTTTAGTGATAACATCTGATAACTGAAGGTAAATATCCACATTAATTCATAGAAGAGCACCTATCGATAATTATGATATGATTAAAAAGTAGAAAGGGATCATGCCTGCGATGCTATTTATAACAGGGGCTCTGTATCGTTCCAATTTACTGCAGCTCCTGGCCATCTGAAATGATATTAGTAGAGAATGTTACAATATTAAATTTTTTTCTTAGCATATTTTGCAGATATTAAAATTTTGTGTAAAGTATTGACTTCAATAAAACCGTAAACTACATCCTAATACGTCAAAGATTTATTTCATAATTGATTAAGCGTTAAGAGTATAAAGGCTAAGACAAGATAAGACGCTAAAAAATAGTAAGTGATAGATCTATAAAAAAATTTGCTCTATATACCTCGTCCTAATACATAAATCTAACGGTGGGATGAGGTCCTTTTCATTGACCGTAACTTGCTGATATGGATCTTGAGGTTAGAATTCAATAGCAAGATTAATCACCAAAAATTAGAATGTTATTCCTAACTAGTGGTACTATTACTTACCCACAGTCAGCCTTATTTCTTCATCTTGATTTCCCAGACCATCGTAGTAATAAAGGTCAAAAGTTTTCGGTACATCACTGCATATTATCCAATGGAATAGTGTTACAATTCACTGCACTAAGATAGTGAATCAATTAAACTAATCCATCGGAAAACTATTAGTTCTTAAAGTAGAACTTGATTATTAAACTCTACCTGAGATCGAGTATTTTTCTGTTTAATGAGAAAACAACACTATAATGACTTTCACTATAAACTACCCATATTGGATACTCAGGCGATTTAAAATAATTTCCGACCTATGAATTAAAATATTTATTAATGACCGTCATTATACGATGCAAATATACAGTAGAATATATTTAACATAATTATACCTTGCACGATTCGTAATGTTCTAATAATGATAGTAATCCAATCTGACTTTGTGATTTTAGTCCAGTTAGTTGACACTTCACCAATGCAAAATCAAAAATTTAGGACATATAAAATAGAGTATACTGTTACTGCTTCGTATACATATTTTAGCTCGCTTTCTAAGAATAACCTTATCTCCTTCATTCCCCGTTAATTCAATAATGCCATCAAAGGTATTTGAAGTTGCTTTACCAGTAACGATTAGGTTGACAATTTCCTAACAAGAGCATGAATCAGTATATTATTTTGATCATTAAAGTAAAGATGACCCAACATTGGGTAATGGTATAAGATAGATCAATAAGCGAAGAGCAGAAGCTATACAGTGTGTAATTTTTCAATAAATAATAGTTTTGGTATTTCATAACTATGTCAAGATATAAATAACTTCCATTATATTTGAAAATGACTAAATCATATGATATTATAGTTTTCACCGTAATGTAAAATAGGGCTAGTAAATTCTTATATACCTGCGAGCAATAGTTGTAGGCGCCCATTAATTTGCAGTTTGGGTCATCCATATCTTCCTTAACTCTAGGAAGAATAAATAAGCATATGGAATCGATTTTTTCTTTGTGATAATTGGAAAGTCATTTATTGGTTAATAAGAAAGGATTTCAACGATGTAAGGGTTTAAGCCTACCCTTCAACTGTTCTGCTTAATATCAAGGAATATAAATACAGTATGCATCCATTTCCTTTTGGATTTTGAAACTACAGTATGAAAAACAATGGTGGTAGAAAGATTAAGATTGAGATTGACTTCAAACAACACACTTTCTCTATTAGTTAACATTATATATTAAGTAAGAATTAGCGATATAGGATGGAAATTAATTGCATCACTAGTTAAAAACCTGGGAAAGATTTTCTTGGATTAATTTGCGTAAGGACTCCAGCGATATGACAGTATGCAGTGTTAACTGAAATAACAATTTTAAATAAAACGGAAGTCGTGTAAAAATTTTTTGATATCTAAGCAGTATGTATAACAAATCTAAATAACATATTCACATAACTACCTTTTCAGTTAACTGATCAAGGCGAAACTGGGAATTGCCTTTAAAATGGACTGAGCTTTGTAACCTGTAATATTCCAAGTATTTAGCTATAGCAACGTGTAGTTGTTAAATATAAAAATTTAAAATGCCCTCAAGCAAATGCGATTCTTATTTATCAGATGCAAGCGCTGAGGCAAAAATATCACAAATTTGATTGAGATGCAAGACATTTACATAACAACTGTAAAAGTTCTATAGTAACATCTACTTTAATAATTTTATCTGTCTATAGTATCCCATTTAATCAAATTAAGAATTTGTTGCTAGACAAGTACAATAATACTTGACAATGAAATTAATGAAAAGTTAGCTATAACCATATGCAATAGTATGATTTTTCTAACGAATTTATCGATTTTGTACAGTATATTTCAGTAACTTACAGCGCTACAACGGATCGTCGGCAGTTGCCAGCTTTCCAAAGGGTTTCAGCTATAGCAAGTACAAGACTCTCTTGTTGCATACTTTCAGTTACGTTAGCGATTTGACTATAAAAGAAATTATCAAATGCTGAATTAGTAACTGCCATAAGCTATATTCATGCTTGAACAATAATTACAGAAAATAGTACGAATATTTCAATTCAGAGTTATGAAGACGATTGAATAAAAATTCGAGACACATCAAGAGAAATATTAAACACTGTATATTATTTCTAATAGTAACTGTAACAGTCTTGTTCCAAGACTTTTTCTGTAGATCTAAGAGATAGATATAGCTTGAAGCAATAAGTAAAACAGGCTCTGACAAATTATGCGATGCACTAGAAAAGTAGATGATAGTATTATTTATTTTATGGTTATTTACACCTTATTAATTTTATAACCTTTTAGCTATATTTTGATTTTCAGGATTTGTGAAAAGGAGATGCTTCAAGAAAAATGCTTGCAAAGCAGCTAAGATTCCACATGGGCCACCCTATAATATAGCCATTATCGTCATATGATATTAAAAATCCATACTCTTTAATTTTTTAGAGCTAATATTTGTTTAAAGTCGTGATTATTTTATGCACCATCAATACTCATAATAAATTAAAATCTAAAATTTAAGATACGCGTATACCTTTTTCTGCACTATACCATATTGAATACCCTCGACATCGCTAAATAGAAAGCTTTGAATTCTCCATTCGTAATTAAATAAGCCTGTACCTTTACCAAAAATGATTTCTTTCAATGCTGTTGCAATATTCAAGGTAATCGGAGTTTGTCGAGTTGAATCGTGCTGCTGTTGTATTCTCGGTGATAGTGTTGGAGAACTATGCTCTAGTTGATCTAGTAGCACAGTTAATTAAGCTGTTTAGAATGCAAAAGTCTCAAACTGATCCCACACTTCTTTACAAATTTAATAATTCATACCTTCTAATTCGATAGTTTCTATATCATTGTCGACATTTCCATTATTGCTAGTGCTATCGTCAATTACAGGTTTTGTTACTTTAGTAAAAACTTCATTCTAAATTTTCAGCTGTGATGGTCTCTATAACATTTTTACTATCATTAATTTGACTCTTGTTATGTTCTCGATAGATTAATTGATCAATAGAGACAGCACGAGAGTTACTGAATTGTTTCTCAAGCGTCTAAAAGTTCAATACGAAATGTTAGAGTAAGATCGTCAATAATTTTATAGCATTCTTTGTTCTGTAATTAGATTGAATTTATCAAGATTAATAGGACGCAAATAAATATTACTTTGTCTTCCGAGAAGCTAAGGCTTCTTCCAGAGCTCCTAGTCCTAGGTCTACTGGTTTCTTTGATATGCTTAACAATAACTTCAATCATGGTAGATAATGGCTGCTCCTGGCACTTATAAGCATAAAATTAAGTAATAATTATTAACAATAGGTATTGCTAGACGTTTTACCAATACATCGATTATATTATTAGATAAATCTTTCAAGAATTCGCCCATATAACAAAAATAAACCTTGTTTTTCTTCAGTAGTCCCTCAAGATGCATTTCTCTTGCAAGGGTAATCCGATTATTTATACTGGAATGGAATTAGGGCATCAATTATTCACAATTAAAAAAAGAAATTTATGATATATGATTTTAACAAAATTATTGATTCGATTTTTAACCTTGTTTACTGACCAAGATACTACTGTTATTGTTACTAATGATATATATAAGAATAATTTAATTCGTAAGCGATAGTTTTAATCTACCTGAGTTCCTGCCTGGGAAGCTCAGCATCCATAGTTTTAAGAGTTTCTTTTAGTCCCTACGTACAATAGATTATTATCGTATGCGCTAACAAATCAGTGCAACGAAAAACATTGTCGTACTTTTACTATACAAGTTAGTGATAAAATTTGCTATAATAAGAAGAATAATAAGGACGGTATAACAATTATTTTTACATTGTATTCTATAAATAAAAGAGTATGATGTTATACCATTATTAGTTCAGAAATTATTCTTATGAAGTAGATCACACATTAATTCCTGTTGTACCTTTCTACTGAGATATTCTCTAATCAATGAACTTGCAAGATTTTCGATAACTTTGTTTTCGATTGGCATATTTGTAATTTTTGAATGTAGTGGGCGAAAATTGTTGCTAGATAGACTTTATAGTATTAGTTGATAGATGGATATCTAAATGAATAGATTAAGGATTACTGATAGCGAATTAATTAAAATTGTTCAATGCGGTGAAAACCTAGTAAAAATAATTTTGGAAAGAGCAGGCTGTAATTAATTTGACATGAGTTTACTTCCATAATACAGTCAAAATTAATTTGATCCCGAGATAAGGTACTATGGCTAGTCTTAAAATTGATTGCAAGTATAGTTTATGATTATTTTGCTAATTCCATTTAATGTATTGTATATAATGTAGCGTATTTAGGCAATCCCTCAAATGAAATTAACGGCATATTATTCTTACTTACTATACAGCTATAAAATATAGAAAATTCTTACGCTCAATTTTGAAATATTGCCCGTTATTATTATTGATAGGAGTTGCTCATCATTTTACCTGCATTTTACTATATCAATCAAGAAATTAATTATGGAATACTACGATTTTCTAATAGAATAATGAGGATAACGATTAAGACTTTTGAAGGGGTGCTTCATGACTATCAAGGGAGAATATTAAAATAGCATGAAAATATTTTACTGACACACTGATTGAGTTTACATTAAGTCCAAAGTCTAAATTTACAGTTAATAAAAACGACAGTTAATAGACTAGTTTTTTATCTTATAGCCCTATGAAGGAAACAGGAAAAAAATTGTGAATTCAACTGTCTATTGCCCTACAATACATGCATCCAAATGTTGACATGAAGCGATGATCATACTCGTAATTTCGGGATTGACATAAATTGAATGTCTAGACTTTAAAATGGATTAATAAATGAATAGGTTGATGACCTAGCTCAATTAAGTCAGTGAGAAAAAGTTGACCACGTCAGATAACCATGCAAATCGTCTTGACGTATAAAATTAAACGTCATGATAAGATCGAAAATTTGGCCTAACAATGCGATAATGGTTAATTTACTAGAATGTCCTTCGTCTGTATAATTTGTTAAAATTAAGTGCCATTTTGATATTGATCTATGGATGATATGGGTAGATTAATCCATAACATTTATTAAAATCAACAGTAGTCAATAATCAGAGTTGCTCAGTAATGTTAATAATAAGCTGCTACTCTCAACATGTTCATTTGGACTTTTGCCTTTGGTAGCATTAAGAGATGATTTTAATTTAATTTTATCCTAGACTCTGTAGATGTTAAGATTCAAACATTTAAATTATTTGGTCGACAGGTATAGAATATTCCTTACCACTAAATCAATAGCGGATATAATAGTAATCAATAATCTAACCCACTCGATTATGCTGATGATAGCGAGCTGTACAGAGGTTAAGGCATTCATGTACGATGTCTATCTATAATAATATTAAGGATAAATTCATATCCTAATTTTTAACTCTATGGATGTTCATACTGAAATATTTAAATTAACGGATTGGTAAACGTAGAAGAATCCATTAGATAAAATGCCAATCGCGATAATAACGGTTATCAATGATTTAGCCTACTCTATATTGATGATAGCAAGCTAAAGCTGACAATATATTTATAGTCGATGTTTGCCCTACGATAATATCAATAAGCATACTAATATCATTTTAAAAAAATTCTATCGATATTAATTGAATTGGAAACTTTGAAATCTGATCAATAAATGTAGTAATCCACAATATCAAACACTAATAAAGGCGATAACGATAACTTTTTATCGAATCTGCCCAACCCGATAATGATGGTAGTAAATTACAACTCTCAACGTATTAATTTTCAATATTTGTCAATAGTAATATCAAGAGCTAAACCAAAGTCATTTTTTTAATTCTATCGATATTGGAATTAAAATATTGGCATTTGATCGATACATATTGTGCAATCTATGAATATCGAATGCCAAAAGCAGTCGTGATGGTAACCAATAATCATAATCTAATCTATCCGATCATGTTGATGATAACAAGCTACAGCTCTTAACGTATCCGCTAAAACACATTCATTTTCTATATCTGTCTAGAGTCATATCAAGAGAAGAACTAATGTTATTTTTTCTAAATTTTGTCCATATTGAAACCGAAATACTGACATCTGATCGATAGGCGTGCACTTATTCACAATATCGAATACTAATAACGATAACGGTAATCTGTGATCTGACCTACGCGATAACATTGGTAATAGCAAGTTACAGCCCTCAACATATTCAACTTTCAATATTCGGTTTAGAGAAATATCATGAGACGAACTTCTGTCATTTTTTCTACATTTTATCGATATTGAAATAGAAGTATTGACATCTGATCGATAGACGTAGAGCAATCTACAATGTCAAATGCTAATAACGATAACGGCCACCCACGATGTGATCTACCCTATAATGTTGATGACAGCAAGCTACAGCTCTCAACGTATCCATTTCAATATCTATCTAGAGTTATATCAAGGCATGAATCAATGTCATTTTTTTCTAAATTTTGTCTAAGCTGAAATAGAAATACTGACATCTGATTGATAGACGTAGAGTAATCCACAATATCAAATGCTAATAACGATAACGGTAATCTATGATCTGACCTACTCGATCATGTTGTTGAAAGTAAGTTATAGCTCTTAACGCCTTAACTTTCGATATATGTTTACAGTAATATTAAGAGATATATTGATGCCATTTTTTTAGATCCTATCCATATTAAAATGGAAACGTTGAAATCAGCTGATCGATAAATTTAGACTCATCTAGACTACTAAATATTACTAACGGTAATCCATGATCCGACTTACCCGACAATATTAACGATAGCAGATACACTGTTACTGCCTTAATTTTCGACGTTTAGCTACAGTAATCAAGGGACGAATTAAATCATAATTTCATACCACTCTATCTCAGTTGAGGCTCTATTAATGCTAATATTGAAGCATTTGAAATGATTAATGGATAGCCGATGATATAATCAATGCGATCGCAATCCTCATTATTTATGACATGACTTACCGGACAGTGTTGATATTAAGAAGTTCCAGTTCTCAACACATTTACTTTGAGATAGCTGTTTGCGGTTCTATCAAGGTCGAATATAAATCGATTCCAATTGAACTACAGTAATTTACCTTGCTCATCAATGGAAGATCGGGAAAGACTAGCTAAAATTGATGACAACCTCTTGTTTACCTTATAAACAAGCCAGTGAGTGGAAGAATAGAAGTTAATCAGTTAGACTATATAAGCTACAGCCTTCCTTTCTACCATTGAGGGAATACAGTATAGTATAGCGTGCAAAATGGAATGTCACTTGTTTCGGGGTCATTCATAGGACTGATAATAGGGCTAAGCTAGGCGAGGAAGTCAAATGGGGTGGCAGCTCATTTTGCACACAGCAGATCAATTGTAGCCCAAACCATTCCTTCTAAAGCACAAAATTGTATAGAAAATAATACTGTTCTATTTACTAGAGTAAAAATAGTACAGGCCTCCAAGATAGCTTACAAGTATCGCAATTATGATGGATTGATGATGACTTTTGCTATCCATTTCTACGTTATGGATCGCTAGTAGACCTGTCCAAAGTAGCCAAAAAAGAAAGAGAATGATCGCTTTTACTGTCCCTTTCTAGAATTATTTCAAGGACAGTATCGATTACTGATAGAGGAGTGTATTAATATAGACCGTTATCCGAAGTCCTTAACCCCTTATTTAACCATAAAATGCGAGCATATCATCCCTGACGCATTATTGTTGAGTAAATAAGCCATTAGTTCTATTGCTGTTTAAATAATCACGGTATGCAAGATATTCTGCTACCTCTTCAATTCATCCTTATCAAGAATAGAATAGACAGTGTAACACCAGAAATAAAAGCTACAGCCACAAGTTATTTTGCACAGGATATCGCCTGATCTATAGTATTTATGAATAATTCATGATAATTCCAAATTAATTAATTCTATTCCCTAGCATAGTTATTCTGCTATTAGTAATGTATAACGTAATCTCTCGAGCAATTTGGTGACTAGGTACCTAAATCTCCATTTCTTCCTCCTCATCTTGGATTGGTAGCAAGTAATATTACTACCTGAGATTGCTTTGTTTCTAACTTTGTACCATCGACGATGGTACAAAGTAACAAGCATTACCAGACCTCTATCCTGACATTGAGCCTTATGACTCTGGTTTCTTAAAAGTCTCCGATCTTCATACTATTTATTACGAACAGTGTGGCAATGCATCAGGCAATCCGGTGATCTTTCTATAGGTTAAGAATGCTTTACCATTCTTTAAACTAGCCATAATTGTGTATGATGGATTGGCAGTAGTGATGATTGGAGCATTGTTAGCATATTATATAAGGAATTAGACTAATTTAAATCACATCTGATGAATTATTTTTTACAAATTGTTGCTCTAAAGTAATGTTTACTATTTGCTACGTTAGCAACTGTTAGAGCTTCGGGACATCGAATCAGTACTAGTAAAGGGGGGGGGAAAGTAGAGGTATTTCTTTCTTATGCAATGAATAGATCTCGCTGATTAAACTACAGTAAAGTGAGAAGCTCAAAAATTCAACCCTAGTATTGAATCAGTAACGTATTATTTAGAGAAAATGAGCCATTTCTTTCTAAGATACAATATTTTAATCTCTGATCGAATCTCAACGAAATAAGAAGATTTAAAATGTAAATCTTGACGTCGAATAAGTGTTAGTTGAGGGGAAAATAGATATATTTCCTTCTAATGCATTGAGTAAATCTCTCTAAGAGAACTGCAATAAAGAAATCAAAATTCAGTCTTGATATCAAATTAGTAGATGATGAGAAAAGAAAATGGATACAGACGCATTTTACCAGATTATATTAGGGAGATTACTCTGATAATACTAAAATAAAGTATAAAATCAAAAAGTCCAATCCGAATACTTAATCAGTAGTTGTAGAGAGACAATTCCTGCTATTGCTTTACATAAATCTCCCAATAGAATTGCAATAAAGTAACGAGCTAAATGTCCAATCTTGACATTTAGTCAGCTGCAGTAGTTGAGGGAAAAGGACACATTCCCATCTAATACAATATTTTAAATCTCTCTGATGAAATTGATAGTAGTGGTAGAAGAACCCCACTGACAAGAATTGGATTGCATTAATCATTATAATCATTTCTAAAATAAAGATACTGGTACTTGACAAAATTATACTTTGCAATAATGCAGTAATCCATTAAGATATAGTTGACCAGTGTGATCCTTTAATTTACTGCATATACCCAATTACTATAAATCCAATTCTGCAGTGTTTAGAATAACTCGATTGACGACTGGTAAATTATACAACATGATATCAAATACAGTTGCCGTGGTCATACTTCGTCTAACTTATACTGTATACGATGCTAGTCTCATTGCCAGTATATTATTCTTTACGTGAGCAGTATGATCAATCCTGATGAGAAGTTAATTTGATCATTTGTATTGATTATAAAATTTGATATACGAAGGTTGAGGGTGGAGAACGTGATGGGTGCATATTATCACCCTTTGACTGGCAATGACGAAGAGGTAAGGCCAAACTGCTATTCACACGTCAGCATTTTATAACCAATTCTTTATATGCGGTAACGGCATTGCGATATTGATAGTTTGTAGAAAACGAAATCATTTTGGTTTATATCCTATACTTAACATATAGGTTGAAATACGATATACATGTGCATGGTGCAAATGGGAATTGTCAATATTAAGACTATTAATAGACGAAGAAGTCCTCGCTCTCTTTGAAATTGACCATTTCACCCTCGCTTTAGCTCATATTGAATGGTGCATCAAGTTTTCGCCTAGTTAATATTGTCGATCATAACGTTATATATTGAAATTAATTCAACAGTGACTGTCTTTCTATCCGGTATGTTTTTATGATTGAAGCCATTTCATGGTTCATGGCGGATATTTTAAGAGTACAAATCACATTCTGGATAACGTGGAAAAGATTCGACATATATCAGGTGCCATTGTGCAAGGATGATATGATGTCATATGTCCCATCCAGACCGCACGGGATTTGCATAAGGTTCAAATTTGATAGACAAATGAGCTGTTCTTAATTTGTTCACTACAAAGAAGTTGTAGTTCTACTCTACATTTTCATTCTAACATATGCATGTTCCCTTAGGCATGGCCAGAGGCTAAATTTCATGTTGTTCCCGATGTCGGACATAATGACTATGAACGTGGGATAATCGGAAGACTTACAGAGGCTACTGATAAATTTCGTAATATTTAGAGAGGAAACAGCCACGTTTTTAACATCAATTGATGAAAGATGTACCAGTATAATATACTATCTACTTGAATAGTTATTAATCCGACCTAATGACCCTACAATAATGTTGCATCAATATAGTAGTGAAATATTCATGACATTTACTTCATCGCGATTATTTAGACTTGCATTAACGTCTGTGTAATGGAATTTAGTAAAGAAAATGTTTTATTCTGCAAATAAACTTTTTTTTGATGGATTAATTTCTTCTATTAGTAATAAAATTTGTTTGGTGTGTCGAAAAAGTTTATTCCATTCTACATTGGTCATTACTGTAATAATATCTTCTTTAAGTAGCGTAAAGTATTTTAAGGTAGACGATGATAGAAGGTATAAAGGATTTTATTGAGATACAAGTTATAGGCTATCAATGATATGGTTGTTATAGATAAGGTATTTGAGATAGCAGGAATGTAGGAACTGACTAACGAGTTAGCTTACAAGGGTATTTATAGGTTTTAGATGAGATTGAGATAATGTCTTTATATGTATAGCATGTCGTCTATATGTCGTCATGATGTCGTACATTATGAATGTAATGCAATACAGTACTTAAATGGTATATAATAAGCATTCGTATATTAGGATATTACTATACTAGGCATCTTCTATATAAGATCATAATGTTACAATTACCTGATTATATTCGATTTTAATTAGCAATACTCAACAACCTTGACTGCATTACAATATACTAGAATTAATTTTAGTCAAAGTATTACTATAACTTTTCTGGTTAGCTGCAGCTTTCACCGCATTAAATTCTGATATCTGTCTGCAGTAATATTAAGGGATGAATTGATGCCATTTTGGATCCAATTCATATGATAGAAACATTGAAATCAACTGATTGATGGACGTAGACTCATGTACAGTATATTATTAAAATAATAATAAACGGTAATCCATGATCTAACTTACCCGACATTTCTAATATTAATGATAGTAGGTACACTCAGGCTTTGACTTTTGACGTTTTCCTATAGTATATCAATGGACGAATTAAATCATGATTTTATATAATTTTATACCAGTTAAGGCTTTATTAATGTTAAGATTGAAGCATTTGAAACGATTGATGGATAGGCATTGGTATAATCTATTTGATAGCAGCCATCATTATTTAAGACATGATTTACCGGACGGTACTGCGGTTCTACCGAGGTTGAATACAAATTGATCCTAATTTCCAAATTGAACTACAGCAATTTACCTTGTTTATCAACGGAAGATCAGAAAAGACTAGCTAAAGTTGAAAACAACCTCTTGTTTATCTTATGAACTAGCCAGTGAGCGTAAGAACAGGGAGTTAGTTATTTTACAGTTAGTATAATGAAAGCTAGCGAGTGCCCCTCTGCCACAATACTGTAGACCACATTAATAAAAATATACCGCTATTCTACATTCCTAGCAATTGTTCAGTCACTGGACACAAACATATAATTTCTAGATACAATTGTTGATTTTATAATCCATCAGTTCTACGGCCGTTTAAATAATCAGAGTGTGTAGAATACTCCGCCACCTCTTCGATTCACCCTCCTCATCAAGAGTACTCAGTATAACAGTAGAATTAGAAGCTACAGGCAGGACAAGTTATTTTGCACAAGACTTCACCTAATCCTTTAACGACTAATTGATGATCTTTCCAAATTAATTAATTCTATATTTTCTATTAATTTTAGTAAGGCTTTTGCCACAATAGACGGCATTGAAACATACTGTTATCCTAAGTTCCCAACTCTTGTTCAACTACAGAATACAAGCATATCATTCCTGACGCAATTGTTGAGTATATAATCCATCCATTCTATTGCGGTTAAAATAATAGTTAATCATTGTGTGCAGCTATTCTGCCACCTCTTCGAATTATCCTCGTCAAGAATAGACGCTATAATAATAGAAATAGAAGCTACAAGAACGACAAGCTATTTTGTACAGGGTATCAGCTGATCTATTTACGAATAATTGATGAAAATTTCAAATTAATTCATTTTAGTCCCTCGTTATTTTATAGTTAGTATAATTAAAACTACGTATAACATATTCTCTTAAGTAATCTCGTCACCGAATAATTGATAATAATTCCAAATTAATGAATTCTATATTCCCTTATTATTTTTATTGTAAGCTAGCGAGTGCCTGCCGCTATAGATACCATGACAATGAGAGCAATCTCGTCACTCGATACGTAAATCTCCATTTCCTCCTTGTAATAGTAAGGGGATTGGTAGTATTTATGGAGATTTAATAAGCTGACTTTAGGTAAGATTAATGAGATCCACGAAAGTAGATAGAGCAAAGGGCTACTAGATATCACTAGTCATTTTTAGTCGTCCATGATAGAGGGAATGAAGAACTTTGTTCTCAAGACACAGAAAATCACGTACGTGCATTTGTGCACTAAGTTAATAGAAAGACATGCAATACTCTCATTGACTCGATAAAGAGACAATCCAAGCAGGGACATAGTTATAATACAACATACTATAAGCATAATTGATTATTTATTTAATTTAATTAATATCACAGCAAAGACTTGTGAGTATTTCTCTTACTAGTCCCTCGTTACACTGGCCACCTTGGATTGGTAGCAAGTAAATATCACCACCTGCGATCGCTTTGTTTCTAACTTTACACCATCTATGACAGTGCGTTCTGTAAGTGGTTTACTATAACTATCATATCTTGTACTAAACATGATAGCCAATCAGAGACAACGATATCTAGGAGTTATAGCTATACATGCTGTATATATATATATATATATATATATATGGAAGTCTTATCCTTATTACGATATTATCACGGTTAAAGGTTTACTTTCTTTCTATACCGCTGACTGCTGGAGTAACCATCAGTAATTAAGCTGTCAAGAAAACTCCTTCCTTCATCCTCAACCTGTCTACACAATCCTTGTGAGTCAGATATAACATTACACCATCAACGATGGCAAACTCACAAGCATTACCAGATCTCTATCCTGACATCGAGCCTTATGACTCTGGTTTCTTAAAAGTCTCCGATCTTCATACTATTTATTACGAGCAGTGTGGTAATGCATCAGGCAATCCGGTGATGTTTTTGTAGGTTAAAGTTGCTTAATCATTCTTTAAACTAGCCGTAATTGCGTAACATAGATAAACGTAATCTATAGTCGTAATCATCCTTTATCTAATTTATATACAATGTTAGTCTCATTGCCTATAAATTATTCTTGATGTGAACATTGCAATTAATCCTAGTAAAGCACAAATACATCAGAAAGGTTTTAGATTTACCCACGATAAAAGTCATAATTCCCTGGCTATTTGGATATTGTATCTCTAGCTATCACATTATCTCTTTTTATCATAAAGTATAGATAAATTAAAATTGAAATTGTGTGAATATGTTGTTGCTATATCGATGAGATTGATCGCTCTTATCTTCCAGTTCTTTCTACAACTATAAAGTAGCCTGGAAGACATAGAGTAAACGGAAATGATCATGATAGATTGTAACATTTGCATAATAAAACTATTCTACCTTTTACTGATTAATTATCATTAATAGACACGGAGGCCCTGGAGCTGGAACTTCTGAACATGATCGTCGCTATTTTGATCCAGAGAGCTATAGAATTATTATGATGGATCAGCGAGGAAGTGGAAAATCAACACCTTTCGCTGAACTACAAGTAAGATATAAATTTATTACTTACTCAACTTGACGGAATACAGAATTCATCCCGAAATTGATTGCAAGGATATTACACAGTAGATTTAGAATTTATCATGAGACTGATTAAAGCATGAATTAAATTCTCAATTAGGATAATAACACTTGGACTCTTGTCGAAGATATTGAAATCCTACGAAAGCATTTAGGTTCGTTTATGACAAGTTGTAATTTATGACTAACTTGGTGAAGAAACAGCTGTTAAGAAATTTTGGGTAGCTATGGAGTGAGACAATACTTTGTTTAATTGTATTGTAAATAAATTTTCTATTCTAGGGATAGAAAAATGGGTTGTTTTCGGTGGAAGTTGGGGATCAACATTATCTTTGATCTACACTGAAGAATACCCAGAACATGTTAAAGCGCTCATTGTCAGAGGAATTTTTACTTTTAGAAGGTAGTGAATATAGTGATTACCTTTCATTTAGTGATCAATCCTACTCACAACATGAAAATTTCTTACTCAATATAGAAAAGAAGTGACATGGGTTTATCAAGAAGGAGCATCAGCTCTCTTTCCAGATTATTTCGAAGAATTTGTTGAACCAATACCTGAGGTAATATCAGTACTCAACACTTTTTATGATGATGAGAAAGTTATTTCGATCGTTTGTATTGATTATAAAATTTGATACACGAAGGTTGAGCGTGGAGATTTGATAGGTGCATACTATCGCCGTTTGACTGGCAATGACGAAGAGGTAAGGCCAAACTACTATTTATACGTCAGCTTTTTACATCAATTCTCCATATGCAGTAAGTGCATCGCGATACTGCTAGTTCGTAAAGAACGAAATCATCTTAGTTTATATACTAACTATATTCATTACATACAGGTTAAAATACGATGTGCTCGTGCTTGGTGTAAATGGGAAATGGCAATATCAAGTTTGCTAGTAGATGAAGAAATCTTCGCTCTCCTTGAGAACGATTATTTCACTCTCGCTTTTGCTCGTATTGAATGGTACATCAAGTTTTCGCTAAGCTAATATTGTTGATCATGACATTGTATCATAAAATTAACTCGACCACGACTGTCTTTCTTTACGGTATGTTTTTATGATTGAAGCCATTTTTCCGTTCATGGCGGATGGTTTAAGAGTGCAAATCACATTCTGGATAACGTGGAAAAGATTCGACATATTCCCGGTGTCATTGTGCAAGGACGGTATGATGTCATATGCCCTGTCCAGACTGCACGGGATTTGCATAAGGTTCAAATTTGATAGACAAATCAGTGCTTCTTAATTGGTTCATTACGAAGAAGTGGAAGTTCTATATTACGTTTTCAATCTAATATATCCATGTTTCTTTAGGCATGGCCAGAGGCTGAATTTCATATAGCTCCCGATGCCGGACATAGTGAATATGAACGTGGGATAATCGGAAGACTTATAGAGGCTACTGATAAATTTCGTAATATTTAGAGAGGAAACAGCTACGGTTTTACATCAATTGATGAAGAATTGTAGATGACCACTAGTAGTATACTATGGGTAGCGAGCATTTATATGCTACTTGAATAGTTATTAATTCGACCTAACGGTCGTACAACAATATTGCATCAACATAGTAGCGATATATTTATGATATTAATTTCATCGTACATATTTATTAGACTTGCATTAAAGTCTGAATAGTGGAGTTTCGTAGAGAAGATGCTTTATCTGCAATTATGTTAAAATTGATTCCTTTCTCCTTTTAGAAGTAAAACTTGTTTGGTGAGTCGAAAAAGTTTATTCTATTCCACTTTGGTCACTACCTGATTGTATTCAATTTTAATTAGCAATACTCCACAAACTTGACTGCATTACAATATATTAGCATTAATTTGAGTTAAAGTTTACTATAATTCTATTGGCTAGCTACAGCTTCACGGCATTAACCTTCAATATTTTTCTACAGTAATATTAAGGGATGAATTATTGCCATTTTTAGATCCAATCCATATTAAGATGGAAACATTGAAATCGACGTAGACTCATGCATGTATACAGTACTATTAAATACTACTAAACGGTAATCCATTATCCGACTTCTCCGACATTCTAGTATTAATTAATACAGTATTGCTGATTATACAGAACAACGTGGTGGACAGCATGGATAGCTAGTTTTTATTCGAATAGATCGTTATCCCAACCCTTGTTAAACCATAGAATTCGAAAGTAGAATCCTTGATCCAATTCTTCAGTTCATTGAATACTGCCGAATATTGTATAATCCATCGGTTCTATGGCGGTATAAACTACCACTGCGTGCAGAATATTCTGACACCTTTCAACTCATCCTCATTCATCATGCAAATAGAATAGACAGAGCACACCATAGCAAAAAACAACAGGCGTGACAAATCATTTTGCACAAGGTCTTGAATAATTAATTATAATTAATGAAGAACAATAAAGAATAATATATTGAAACATGTCCATCTGTTCTCCACTCCTTATTTATTTATTTATTTATTTCACTTGAAAGCTAGCGAGTACTGCTCACTTCCACGGGTAAATTACGTAATCTCTTGAGCAATTTCGTCACTTGCCATCTTAGTCTCCAATTTCCTCCTCTTCTTGGATTGCTAGCAAGCGTTACCACTACCGGTAATCACGTCGATTGCTAAGTGATAGAATCCCCCATGATAAGCTTAGAAGTATTGGATGATCTCTATCCTGAGATCGAGCCTTATGATATTGGTTTCTTAAAAGTTTCCAATCTCCATACCATTAATTACGAGCAGAGCGGTAATGTATCAGGCAATCCGGTAATCTTTCTGTAGGTTTATTGCTTAATCCTTGTCTAAATTAGGCGTAAAGTAAAGCAAAAATAAACTATTAACCGGATGGTGGAACGATATGCATAACGATGGCAGCTTGTATCGTTTGACTTTATTATTGTAGATCAGCCATCATCTACTAGTGCATCTTGCTTTTTATTCACTCCGAAATCAAAACACTGCCACTTACTGAAAAACTATATGAAGCTGAACAGACTACGTATTATGCATCACATAGTGCTTCTCTTCCTATTGCTATTGTAATGAGCTGAAAGTACTATATCTATCCATGGATACAAGGTGTGCAGAGGTATTGACATTGCATTGCATTCAATGCACAACTTTTCGGTGTCTGCCTATAGTAATAACAAGATATGAATTAGTATTATAAGTACATTTTAGCTGCATGGGTATTAATACTGAAACATTTAAATTAATTGATTCAGAGTCGTAGAAGAATCCATACCAATGAATGTTTATCGCAATAATAATAGTAATCATTGATCTGACCTACCCGATAATGATAAATGGCAAACTACATCTCTTAGCGCATTTATTTCGATGTTTATCTATGGTATTATCCTGGGATGAATTAATGCCAATATTTACTGTACGCGTATTCTATCGATAATAAAATGAAATGTTTGAAATCTGATCAATACATGTAGAGTAGGCTATCCAGAATCTGGTCTGGCCTAAATATAAAGCAAATTCACAATATTGAATTCGAATAGCGATAATATAGTTAACTGATGATCTAACTTACCCGATCATATTGATGATAGTTACAGCTCTCTATATATTAAATTTTCGATATTTGTCTAGAACAATATCAAGAGATGAACTATTATCACCATTTATTTTCTAATTTTTATCAATACTAAAATAGAAATATAACATGTGATCGATAGATTAGAGGAATCCAAATTATATCGAATGCCAATAACCATAACGGTAATCCATGATCTGACCTATCCGATAATTATCGGTAATAACAAGTTACAACCCTCAACGGCTTAACTTTCTATATCTGTCTACCGTAATATTAAGAGATGAATTAATGCCATTTTTTAGATCCTGTCCATATTAAAGTAGAAACTTTAAAATCGACTGATCAGTAAACATAAACTCATGCATACCATTAAATATTTCTCATGGTAATCCATGATCCGATTTACCTGATAATATTAATGATAGCAGGTACAATTTCAAGGCATCCATTTTTGACGTTTGCCTGCAGTATATCGAGGGATGAATCGAATTATGATTTTATACTATTCTATCCTAGTTGAGGGTTTATTAATGTGACTATTGAAGCATTTGAAACAATTGATGGATAAGCCTCGATATAATCCAAGCGAACGCAACTATCATTCTATATAAGCCCCCATAATTGGCCATTTTGGCTAGCACTACAGTAGACTGATGTTGCTTGAAATGGTTGAATATTGTTGTGCATTATTCATGGCATAACTAAGCTGCAGCTCTCAATTCATTCGCTTGAGATAGGTGTTTACACTTCTATCGTGGTTTAACACCAACTGATTCCAATCTCCAAATTGAACTGCAGTAATTTACCTTGCTGGTCAATGGAAGATCTAGAATAACTAGCTAATGCTTGAGGTAACCTTTCGCTTACCTTGTTAACAACTCAGCAATTGGAAGAATAGGAGGTTAAGGTTAGACTGCAAAAGCCAATATCATACGATGAAGCACAAGAATGTACTGTGTGCAAAATGAAATGTCACCCATTCAAAGCGTCAACTAGACCTAAGTATTGCAACACAAGATTATACTGTGTGCAAAATGAAATGTCACCTCTTCAAGGCGTCTGCTATAGTCTTGATTGATACCACTGTAGTAGAAAGCAAGTCCAATAGCAGTAGGTGATTTTGCACACCACAGTTCCATTGCAGCGCAAACTACCCACTTTAAAGCATATAACTGTATAGAGTCTACTTATTCTACGATCCAGGTTGCAGGGAAAAGCCTTCATGATGATCTACAAACATGATGGATCGATAGCTTTTGCAATCGATTTCTTCATCATTAATCATAGCCAGCCAATATGTGCAAAGTAGTCAAATAGAGAAAGAAAGAGATGGATCGCCTTTGCTGTCAATTTCTGTAGTATGATGGATAATAAAAGTAATATTTAGAGGTGAGTAAGATCACAATCTTACTAATCTCTAAACATGGCCATACTTGGTATACAATACGAGTGTATCTGCAGCAATCTCGAAGACAGCATGGATAGTTCGTTTTGATTTAAATAGACTGCTATCCTAAACCTTGTTAATCTACAGAATACCAGTCTAGAATCGCTGATCCTATTTCTTGGTTGATGAAACATAATTCTAATCGGTCGGTTCTATCGCGGTGTAAACGAGCATCGTGTGCAAAATAGTGTTGCAACTTTTCACTCATTCTCAGCCATCGGGGATAATCGAATCGACACTGGTACATCAGCAATAGAAGCAACAACAGTGACAAGTCATTTTGCACATGGTCTTGAATAAATAATTAGATGATGATGATGATAGTTGAATAATAATGATCAGTCCATTCGAAATAGAACATAATTATAATTGGTAGATTTCTTATGTATTTATTTAACTTGAAAGCTAGCGAGTGTTTCTCACTACCACGGGTAAATTACGTAATCTCTTGAGCAATTCCGTCCCTTGTCTCCTCGATCTTCATTTCCTCCTCACGTTGGATTATTAGCACGCAATATCACGATCTCCAATTACCTTGTTTCCAAAAGTAACCATCATGGCAAGCATAGAAGTATTACCCGACCTCTATCCTGAGATCGAGCCTTATGATACTGGTTTCTTGAAAGTCTCCGATCTCCATACTATTTATTACGAGCAGAGCGGCAATGCATCAGGCAATCCGGTGATCTTTCTGTAAGTTAATTGCTTAATCCTTCTCTAAATGAGACGTAAAGTAAAGCAAAAGTAAATTACCGGATGCTGGATAGACCAGCATGATGATAGCAGCTTTTGGCCATGTACTATAGCAAGATTAGACATAACTACACGGTAATGAATTGCACCGTTTTATCATACCATCCATCATCTACAATCACTTTACTTTACTTTATGAAGCTTAATAGACTATTCTAAATCACATATTACCTCCTTCCTATTACTACTGTAATTAGCTGGAAGCACCAGATTTATTCTTTGCGATTATTTGATTATAATTTATAGAAATCCTTATTCCAATTCGTAGTTAATGTGTAAGTTAGTCTTCCAGGAGTAATGCCATGATTGAAATCAGTATTAGTTAAGGGAACGCATGTCCTTGTTAAAGCAATAGGTAGATCTAAACGACTGGATTATAATAAAATAAGAAGCTAAAAAATTCCAATCTTGACATTCAATTCATATCTGTTCAGGAAAAAAACGAGACATTTCTTTCCAAAATGCATTAGCTAAATCTCTCTGATAGAATGACAATGAAATAAGAATCAAAAAAAATTCAATCAGGACGAATGGAGGGGATAAATGGAGAATTTTCCTTTTAATGCAATAAATGATCTCTGGTGGAAGTCCAATAAAGTAAAAAGCCGAAAAATAATCAATCTTGACATCGAATTAATAGTACTGGACATAGTTGAGAGGAAAGTAGAGATCTTTCTTTCCTTCTGTGCCGTGAATCGATCGCTCTGATCAACCAAAGTCAAGTAAGAAAATTTGAAAAATTCACTCTTGACATTCAACCGTTGATTCAGAATAGGGAAGGTGAGGGGAAGAAATAGAGCTATTTCCTTCTAGCAAAGCAGGTAAATCTCTCTGATGAAACTATAGTAAAGTAAAGAGCCCCCAAAACTCAATCTTACCATCGAATTAGTAGTACATAGTTGAGGGAAAGAGAAATCGTTATTTCCTTCCATGCTGTAAATAGATCGCTCTGATCAACCATGGTAAAGGAAAAAATTGAAAATTTCACTAATGGCATCCGATCAGTAATTCATAATTGAGAGTAAATGGAGACATGTTCCTTCTAATGCGGTAGGTAGATCTCTCTGATTGAACTACAATAACGTAAGAAACCAAAAGTCCAATCTTGACATCAAATCTGTAACACATAGCAGAGAAAAAAATGGAGGCATTTTCTTCTAATGCTTTGAATAGATCGCTCTGATGCAACTACAGTACGATAAAGTTTGAAACTGAAAATTGACTCTTGACATCAATCAATAGTTCATAGTTGAGAGGAAAATGAAGATATATTCTTTCCAATGCAGCAAGTGAATCACTCTAATAACACTATATTAAAGCAATAAACCCAAAAATTCAATCCTGACATTAAATTAGTAGTACATCGTTAAGGGAAAATGGAGACAGTTCCTTCTAATGTAGGAAGTAGGTCGCTCTGAAGGAACTACGATAGCTAGTGTACAGTAAGTAGTCAAATGTCCATTCTTGAAATCAATATAGCTACAGCCTATGAAGAAGAATTGGACACATTTCCTTCTAAGGCGTTAAGTAAATCTTTCTCAAAGTACTGCAATAACTAAGAAGCCAACATCCATTCTTGTCATCAAATCCGTAGCAGTTGAGAAAAAAAATAGATACAGACACATTTTCTTCTAATACAGTAAGTAGATTGCATTAATGAGACTAAAATGAAGTAAGAAACCAGAAAAATCTAGTTCTAATACTAAATCAGTAAATCAGCAATAATTGAGGGGAATATGGATCCATTTCCTGTCTATACCTTTCGATAAATCCCTCCTGTAGACTTGCGATGAAAGTAAGCAGCTAAAATCTAATCAGTCGTTAAATCAACTGCAGTAGTTGAGGAAAAAGGACACATTTTCATCCAATCCAATCATTTTTAGATCTCTCTGATGAAATTGGTAGTAGCGGTAGAGAGCAATCTCAATGACATGAACTGGACTGCATCAATAATTACAACCATTTCTAAAATCAAGATACTTATACTTGACTCGATGATACTGTACAATAAGCCGTAATAAGACATTATTGGCCTGTGTGATCCTTTAATTTATTTTATATAGCCAGTTAAATCCAAATCTGCAATGTTTGGAGCAATTAACTCCATTAACGACGTGTAAGTTTTATTGCACATGCAACTTATATACCTTGCTCGTTGCATTACCTATACATTATTCTTGACGCAAGCTCTATAATCATACCTTGAAAGGTAAGGATATATCAAATGGTTCTAAATTTACTCACAGTAAAAGTAATATTCGTTCAGTTGTTTAGCATCCTTACCTATCACGCGATGGCCTTTATTACAGCAGATGAATTAAAAATGGATGAAACAAGTTGATGCGATATCAATTTTTAAGATCAGTTTCGTCTACTAGATTATTTCCACAAATATATAAAATAGCCATGAAGGCACAGAGTACACAGAAATCATCATGATAGAATCTAATGTTTAACATACACAATGAACTATTAATAATTATATATATATAATTATGAATGTATCTAACTTTTGCTAATTAAATTACTAGACATGGAGGCCCCGGAGGTGGAACTTCTGGAAATGATCGTCGCTATTTCGATCCAGAGAGCTATAGAATTATCTTAATGGATCAGCGAGGTTGTGGGAAATCAACTCCTTTTGCTGAACTACAAGTAAAATATAATTTATTGCTCATTTAATATCACGAAATACATCAAGAAATTGATTACATAGATATCACACAGAAGATTTAGAATTGATCATGAGACTAACCTAACTGTAAATACGAATTAAATCTCGAATTAGGACAATACGACGTGGACTCTTGTTGAAGATATTGAATCTCTACGAAAGCATTTAGGTTCGTTTATAATAAGTTGTAAGTTATGACATGAGTTGATGCTATGCCCTGGTCTATCAATTAGAAATGATCTGTAGAATCCACACTCAACGTGAAGAAAGAGCTGTTAAGAAAATTTTGTTAAATGTGTAGTAGGATAATACCCTATTAAATTGTGTCATAAATTTATTTCATTCTAGGAATAGAAAAATGGGTTGTTTTTGGCGGAAGCTGGGGATCAACACTATCTTTGACTTACGCTGAAGAACACCCAGATCGTGTTAAAGCGCTCATTCTTAGGGGAATTTTTACGCTTAGAAGGTAGCGGATATAGCTATGAACTTTCTTTAGCGATCATTTTACTCACCATATGAAATTTCTAACTGAATATAGAAAGGAAATTACATGGTTTTATCAAGAAGGGGCATCGACTCTCTTCCCTGATTTTTTCGAAGAATTCGTTGAACCAATACCTGAGGTTATATCTTAATAGCGCTATGCAACTTCGTGAGCACGTAGAGCAATGACATTACCTATGCTTAATGCTCAATGCCTTTTCCTGATAGTGATAAGCGAAAGCTATTTCGATCAATAACATTAATTATAAAATTTGATGTACTAAGGTTGAGCGCGGAGATTTGATGGGTGCATATCATCGCCGTTTGACTGGCAATGACGAAGAGGTAAGGCCAAACTACCACATCTACGTCAGCATTTTTTTATCAAATTCTCTAGAAGTAGTAGCTACATCGCAATGTTTAGTATACCAGAACGAAATTGTTTGGATTTATATACCTTACATAATATACAGGTCAAATTACGATGTGCACGCGCATGGAGTAAATGGGAAATGTCAACAGCAAAATTATTAGTAGACGATGAAGTCATTGCTCGTGCAGAAGACGATCATTTCGCCATCGCGTTTGCTCGCATTGAGTGGTACATTGAATTTTTTGTCAAAGTTAATACTGTCCATTATTACATTATATAATAAAATTAATTAATTCGACTGTGAATATCTTTCTTTATGATATGTTTTCATGGTTAAAGTCAATTCTTCGTTAATGGCGGATGGTTTAAGGGTACAAATCACGTTCTAGATAACGCCGAAAAGATTCGACATATTCCTGGTGTCATTGTACAAGGACGGTATGATGTCGTATGCCCGTTCAAGACTGCATGGGATCTACACAAGGTTAAAAATTCATAAACAAATAAGTACTGATTAATTTGTTAACTATAGCACAACTTTACATTTCTTCTCTAATACATATATGTATATATATATTTCCTTAGAGATGGCCAGAAGCTGAATTTCATGTCGTTCCCGATTCTGGGCATAGTGCTCGTGAAAAAGGCATAGCCGGAAGACTTGTGGCAGCTGCTGATAAATTTCGCAATATTTAGGAAGGAACCAACCTTAATTTTAACATCAAATCATTGAAGATGTACCAGTATAGCATTCTATCTACAACAAGCCATTCATATTAGTTGATACTTGAACAGCTATCAATTTAGCCTAATGACCATATCTTGTGATTGTAGCAACGTAATAGTAACTTGTGGAAAATATAATGCCATTGTTTCTAGATATCCATGATATTAGGTCATGATGAATATTTACACTTGGATTGATGTCTGTAGTGAATTTACTAGAGAAAATGTGTTATTCCATAACTACGAGTAATGTCTTGCAATTTATTTTCTTATTCTTTTAGTACAAAAAAATTTGTTCCATGTGTTCAAAAATTTATTTTATTCTACCGTAGTCGCTATCTGATCGTGTTCGATTTTAGTTAGCAACACTCAACTTGATGACGTTATAATATTTTAATATTGACTTAAGCTAAAGTATTGCCATAACTTTACTGGCATCATCTACGATATCAGTATACGACATGAGTCTGACATGGGCATACTTCTTTCATGTGAATGAGTAATTCAACTTAAAATTGCGTTCTGAATTAAAACTATAGTTTTCAATAGCAATAAAGTATAGGTTTTATTTCTAAGTTAACTTGCACTACTGCTCTGCTAGTGTATAAGCTCTCTCTTGACTAATTTTCATTTTGAGATATTGTATAATCGTTCATTGAGTGTAGTGTATGCAGTACAGGATTATTGACACTGGCTATCTTTACAGTATATACTATATCGGTTTATTATATTATTTATTAGGATATGGAGGATTTATTTTTTTCTAGCGATGCAGTTATCGCTTACATTAGTCGATTTTTACTTTCTAAATAATAATTAGTCGTGAGCCTTTTAGACTTATGGCTCTGTGGAATAGCTGAAGTGATTTAAAGACTGGTCAATATGTACTATTTCCATATAATAAGTACTGTGTTGTACTGTATGACCACTAGTAAATTCTCTATCGAGTAATGTTTATAAATATCAATTAGGATAATATTGTACTAGCAATATAAAAAGTTAAAAGTAGTTGCAAGACAGGAGTTCATTTATAGTTGTAGTACAAAGAATTATATAAGATTAAGAATATAAAACTAAAAAAATTTGCAAGATATGATTTAATTTATAGCTCTAGTAATAAGAATTATATAAAATTATGAACATAAGGTTCCAAAATAATTGTGGGTATGAAGTTAATTTATAGGCCTGATATAAAGAATTAGTTAAAATGTTGAATATAAATTTAAAACATGTTTGCAAGATTTAATTTATAAATCGAATTCTAAGAACTGCATAAGATATACAAGACAACTTTAAAAGCATTTAAACGATAGAAATTAATTGATTGAATTGATACTTCCAATACAAAGAATTACATAAGATGTTGAATGTAAGAATATATACAAGAGTTGAGTTAATTCATAGGTATACTAAAATAATTCTATAATCTATATTATATAAAATATAATTGTATCCCGCATCTATCGCTCCAAGGATCTGTGTATCTGCAGTGATAGTTAGGACAGATATGCATAGTGATGCTGTACTGTATACGCATATGTCAGTATGTAATCTGTACACTATACTAACATATGAACTTCTGCTTTAATTTCACGTACAGCGATTTCGCCAGTCGCCACTACATAATTCATCAAGCACGCACAACAGGTTCTACGTTCGGGTACACTCGTATAGTGATTATCAAACATTTGCAAGAGTTCATTGAATTAATTCATAGGTAGAATACAAGGAATTATATAATATAGTGAATATATGTATATTAAAATAATTACAAGATAGAATTAATACATAACTGTAATACAAAGAACCGTAGAACATGATGAGCATTCTAACTAGATGATACATGTAGACTCAAAGCACTCCCTAATTTCGAATTGTTTTTCCTCATCATCGCTGCCATCCTCACTAAAGCCTCTTTACAATACGATATCTCCTAATAAGACCCCTTTATAAGAATCCGCTACTATAACCTGAAAGATACATTACATATATCTAATAGATCATAATTCGATCCCGAGTAGCTTTCCACCTTCAATACTTTATTCTTAGTATGCTACAGGTGAATTCTAGGTAAATCTGCAAACAGACAAATAGACGGTTGGACTATCCTTAGGCCAACTTGTATTTTAAGAGTAAATAAATAAATAAAAATCAACGAACAAACAGCTCAAAACTGGAGGCCGGACTTATTAATTATTCTATTTATTGCACTTACTGACCACAAAGCTGCCTTGTTATTTCTGGCTCACTTCTAATGATTGTACCTAACCTTTTTCTAGATCGGCGGATATTAAAATTGATCGCAAGGGCATTTAGCTCTCTTTGCCATCCATCGAAACAGTTTAAATCGCCAATTACAGCCACCTATTTAATGGGAAAAAGTTTATAGCTAGAAAAACAGCTAAGCTACTGAAATCAATTTTTGAACTCATTTCCTTGTTAAGATTGGCAATCCTTGTTCTGTTAATTCCCTTCTATTATAATCTATTTCCACATTTTAATTTCGATAGAGTTTATCTACCGTTCTTGATTGAATACAGTACGCGGTAACGAGTTGTATTTATTTACTTGATATCGATCTTCAACTCTAATTCTTACCTTGCATCTTGGAAGGGAAAACTCATTAGAATTCATCCACTCATTCATATTTTTACGTAGTTATCATTTCTGCTAATGTTAATGATCGGTGCCGGTAATTAATAGAGCTCACTCAGAGAACTGATCTTTGCCATTCAGATTTTCCGATTATTTGAAGGAAAACATCATGTCAACCTTTCAGGATAAAATTCGTTGATATTAGCAGTAGATATTTCTTTACTATTGAAGAAATAAGATTTACTGGAACAAATTCGATCGCGATTATTTTTACCTACGATCACTTCAGCTTATATTCACTATCGCTAATTAATATTATTCACTCAGAGAATTGAAATTTTTGCCATCAAGATTTCCGATCATTTAAGGGAGATCATTATATCTACCTTTCTGAATAAAATACGTTGATATTAACAGTAGATATATTTTTTTACTATTGAAGAAATAAGATTTACTGGAATCAATTTAACCACCTCTTTTTTACTTAACTATCATTTTAGTTCATATTGACCTTCGATAATTAATATTGTTCATTCAGAGAATTAATAATCCTTGCTATCCAGATTTTCCAATCATTAAGAGGAAACCTTTTATATTTCTGAATAGAATACCTTGATGTTAGTAGTAGCTACGGTACGCTTTTGATATTGAAGAAATAATTCTCTGGAAGCAATTCAATCACAGTTGTTTTACTTAGCTATCATTTCAGCCTATATTTACCATCGGCAATTAATATTGTCCACTCAGAGAATCGATGATCTTTGCTGCCAAGGTTTCTCACTTATTAGGAAGAAACAATTATATCTATCTTTCTGATCGTAAATCTCTATTTATATCATGCTACAAATCTTCCAAGAATAAATTCACGGGAATCAACTCAATCATTAATATTTTATATAGTCAACATTTCTGTCAATGTTCACGATCGACAATTCATATCGCTCCCTCAGAGAATTGATGATTTTTTACTATCAAAGTCTTTCAATCATTTAACAGAAATAATTATAATTACATCATTGCTACTTAATTCTACCATTCATTTGACTAACAGACACGATAGCAAGACAGCTGACTGCTACCTCATTCAATTTCTACTCCAAATCTGACCATAAGATTCTGGATTACCTAAATACAAACGTCTTAATCATTTTTATTTCATCGTTGAACCATATCCTCAATTTCAAGATATGATTATCACCATTATTATCTTACTAGCATTAACTTATCTATGTTATGCTTGCTTTTTGGTTAAACCTAAAGGAAAAGTGGAAGGATTATCCGATAGATATGTACTAATTACTGGTTGCGATAGTGGTTTTGGACGCTTACTAGCTGAAAGTTTATGTCAGCAAAAAGTAAATGTTTTTGCTGGTTGTTTAACTCTAGATGCAGTCCAGGAATTGAACGAGAAATATTCCACAATTCATGCTTTCATCTTGGACATTACGAGGGCTGAACAGGTTGAGCAGGCCTATGAACTGGTTCATAAAACCCTACCTAAAGATGTGGGACTATGGGGAATTGTCAATAACGCTGGTATATTAATCAATGGATTTACTGATTGGTTATCCACAGAAGATTATCATCGTATCGTGGATATTAATCTCTATGGCACCATCAGAATGAGCAACCAGTTTGTTCCTCTCATTAAAATAGCTAAAGGAAGAGTTGTTAATGTTGCTAGTATCTTGGGCATAGCATGTCCTTTTTATTTTGCACCCTATTGTGTATCCAAGGCAGGAGTTATCGCCTTTTCTAATGTCTTACGACGTGAAATGGCGCCTTTTGATGTTTCAGTAAGTTGTATGTGTCCTGGATTATTTCGTACACCTTTATCACAGCCAGCAAAAATATTAGAAGAGCTGAAGGAGAAACAATCTAAGCTCAGCCAACAATTGCAAAAAACGTATAATCAGAAATTTTTTACCAGCTGTAAGTATAAATTTATGTACCATAAATTATTTTCATGTGATTATGGCTAACTTCTTCATTACTCTATCATGATGGCATACCTATTAAATAGTTCCGAACCTTAATAATTTTCTCGATCCAAGTCACGAATAGATATTCATCAATACTGTAAATATGGCATATTTTATAGCATAAAACAGTATTAAATTTTACATCGAAATAGAATATAAACTGTTTAGTGTTAGCATCAGTATAGAGAAATGGAAAGTTTAAAAAAATTCAGTCTCGTTCAGTATTAGTGTAGTTATATAATGAATGAATATCTTGGAAATCTCTATACATTGTATACTTAGTATATGCTATATAAGCTAGTAGTTATGTTAAATCTTTCATTTTTTTCACCTTTATTCCTTTAAAGTGGAGGAAAGCTTACTGGCAATAGCTGGGAAAGCCTCACCTGAGGTGAATAAAGTTACTGAAGCCATTGAGGATGCTCTTTTTTCTATAGCACCTCGCGAATTTTATTACATTGGATCTGATGCATGGATATTCTTAATCATTAGTTACCTACCGTATAGCCTTGCTGATTGGTTATTTCGAAAATTTTCACCTATGCCAAATCCAAATACTTCTGAATTGTAATATCTCCTACCTTTGTAACAAGTGTTAAAAACAGTTTATCACTCTACATAAATTGATATGCATATGCAATTCCCTCAAAGCCCCGAACGGCTAGCCAGTCAATAAAATGAGCCAGTGCAATTGATAATGATTAGCTTAAAAGTATAACATTTAGATATACTATTCTAACACGTTCTGTTCTCTCCTTTGGAGATTTCTATTTCGTAATATAAAAATATAATACGTCATCAATGATATTAATGACTCTGCCCATTATTTAGATGTATGTATAGCTGTTATTTCTATTTCATAGCATAATTACAATTTATGTAAAAGCCTCATTTTAACTTGGATGTACCGGTCGGCGACAGTAAAAGAATATTTACAGTAATAGTTTATTATATCGTTTTCATGATCTTCATTAGTTGCATACTTTGAAAGCTTTGCTCAATTTTCAAAGCCATACAAGTAATTTTAATGGTAGCAACATACGAGTAAGTTTATGGTATCGCCTTTCCTATTCATTTACTTTGTAATTTTCGTATCTGCCGTCGCAATTATTTTTGTTGTTGCTATATTTTACTTACAAGTCTTCTTTGTTGTGGTAGCTCTTTATCCTAGCACTGATGTTAACTTTTAAGGCTGCAAATGCACTGTACGAGAAAGATGTTGCTTTTTTACTCTCGCAGTTAGTACGGTTAATGTAACAATGAAACTGTTATAAACGAATTTATCTGCGATTGCTTTTGATACCAATTTCGAACTCTTCTAATAACGTAACGATAATCGCTACTGGTTCTGTGTATAGCAAGACAATCTTAGAGCCAGAAAGGCTACAAATAACTTCAATGACCGCAAGTTCTTCAGGTAAACAGCTTTTTAAATTTTACTTCACGTTAAACATATTTTGTAGTAAACAAAATCCAATTAGTTATGGTTCGGTAGACTTTGGTTAGAAAATAATAATATGCCGTTATTCGCGCTGCAAGGACACAACGTAAATCCATAAATTATGATTCTGAGCCGTTAAGGTAGCATTTAGGGCATTACTTACTGTATTACTGGTAATAATAACTGCAAACAGCTTTATCTTAGTAGTAAATAAACTATAGTCTTTAGGACAGTATCATATAACCTTCAAATGGCATTTAAGTATATTTGAGAACCATCGGTATTGGATAATATTATTAGCCGACAAGCTCGATTCGTTCAAGTGCTCTTAAAGAATACAGGACATTTAGAGTAAATTGACGAAAATATTTTCAAACGACAACCAATTAAGTACACAAAATGATTCAACCAAAATAAATTTTATTACCGAATTAAGATTCATGCCCTAAACTCGATAGTAGCAAAATGTACCGGAAATAGGTCATATCAAACATAACATATTCTAATATCAGTTCAAAAATGGTAAACGGTAGTTAGAATGACTACAGTATTTAATATTTTACGTGCACATTGAATTATTCACATACTGTATAGGATACATTTCATCAATATAAACAAATCAAGTTTAGTAAAATCTATCTTCTTTCCAATTTTGCAGTTAGTATTTCATTCTTCTTGCATTCCTTTAAAGTACAAAATCAGATCGTAAGCTGAATATTACATAGCCTGCATTGAGATGTATATACAACAATTGACAACAAATCAATAAATACCTCGGTAAAAGCTTTAACAGTCTTTATGTACAATCTTTGTTTATCGACTAAATCTAAGTATCGATCAGTAAGCTCATCTCTACGCATTTTCTCATTAGCTCTTTTCTTTTCGGCCTGCAAAAAAAATCATTATAATCCAATGGATCAAAATGATCATTACAAAAAACGATACGACTGAAGAACATTTCTAGGTAAAACTATTAACCTTTGTTCTATTTTGGGTGATTCCGCTCACGATCTGTTCCAACTGTTTCAGAAACTGCTCTTTATTAGCGGCAGAAGCCATGGCCCTTTCATAAAATAATTCGCAAGGAAAGAATATTAATTTGGGTTAAAACAGAATTCTTGTCAAAATATTTTAACTTTAGAGTGTATATGGACTTACTGTTGAAAGTTATCATGGATCGAGTTCAGCAGGCTGACCTAATGAGTAAAGTAGAAAATTAAATGATTCCTTGTCAATAAATCGATCTTTGTCTATCGCGATTGTTAGCAGTAAAAATATTAGCACTGGAAAAGTTTTATACCTCTTTCGATAGGTATAACTTTGTATCATCCAGAGTATTATACAAGGTAAAATATTGCTTCGTTTCGGTTAATGTAGTTGCGACTGTGGAATAATAACAAAGGAAGGTGGCTTAAAGTGCGCTACCTCACGTAACATATACGAAATAGGAAACAATCTCAAACCTTGATTATATAGTTCCACGAAACGTTTCTGATATTGAGTAAGTTCAGCTCTTGTTGGAACTTCATCAATTTTTCGCTGAACTGAAGCAATTTCACGATTTCTACCAGCCTTAACAAAGGATAATAATAGAAGATCAGTAACAAGGACAATAATGAATAATTGACCGTTTATATTTATATTTTGGCCAAAATAATAGTATAGCATACAAGGAATAATTTTATTTTATTGAATTTCTCTTTATCGGCAGTATATTGTTTTTCTACTAAATGTGACTTCTCTTTGTCCAAGCTTAAATTATCTTCTTCTTCGTCTTTCAGATTATTAATCATTTCTTGGAGACGAATGATCTCGTCCTAAATGTAAAATCATTTATCTTACTATACATTTGGATAAATTGCATGTATTCGCTAAAAGTTACATCACTAGCATTGGGCTTTAGCCTTACCTTGCAGAAACTCTTAAATTGTTGTTCTTGCTTTTTTAATGTCTCATTTTGAAGTACAAGGTCTTGCAACGTTACCAACAGGCTGTAAACAAATATAAAAAGGGATACAAGATTTATACTTATAAAAGAATCAAAGGCAAATCGGTGAAGCAGCAAACAATAATGAAAGATCGTTCAACTTTACCTAGCATTTTCGCCAGACTTTTCGATCTCATTGAATTCCTCTATTTCGCTAACGTACTTTTCCTTCTTTGTTTGATACTATAAGAAAAATAAAGGTAATTCTATTATCTTATTGTTAGTGTTGAGAAAATGATGATGTCAAATACCTCTGCCAAACTTTGCTGCTTTTCTGCTAGTTGTGTTTCCAATTGGTTGTGTTTTTGACTTACCTACATTTATACCGATTAAAGCAATTACTACTACATAATGAATATAAAATATCGTAAGTTTTGCATGACATGTACCACTGAAAAGTTTTGTTCTTCTGATGCAATCTGCTTTGATAGATTCTCAACAATTCTCTTATGGGATTCTAGGCCTCTCACTTGTCCTGACTTTTCATCACGGCCAATATCAATTTGCTGAAATATATAAGTTAATAATATTAGTAAGGTTGTAACTGTATCAAAAAAATACTGTGACTTTTATCTATGTACCTTTCCAGCATACTCAGAGGATATATTTTGAATTTCTTCCGACTGTAATCCTACGATTGATCCAACTAGACTTGATGAGACCGTAGCCTAAACAAACGTAAAGAATATCTTACGTTCTCAACTTGTTTATCAAGTATAGAAAAGTTTTATAATATCAACTGGGTATTTCCAGGATACTCTATAGAACAATTACCAAAAACTAACACACCGTATCATTACAGTGTAGTGTTAGTAATGCGTATCAATGCAAAGTTTAACTTAGGTAGTATAATACACTTACCTCAGCACCAGCGGCTGCAGACATATCATTCATTATTCGTGAGATTTCTTTCTATAATTTTAATACACCAATAGTTACAGTAACTGCACGTACGATTATCGTAAAATATGCATGAAAAGATAATTTCCTTTCTGTTTCCCAACTAATTTTAATAATTACTATATCTGTGATAATTATATAATATACTGAATGTCGTAACATGATTCGTAAATAAATGTTACATTATAGTATTATAGAATGACCTTAAAAACATCCTATACTCACTTCATCAACAACTTCCTCTTCATCATCATTAACTTCTTTACCGGCAGCCGCTTTAACTGCTGAGCTAACGGCAGAAGCTTTTTTTGCAACTTCACTTTGCTCCTATATTATCAAGAATTAACAAGAATCAATAAGTTTACCGTGCATATACCTATCCTTGCTTAGCCTAAACAGTATAGAACATTTAACATGTTTCATTTCCTTACCGTCTCGTCCTCACTTTTGGATTTAGGAGCTGCACCAAATTTCCTAATAAATATAACAACATTCTAATTTTAAAACGATTTATAAAGTATTAATGGGTACAGAGATCCGACTAATTCTTATTGTGTCGTTGTATTTGTATGATTCAATATGAAAAAATTGAAGATAGATAAACAAGCACTTACATGCCGTACTCTAACAAAGTCGATTGAATACGAGTTGGTTCATCTAATTGTGCGACTGCTTTGCTGTCTGATCGACGAAATCTACGATTTGGTCTATAGTTATCCTTCAAATAGCAGCAGATAGGATATTCAATTCGCAGTTGATGTTAATAACATTATTAAGACAAGAGTATACTGTATAGTTATTGTGAGTATCACAAAATATTTATGTGCTTAATTACCATGACTGTTTTTAATCCTTTAGAAATTCCTTCTTTCTTATCGGCATATTGATCATCCTATTATGTGTGATAGAACATTTTAAGGAAAATTAAAGGTTATCATTGCGAGCAATAGTAGTATTTAAGTAATGACGATAAAATATGGATAAATTAGCCATAAGCTATGGATAAAGTTGAAGCAGTGATAGCTAAAATTTTCTACCTCAGGTGCACGGTAAGACTTTGCGAAGTTGAGCTCAGAAATCTTTCTAGTAACATTACCAGTCTCTTGACGCGTTTCTAAAGCTTGTTTTACCAACCACTATAATTATAGTCTAAACTTAGTACTTTTCAACAAGATAGCACCTAAAATTTTTTGCATCTTGTTGACAAAAACGTTACACAATCATCACAGTTTCTAGCTGACAAACCTGAACAACTGGGTATATATGTATAAAATCAAGACCTTGAATTTGATGAGGTTCAATACGATAGGGGCACTTCATCTTTGGTAAGACGGCAACAATCTTCTCAGTTAATGCTCTAAAATTTCGAGATAAATACAATTTGATGGTATTCGTAATTGATTATTTACGTATCAATCCTCATGAACTTTAGCTTTCATTACTGCACTGTAGTAAAAAGAAATAATCAAATCGAATCGGATATACGGTCTATTTGTTTGACAAGCGCAACTATTCAAGGTAAAACTTGATAGTGAAATACAATAAGATAATTTATTTTATTATTTGCATGTCAATCTGTACTATTTAATCCATATGAACTTTAACTTTATCACTGTATGGTCGTAAAGAATAACAAGATTGATTCCGGTATATCATCTGCGTATCCTGACTAGCGAATCCATTGATAGTAAAAATGTAACTGGATAGTAAAGTGGATTACTTTACGTCAAGTTGTACTGATCAATCCTCTTAAACTATAATTTTATTACTGTAGTCAAGAATAACAAGATTGAATCGGCTATACAGTCCATTTATCATGGCTGGTGTCAATGTTAACGTTCAACCTTGCCAGTAAAATATAATAGGATAGTTTAGTTTATTACGTTCATGTCCACCGTCACTAGTCAATCCTTATAGACTTTAATTTCATAATTTTAATGAAGACTAACAAGGTTAAAATTGGGTATTCTATCTAATTGATAGTAAAGCGTCATAGAATAGTGTACTCATCGTTGATTACTTTCATATCTATCTGCAATGATCGATCTTCATAGACTTCAATTCCATCATTGCAGTGGAAACTAACTAAATCAAATTGGGTATTCTGTTTATGATCAATCTCTATGGACTTCCATTTCATTATTGTCGTATTAAAGACTAACAAGATGTAACAGAGTCTTCTGTTTAGGAATCATGATAAGTGTACACAACACAATCGCCATCTCCTAATTACACTGGCAATTCTTACATCTTCTGCCCAATTGTAGAATTCTCTTGGTATAACAAGTCGACATCGATATCAAAGTTACTGGAGGTAATACACCAAGTCATTCCACCTACAGTCTATTATTCCATTATCGAATACGTTTTTAAAATAAAGGAAGAAAATAATATCAGACTTTATGTATGACATGGATGCCACGCTAAAGTAGAGAAGATTTCAATCCATTATGCATCCTATTTGTCTGACCTTATCAAAAGGCGAGAGGCCCTTAATACGAGCACGAAAGTATCCAGCAGCAATAAGCAACTGCATTGTATCATCTAATTTAACTTGTTGCTCCTCATCCGTTCTAATATCAGCCTAGAAACGAGAGAGATGAAGAAAAGCAGCTTTATTTTTCTGCATGGCTACAGCAGCAGCAAGACATCAAGATGAGCCAGCAAAGCAAGAGGTTTTACCTTTTGGAACTGGTCCTTATCCGCATCACTAAATGCGGCTGAAGTAAGCCGAGAAAATACAGAAGTAGACATCTTGCCGTGGCACCAACTAAAGCTATACTATCGCCCGTTAAAAGTGAGCAATACTTGGCTAAGATTGAAACTAGAATGGTGTTGAATTAAAAAGTAACTCCAACTGGATTGGGATTGCTTTGCCAAATCTGTGCTGCTTCTCTAGCAATTGCTATAGTAACTTGGGGCATGAATATGCGCTGGAAAGAGCATAGTAGTAAGTACTGTATTGAGTACAGTACAGCATACTGTACACTGTAGACTTATGGCCAGTATGGGCTGGACCGGACCGGACCGAGCCGGGCCATTGGCTCGCAGTCACGAGTCAGTCAGTCGCAGGTTCCATGACAGCTAAGTGTTGCAATCTGCAGTAAGCGAGCGAGTGAAACCATTCATCACCATTTCATAATTTAGATTCAGTATCGATGCCACCAGTCTGTCAGTCGCTCAGTCCATCGCTACTACATCCTGTACTAAGTATAAGTCAATCTTCAGTCCATGACCGCAGTGAAATCACTAATCACTATACTATGATTGAGTATCGATATCAAGAGTCCGTCACTCTGTCCATCACAACTAAGTGTTTCGATCCGTAGCGAGTGAGCGATTGAAATCATACATCGCCCGTTCATGATTCAAATTCAGTATTGATGTCACGAGTCTGTCAGTCGTTCGGTCCATCGCTATGATTCAAGCTTTACAGTAGTTACTCAAGGCATGATTCGAAAGTCTCCGATAGCAAGAGTCCGTCGCTCTGTCCATCACAACTAAGTGTTTCAATCTGTAGAAAGTAAGTGACTGAAATCATTGATTACTGGACTATGATTCAGGATTCAGTATGGAGACCACGAGTCTGTCAGTCATTCGGTCCATCGCTATGTACTGTAGTTACTCAAGGCATGATTCGAAAGTCTCCGATAGCAAGAGTCCGTCGCTCTGTCCATCACAACTAAGTGTTTCAATCTGTAGAAAGTAAGTGGATGAAATCATCGATTACTGGACTTTGATTCAGTATTCAGTATGGAGACCACGAGTCTGTCAGTCATTCGGTCCATCGCTATGATTCAAGCTTTACTCAAGCCATGATTCAGTATGGAGACCACGAGTCTGTCAGTCTCTCAGTCCGTTACTACTACTAAGTGTTTCAATCTGTAGTAAGGATATGAGTGAAATCGCTAAGTTGTGCTAGACACGACTCAGTTGATTGAAATTGTAGACATCGCATGATGACTATTAGAGTGCTCTATCAGTAGTGAGCATACTTGCTATCTGACTGCGACGGTGGCCTAGTTAGGGGGTTGCATTAATTCTCGTTTTTTCATCATCTTGATCTACCTTTTGCGTTGCCATCATCGAAGTCTTGCCATTGCTCGAGCTTCTTATTACTCCCTTATTCATGAATTAATTAATCATTAGTATCATTGATGAGCCTGACAAATGGCTTATTAGCGTAGGAAAGGTGTGTAGTTACTGTTGTACTTCAATACTGAATACGCTTGTTTGTCATCTTTCATCTGCTACAAGATCATTGCTAGGCTTGCAGCAGTGGATTTTGCACACCGATCTCCAACTTTTAATCCACAATCAACTTGCCCTAGGAAGACTGTCTGCAGGTTGTACAACTATCGAACTTTTAAACCCATCATGCTTACGATAGCAATAGGTGTAAGCAACTATCGAATACGGTTGGATTATTAATCTTGATTGACCACACGATCTTGTGTACTGCTTTATTAATATTGCCGGTGAAGGATCCTAACCAATGGTGAATTAGCTTGCCATCGGTAGTGACGAGGTCGGGGCACAAAAGACGTCTTCAAACGACGTAAAATAGACGTTCATGCATTCCCAGTTTCTAATTAATGACGACGGAGCTGTCCATAACCTCAAGTAGAACTATCGATAGTAGAGACACACTATTGTAGTCAACATCTACGAATATGATCATGACATTCATATTGTATACTTTTATTGCCCTTCTCACTGCTATTATAGCTTATAAAATCTTCCGTTATTCAACGAATGGCAAGATCCAAGCGACTGACAAGTTTGTCTTGGTGACTGGATGTGACTCTGGTTTTGGCCGACTTACTGCTTTAAAACTGGACCAATTAGGATGTTATGTATTTGCAGGATGCTTAACTCAACGTGGCATCGATGGATTGCGTAAAATAGCAACCAAACGTCTTCATCCGTTCATGCTGGATATCACTAATGCAGAGGATATTGCAAGAGCTGTTCAAATCGTAACGCAAACATTGCCTGATGATCAAGGCTTATGGGGTATTGTCAATAATGCTGGTGTATCTGGCAGTGGATTAATCGAATGGGTACCCATTGAACGTTATAAGAAAGTAACAGAAGTCAACTTGTTCGGCTCAGTAGCCATCACAACAGCTTTCTTACCACTGGTTAAAAAATCACGCGGTAGAATTGTCAATATTGGTAGTATTCTAGGTCGTATATCCACTGCTGGTTGCAGTGCTTACAGTATCTCCAAGTACGGCTTAATGGCATTCTCCGATGCTTTACGCCGTGAAATGAAGTATTTTGGTGTCACAGTGCATACAGTTGAGCCTGGCTACTTTAGAACCAATATGATTTGTGGTGGTGCTCTTGAAAGAGAGACTCTCCAGTTATACAACAACTTGGACGATCAAACCAAAAAATTTTATAGTGAAGAATATGTCAATAAACGTAAGTTCAACATACTATCATGACGGTAGTGATATAATTACAATTATTATAATGCATAACATTGACTATTGATCTTTTAGTACTAGAGGATATTCGAATTTATGTTCAGCAAGCTTCATCGGATTTAAATTTGGTTGCTGAAACTGTTGCCGATGCATTACTATCGACCAGACCAGACTATCACTATCTGATTGGTTTTGAATCGAAATTAATGGCATTGATAGCGCTTTTACCTACAAGCTGGAGTGATTACTTATTTAGTCAATTTTTCACTATTCCATTGCCTGCAGAAAATAACTTATAGCCAAATTTTATGCAGCAAATTCAATAAATGTATACAGGATAAGTCTTACTCGTTTCAATCGATATATTACAACGATTAGGAAATGATTTCATGATGTTTAGTCGAACCTTACTTTTATTAATAGGTATTTCTATTGCAAAATGACGAGTTATATTGAACGATAAAGTTGTTTTCATATGCTATAGCCGTAAAGATGTTATTATAAAAGTGATATTTTAAACTATAGTCTGTTCGTGTCTTGAATATCGAAATTCTTCATCAATCTATTTACTAGAGAAATAGCAAGCAGTATCTACGTAAGAACAGCTACTTTAATAACGAGTAACTTAATACAGTTATCAAATCTGTGAAAAGGGATAATATCTCGATCATCTATAAAGTGGACTCATATATATTTTACTTTTTACAAATTTATATCCGATATCGCGATTGAATTTATCATAAGATAGACTCATATGACGGTTAAATTGTTTATTAAAGTGATAATTAATTAATGATAGCGTGATAGTCAGATATTGTATTATAACTTGTTGCTGTAGAATATGTACCATCAAGTATGTTAAAGTAGAATTCTTATAATTAGATTGTAATGAATTCGTGTCGTGAGGTAGCTGTCAATATTTTTTATAAAGCTGTATGTAATGTTAGGAGTAGTTGCGTTTGTGTACACTGTCATTAATTATTGGCTAAATCGGAAATTGATCACATTTCTATGTATCCTTTTGTAAAAGTTCTGGACTATGAGATTAACTAAAGTCTAGTTACATCAGAAGCAATGAACTTATCATTAGCCTTACTTAAAAGATTTACGTTTGCTTCAATATTTACATCCTAATTCTGCTACTGGTTGGTATAGACATAAGATACTGAAAATGTAGTTTTGCATTGTCATTAGTTTAGGTTATACTGTAACTGTACTAAAAAAGCTCTTCTTTTACTAATTCATTATTGCCTGACTCTGAAATAGCATTCAAGTATCTACGCTCTGTTTCTCTGCGTCTGTAGAGTATTTAGTGGTATGTAGCAATAACAAAAAGTTTTCTATTGCTATCTTATATTGAAATAGTGTTTACAGATTCTCTACTGTTCTCGTATATTCAATATTGAATAGCCAAATTTTACCATGTTGGTACGTTATGTATTTGAAACACGAAAGTTTCTGTATTTCTATATATGCTATCAAATAACTTTTCCATATTAATTTTACTCTACGTATGATAGATAATACTATTATTTACTCTTGATCCTATAACTGAAAATTTTAAATCCACAAAAGTGACCCTGCCATCGCTGTTAGTAACGTCGTAAAATCGATTGCTATGGAATAATGCAACAAATTTTGGTCGTATTTTAATATTCCATTAAATTTGCCATTTTAAGGAAAAGGTTTTAATAGAGTAATAAAAACGACAAATGAATGGAAAAATATACCATAAAATCTGTTATTTTAATGTAGTTTTTCTTCAAAATTATTTCTACCTGCTATGTATTGCACGCATATTCGTGTATCTACGTGTATTTGCTAGGCTATAAAGCCAATTGCAAGCACTATAAACCAGGTATACTATATTGTCTGAACATTATACTGTATATCATATCTTAAATTATCTGCAATTTATTCAATCAAGACATCATCGTGTTCCTTTAAATTATTTAGCTGTAATTTTAGTTGTAAGCAGAACCATGATAGCTTGAACGCCCTTGCATGTGTACACGTTATCAATCCATTGCCAATATTACCTACTAAATTAAATTTTGAATACAGCATAGACTCGTATATATCATTATTAGTATCATGATTGTACAATTTGCTTGTCAACCCTATACTTGCTAGAAGAGTAAAACAATTGTCGGAGGTCCATTTTTACATTGCCGCTGGAGACTAATGTAGGAGCTGAAAGTATAGGGCTACTAAATTATTAGCATGCAGTTGCAATACAAGGGTGGAATTCAATCAGAGTATAGACGCGTACAGCTTAAAGCCTATGACTAGAGCTCGAAAAAAATGCAGCAATCGTAGAGCAATGTATACTTAAATCCTTGATTTTCCCCTGTGGAATTTTGCTATTCGGAAGATAGAGCATTGACAACTCCATTCTTGTAGTATTCTTGCGCTATGCAATGGTATACGAAGCGACATGATAGGGTTGTACAATTTGCTTGTCAATCCTATACTTGCTAGAAGAGTAAAACAATTGTCGGAGGTCCATTTTTACATTGCCGCTGGAGACTAATGTAGGAGCTGAAAGTATAGGGCTACTAAATTATTAGCATGCAGTTGCAATACAAGGGTGGAATTCAATCAGAGTATAGACGCGTACAGCTTAAAGCCTATGACTAGAGCTCGATAAAAATGCAGCAATCGTAGAGCAATGTATACTTAAATCCTTGATTTTCCCCTGTGGACTTTTGCTATTCGGAAGATAGAGCATTGACAACTCCATTCTTGTAGTATTCTTACGCTATGCAATAGTATACGAAGCGACATGATAGGGTTGGTACCCATTTCATTATTGCGGCTCATACAGAGTACATCAGATGATGGCGGCAACTACAAGTGTAAGAATAGAAGTTAGCTGTAATACGGTAGAGTAGTATAATCAGCTTGACAAAACATTTCGTGATTGCTAAGCTGAGAGGAGCCAAGCTGGAGCTGATGGCATAAAACATGATCTGACTCTCATTGGATGGATCATGAAGTCATTATAATGTTTCTTAACGGAATTCCTGAGGTTCTATTCAATCTACTGCAGCAAGAATAATTAGAAACTACTACAACAAGATCCACAAATTATCCTCTACCGAAAAAAGTCTGCAAAACTTGTGTGAAGTTATGGGTTGGCTAGCAAGTACGAGCGCAATGTCATGGATACTTACGATATTCTTTTGCTGGTTCATTTATCGCTATTTTGTGAAGAAGAAATTGTCTCCTTTAAGAAGAGTAAGTGCTATGTAGATGCAGTATTATAGCATCAAATCATATCTTACAAATCGCTTACGCAAATTGGAAATGATAAATGAGTTGTTGTTCTGCAGCACGGGATAGGTGTTAATAATGTAGATGCAGTATCATAACATCAGATCCTATCTTGTAAATCGCTTATGCAATTTGAAAGTAATGAAAGAGTTGTTGTTCTATTGTACGGTTATGTGTATCAGTAATGTAGATGCAGTATCATAACATCAGATCATATCTTGTAAATCGCTTATGTTCTACTGTACAGGTTATATGTATCAATAATGTAGATGCAGTATCATAACATCAGATCATGGAAATCGCTTATGCAATTTGGAAATAATGAATATGTGTATCAATAACGTACTGTAGATACAGTATCATAGCATCAAATCATGTCTTCTACTAAACAGCTGATACAAGTTGAAATGATGAGAGTTGCTATTCTACTGTATATAGACAATGTAGATGCGCTATTATATAGCATCAAATTGTGTCTTCTACTAAATAGGTTATGCAAATTGAAAAGGATGAAAGGGTTGCTGGTCTACTGTAATGCAGATGTAGTACCATAGCATCAAATCATGTCATGTAAATCGCTTATGCAAATTGGAAATGATGAAAAAATTATCATTCTACTTTATGTATCAATCACGTCGATGCAAGTATCAGCATCAAATTATATCTTCTACTAAATAACTTATGCAAATTGAAAATGATGAAAGAGTTGCTGTTCTACGATATGTACGTGTATCGATAACATCTAATTTAGCTATGGTATCTGCAGACTATACCTGCGGCAGTTAACTTTGGCATACTCTACGATATACATTATACAGTAACATCTGATAGATATTGTACGTATTTTTACTTTTATTTTCCTTTCTTTAACGCACCTAATCATCTACGAGACAATAATGTTTGGGATGTACATAAAGCTACTAATTTTACCAATATAAATATTATAAATATAACGCTTTCATGAAACACTTTTAGATGCCGGGACCGTTTACCTGGTCACCGCTAGGTCAAATGCTAACATTGCTGAAAAATGAACCAGCAGAACCATTCTTTGAGTAAGTATATTACCAAAAACTAATTGAAGTATTGCATATGCTTTTCTGATTTTTTAATGATTGGATAAATATGCTGCATTCGTATACCCTCACACCAAACAGTAGTTAAGTATTTAAGATGGCACTGTTTCCATCATCACAGATGGAGCGCTACCTATGGACAAATATTCTGCTATCAGTCTTTGCTGAATGAAGATCGTGTTGCAATATTAGATCCAAAAGCAATTAAGCATGTCTTAGTAACAAATAGTGAAAATTATCAAAAGCCTGCCTATATCTTAAGGTACGGAATGGATAAGATATCTGATGTAAAATAGAACTTGTTGTTAGACGTATTATATTTGTGTAACCTGCCAATGACATTGTTTTTGATCTATTTATATACCGTGTTTTGGTAATGTTGTTAATGTAGCAGTTTATTTATACTTTAATACTGATTTCATTTAGGCTTATTAAGCCTTTATTCGGCAACGGTGTAACGTCTTCTGAAGGAAAGACTCACACAGAGCAACGAAAAGTTCTTAATCCTATTTTTAAATATTCCAAAATTAAAGGTATGAAATAGATATATATTAAGTAGCAGGACCAGCGCCTACAAACTTTAACTTCGTATATAAGCTACTTTAGTACAAGTTTTTTTATCCATAGCATATTGTTCTTTATTGCCCTATAGCAAGCAAATAACATAAGACTATGACACCAGTTTGATTATTCATATTTTTAGCGCTAGTTCCAATGTTTCAACATTATGGAGATCTACTAGCCTCATTATGGTTCGAAGAAGTCAAAAATAATGTAGTGAAGATAGATATACTAAAAGATTTAACTAGGCTAACGTTAGATATCACATGCAAAGGCATCTTTGATTTCCAATGTAACTCCCTAGAAGATAAGGGTAATGATATCTCTGAAAGTTTCCGGACTATAATAACTGGTAGTGAACTATCGTAAGTATATGCTACATTAGAAATACAACATAATCAACTATACAGCACTGCTAAAACTGCAACCGATAATATAATGTGCCAGGTATATACCGATACACCCTTTTCTCCATCAACTTAAAAAGTGAAACTAATTTATCGACTATGCAACATTAGATTTATGAGCATGATTCCTATCATAAGAAATATTCCGATAGCGCGGAATGTCAATTTTGCAAAGTCTCTTAAACGCTGTCATGATGTTGTTGATACAGTTATTGCTAAAAAATTACAAGAACTAAATACAGGTAAGTATTTTTCTCTGTACACGAAATAATCCTTCAACGTATTGATCCTCTTCTACAATCTGTAGAGATGCACAGTAACTATATCACGAAATACTATTTTATTTGCAGAAGAAGTTAATACTGAACATAAAAGCATTTTAGACACTATGTTGTCATTAAGAGATGAAAATTTAAACCCGTGTGTAACCCAGCAGGAATTACACGATCAAATTATGACTTTTCTCTTTACCGGTCATGAAGTAAGGTTTTGTTATGATATCATACAACAAATTGTAAACGTAATTTTTCAGCTAAAAGATCTGCCTAATCGTAGTTGAGTCAATTTTCTGCCATCTTTAATTTCTGTGATACATTTTGATTGTAGACAACAAGTGTTTCTATGACGTGGACATTGTATGCATTAGCCAGTAATCCAGATGTGCAGGAGAAAGTACGCAGAGAAATTAGGATGGTATTAGAGGAACATCATTTGATAACATTGGATGTTCTAGAAAAATTACCATATCTTGAAAACGCCATTAAAGAATCTCTTAGGTTTATTCATCGTTTGTTAATTAAAGGATTAGTTTGTCTAATTGCAAAAATTGAAAGGCTTGAAATATAATCGATACTGAAATTATTTTTCTCTCTCTATAATCTATTGAAGATTATTCTCTCCTGCACCTATGACATTTCGTGTGGCAATCAATGATGATAAGATTGATAAATATGATATACCTAAGGGAACAGTAATTACTATTGTACCACCTCACAGGTATGCGTATCATTAGCTGTTATAGATTGTGACTTGTTCCTTTCGAAAGCGTTGTGATGATGTTAAAAATAGCCGCTATGTTTGATTTTATACATACATTGATGTATCCTATATTTGTGATGATTAATTCATAACCACAGATTGCCGGATTATTTCCCCGACCCGTTACAATTTAATCCTGACCGCTGGGAAGATTCCAACTATACGGATAAATACAGCTATGTGCCATTTCTAGCGGGGCCTAGAACATGCATTGGAAATAAATTTGCCCTAGCTGAAATGAAAACTGTACTAGCAATATTACTTAACAAATTGTCATTCTCGCTTGTACCAGAGGTGAAAATTATTCGTAAAATGCGACTAACCATGAGGCCAAATCCAGATCTCCACCTTCGAGTGACAAGAATATAATTTACGTAATATTGACTCAACAGAACATTCATACCTAAAACTGAATGTTAAAAATTGTCCTATTTTTCTATCCTATCGATAAAAGTGTTGATCCTTGTATAATAGTACCTATATTGATAAGCTATTTTTTTAGTTGTTTTCTCTAGGGAAGATGTTTTTAAAATCAAGCCTTTGCATAAAGACGCTCAGCTTACTACGAGAATGTTTTGGAAATAATTACAGAATAAGCGTAAATGAAATTATCATATATAAGGCTTTTGTAAGAATACTTTACGTTTATTGCATCTTTAATGAATATATCAGTTGAACAGAATATTGAAAAATAAAAATAAGGAATTATAGATCTGAGTCTTTTTACTGCTACTATTCGTATGCCTTATGCTTATCATACTACAAGTATAATACTGTACGCTGTGTGTTCAGTTTTGATTTTGTATTTTCCAGTGTAATAGACTTTTAGGAGACGAACTCTTTTAGCCGCATTTCTAACTATAAGTTAGAAGATTAATTAATTAATGAATACAATCGTGGAATAAGCTGAAATTTTAACACCAGACTAGACTGCAGTAGCAGGGTATATCATCCACGCTTGGCGAAGTGTAGATATTAATAACATGAAATAGCTGGATATCCCTAATGTACTCGCAATTCTAAACCTGTTGCACCATTATACCATACTATTTGTCGATTTTATCCCTGTCGTCCGTCCTTTGGGCCATTTCTGCATGTCTGCTTTGATTCAATCGTTAAGCATAACAAAATAAAATGCATTTCAACATACATTAGCTGAAATTGTTACACCCTTGTGCATTATTATCCAAGTATACTCCTGTCATTACAGAGCTGATATTTTCAATCTCGTTGATATCATCACTTGTAAGCACATTGATATCACCCTTGCCAAAAGTATTTTATATTATATAAATATTAGTATTGTATGGTAGAATTACTATCCAAGCATATTCCTATCATCACTCAGTCGACATTTCCAACTCCATTTCTATATCATCATTTGTAAGGATGTTTACCAGCATTGTGTGATAAAATACTATCCAAGTGCATTCATATCCTCACTGAGCCGATAACATTGTGCCATAAAATATTATCTAAGTACATTCGTATTAGTACTGAGCTGATATATCCAACCACATTGATATCATCCTTGTAAAGATATTCTATATTACTGTATATAATTATTATTACAAGCAGAATTATAACATGATTGCATAGTAGAATCACTATCCAAGCATATCCCTATCATCACGCAGCCGACATTTTTCACTCCACTTCTATATCAGCCCTTGTAAGAATGTTCACCAGCAATGTGTAATAAAATACTATCCAAGTATATTCATATTATTACTGAGCCGATAACATAATATGTATCATGTATAATAAAATATTATCCAAGCACATTCATATCATTACTGAGCTGATATATCCAACGATACTGCTATCCTCTTTTGAAAAATATTCTACATTTCTTATCATCGTTGTAGAGTAGAATTACTGTCCAAGCCCATTCATATCACTTCTGAGCTGATATATCCAACGATACTGATAACATCCTTGTAAAAATATTCTACATTATTATTATTGTAGAGTAGAATTACTATCCAAGCACATTCATATCATTACTGAGCTGATATATCCAACGATACTGCTATCCTCTTTTGAAAAATATTCTACATTTCTTATCATCGTTGTAGAGTAGAATTACTGTCCAAGCACATTCATATCACTTCTGAGCTGATATATCCAACAATACTGATATTCTGTTTAGAAAATATTCTACATTTCTCATCATCGTTGTAGAGTAGAATTACTGTCCAAGCACATTCATATCATTTCTGAGCTGACATATCCAACGATACTGATATCCTGTGTTGAAAAATATTCTACATTTCTCATCATCGTTGTAGAGTAGAATTACTGTCCAAGCACATTCATATCATTTCTGAGCTGACATATCCAACGATACTGATATCCTGTGTTGAAAAATATTCTACATTTCTCATCATCGTTGTAGAGTAGAATTACTGTCCAAGCACATTCATATCATTTCTGAGCTGACATATCCAACGATACTGATATCCTCTTTTAAAAAATATTCTACGTTTCTTATCATCGTTGTAGAGTAGAATTACTATCCAAGCACATTCATATCATTTCTGAGCTGACATATCCAACGATACTGATATCCTGTTTGAAAAATATTCTACATTTCTCATCATCATTGTGGAGTAGAATTACTGTCCAAGCACATTCATATCATTTCTGAGCTGACATATCCAACGATACTGCTATCCTATTTTGAAAAATATTGTACATTTCTCATCATCATTGTGGAGTAGAATTACTGTCCAAGCACAATCATATCATTTCTGAGCTGACATATCCAACAATACTGACTGGTATCCTGTTTTGAAAAATATTCTACATTTCTTATCATCATTCAGCCGACATTTCCAACTTCTACATCGTCCCTTGTAAGGATATTTACCAACATTGTGCAATAAAACACAATCCAAGTCCATTCATATCATCACCCAGGCGATATTTCCAACCTCCTTGATATCATCCCTACTCAGGATAAACCTCCCACTGCTAGTAAAAATATTTTGCCGGCATTGCGTCATTAAATATTTTTAGTCATGGCTACCGAGGACATTCCGTCCATATCCTTCCGTCCGTATCCGTGGTAAACAATCTCTTGTAGGGTGACGTGCGGATACGCCGAAACTTGCCGGACGAGAACAGCATTGTTTTTGTAAACAATCGTCGATCGCTATAATAAACCGTAAGGAGCGATCGAATCGAGTATAATTGGTATATTCTGATCTCTGTTTTGAGACCCTATCGTCTAAGCGTGAGTCAAATCTAATGTAAACATTTGACCATCCTATACTGTACTCTAATCGATCGGACTACCGTATGATACACCATATAGTCGACGATAACGGACGGACAGAGTCGGTCCAGCTGGCTGAAGCAGCGGTCGAGGGGATTTCCGTCCGTCTGTCGCAGAGGACTGCATACAACGAGTAGAATATCGCAAAGGATACTCTTCAATCTATACTGTATCGTATAATAGCGTGGCAGCTTAGGATAGCGTATAGCAACGCTAGAAAATCATCCATTCTCGTCCAGTCTGGCTCATTCAACGATGAAATCATCTTGGCATGGCAGGAGAGAAATAATTTGGTTCGCTTTTTAATCGACTTTCATCTATTTTATCCTGGTTAATTGGTAAAATTAGTCGGTGTAGAATAAAGTAGTGAGTGGAGAAGATTGTCAAGATGCCGTTACAAACAGTTTATACGAGATTACTGGCTGATACACCGGAGGAAAGTGGATCTGAAGAAGTACCTCCACGTTATTTGAATGAATTTCATACTGTACACGAAGAAAGCAATGTCAAGAAAGGTTTGCTATTTCTTCTCTATACTAAGATAGAAATCATCTATTTGTCTATGGATATCATCCATCGATACAATTTTCTTCTTTTTTGTTAGCACGATGGAATCATATCGAGAATTTGGATGTTTTCTTTCGGAGGGTACGTCATTCGATCAGCTAATATTGTCCATGTTGTAAATGGACGGAGAGCTTGATTTTTCTTCTTTGCTTTTCGCTCAATCATCAACATCGCATGGGCATGGTATTAAACTGAGCTAGCTATCCATACTAGTGGAAACGATGATGATGATGATAGCTCGATGGAGATAGATACTGTTTATTTTCATCCTATCCAACCTTGAAGTGTGCCTTGAAAAGAGTCTTTTCAAGTTAAATCGTCTTGCAGTAAGGTGTATTCGATAACATCAATTCCATTCTATCCTACCCATGTCCTAGATCAACAGGATCCACTTCCATACCAAAACAATCTATCCATGGCACAGATAGACACTGTTGAGTTCTATCCCATCCAATCTTGAAATGTGTCTTCAAATAGTCCTTTTAACTTCAATGGTCTTATAGTAAAATATATTCAACATAATTCTAACCTATCCATTTGTCGGATCAACAGTATCCTCTTCAATACGAATGCGATCCATCTATGTTGACTGTAGTCAATCGCATCGTATTTTATGGGATGATCATGGAGCTATCCCGAATTATTTCAACAACGATAGTTCAAAGACCATAGTAAAATATATTCGACAAGATCCATTCGATTCTATCCTATCCATTTCTTAGATCAACAGTATCTTCTTCAATACTAATGCGATCCATCTATGTTGACTGTAGTCAATCGGATCGCATTTTATGGGATGATCACGGAGCTATCCAGAATTATTTCTACAACGATAGTTCAAAGACCATCTAACTGTCGATTCACATTATATCCAAGCTTTTAAGCTTAGGTTGAAATAGGCAAAAACCCTTCTATATGCCCATATGGAGCAGTCACGGACTCGTCTATTCGACAATACGAGGCTACAAAGTAAATTTCAACCATCCTATCCTACTAGTACAAGTAAGCCATCTCCTCGATGAGTATTGCTTTTTCCAGGAAAGCAATCATATAACTTATCTAGCCTTATAGCGTATGTCGAAATAATCTCCGATCACCTTACAGTAATGCTTGTTCAGTATACTACGCGAGAAGAGGACTTCAAAGAGTCATGTCCTAACAGTATCCAATCTCCTCCATCAATAATGTCTTCAATAGCAAAGCAATCCATGAATGTACCATAGCTCATCTTTACAATAATAGCAGTAAAGTAAAGTAACAATATTTCTTAACTACAGTTTTATACTGTTGATCATTATCGTTCAATAGAAGAGAATTTAAAGAAAGAAATCAATTTCTTCATGATAACTCAATTGATGTCTTATTTATTTTTCTCCCAACAATATTCTATAGGTTTATAAATATTACATTAATCATGGCCTTACCTATATGATTCTCAATTACGTTTTTGAATTAATGTAAGTATTCTGTTATGGTTAAAACTTTTTTGAAATAATCTTGATAGCGATAATTATTGATGGAACAAAATGAAGCTCTGAAAAATAGTCGGCCTAAAAACCAATTAAGCACTGTAAAATCAATCGAATTGAAGCGTCGACTAGTCTTTCATGGTCTAGGGCTAGTATTAGTTGACAACAGTAATCAATCATTATTTTCGCTTACAAGAAACACGACAAAGCGAAGAACTTAATGACAATATAAAATATTGCTTTCGTTTTGTAATTGCTTGTTGTCATCACAATAAGAGAGTTTATTCCTCACTACTCTACTTATCGATTTATTTGATGGATGCATGTACAGTAGTACTGGATGTAATGCAAGAAAAGGAAGGATATTATAGATAATAATGTCCACTTCCTCCTCCTTGAATCGCTTCATTTTTCTATCAATATCATCGGCTGGATGCCCAAAAGAGAATAGCTAGTTTACATACGAGCGATAGTAACCTCTTGACTTTAATAAAAGCTTGTCTTGGTAGACTAAAAAATGCTTACCACAACGATTCTATTTTTCTCTAGGCAATTTCTCTTTATAATCCTCTTTACAACTTTCTTGATAACTTGTGTCGATTATCCTGTCTTATTTGGCGATAAACTACCATCCGGACATACTGGTGATTCTCATAAAGTCACTATTCCTGATGCTGTTAGACCCCTTGGACAATGTGTTAATAGGTATGGTATCCTTTGCTCATCCTTTCTAGGCTAAAGTGATGTTATCTTTTAAAAATCATAGTATAGGAATATCGTGCTCGAATGATTGATACTTGAAATAATGCTAGCTTACTACGAGTATTTACATTATTCAAGCACAAATTATTTTTGACAACATCATAATATGTTATGCAACAATAGAAAGCACCCTATGTGTACTCTTTATTGTAATAAGTAAACTTGAATTTATAGCGAATATATCACGGACTGATTTCTAGATGAATCAATTTGGAAATGCATTGATTAAATATACATTTCATTTACAGATTTACAACTTCAATCATTTGTTTTTTGGTAATTGCTTTTACTTCTTGGGCAATGCGTCTCATTAGAATTATATGGAATCTATCGCATTTCATTGAGATCAAATCATTCTACTCAGAAGCACTAAAAATATCAACGGTACAGCAATTTTATAACAAAAATGACTAATTGCCGCGTTTCAAATTAGATCGGAATAATTTGAAAATAATAAGTTCCCTTTCATCTTTACCACAGAGTGAGTTACAAAATATAACGTGGCAAGAAGTCCAAAATAGAATGATGAAATACCAACTTGAACATCAAATGTGCATCCATAAAGAACAATTATCAGAATTAGGTAATAATATCAATATAATCTTTGCTTCGCCATAATTATCAAATCATTTTGATATTAAAATGTTATTATCTTCTAAAGATATTACCCATAGAATTTCAAGATTTACAAATTATCTTGTGGCTATGGTTAATAAAGATATTATCCCAGTAAGATTGACAGTTCCTCTTATTGGACAAAGGTTAGTATTACGCGTACTACATTCTACTTTATTAGTAAGTGATTAAATAATTGTATAAAGTCGTTAATTTCAATTCTATTAGTTTTTATTTTGATTAATGTTTGTAATGGATTTTCTATTATCGTTTACAGACTATTCTTCACCAAAGGATATTTATATAATTTGGAAGCAATTCTATTTTGTATGCGAGTGTTAAAATTATTTTCGGATTGTTGATTATCAACTTATAATCTAACACTCAAACTTTGTTATTTCTTAAACTGTATAAAAGGGGCTCCCGGCAGTCCTTTTGATAATGACTGGCACTTACGACCAGATTATAAAAAAGCAAATAAGAGGTTGGTTAGACATGTTATATAATCAAACCGAAAGGACAGCAGTTGTTAAAATATAGTAACAGTAAATGACATGGACGAAGCTTTAATAACTGCAAAAAGATATCACTATCGAACATAGCTATATGATATTGAATTGCTCTTTCAATTATATTATTGCAATAGACAAGAGCTCGCAGAACAATTGAGCACCAGGATATTTTACTTTGCTCTTTTAAATATTGTCCTCAGTCCTATAATTTTCATATGGCAAATATTATTTTCCTTTTTCTCCTATGCTGAGGTGAATTGTACAATAACTATTGAAAGAATCATTTGATTTTCTTAAGTCATGTTGAGATAATACACCAATGCTAACATCTCAATTTTCTGTTTGAACCAAGATTATACGAAGAGATCCGGGAAGATTAGGAATTCGTCGATGGTACGTGAAAATACTGTCCATTAACACTTTATCCTGACTACTGATAATCTTATGTTCGAACTTAATTTGTCTATACTGCGGCACTAATACAATCAATACCCATTAGGTCACTATATTCACGCCATTACCTGAGGCATTTTAATGAATTAGATCACGACTTAAATCTTAGGTCAGGATTTTAATTATTCATTTACAAGGGTTAACATAATGCCATAATAGAGTACTCAATAGATCTCGTTCGTCTTTCAGACTTGGTAGGGCCTACAAACCTGCGTCAAAGTATATGAATATTTTCTACTCACATTTATTAGCCCTTATTGCAAAGTAAGATGTTTTTAGTCATTAGTCATCAACATGGTATTAAAAACAAAATTGGAAGTGTTCCATACATTAATACTGTTCATAAGTTGTAACTTTACGGTAAATTACTTGTCTATTTAGAAATATCGCCTTCTTCGCTGGTGCTATGTTAGCGGTACTTTTGGCGTTAACAATCTATGACGAATTTCTGTTGACCGTAGAACATGTATTAACTGCTGTAACTGTTCTTGGTAAGTCTAAACTGTTGCACGATCATTTTAGCTTATGTTGAACCACTCTAATAAAATTATTTTGCTCTATTTTGTACTTTTGATTAGGTGTCATCATAACATCATGTCGAACATTGATCCCCAATGAGGTTCATAAATACTACTACATACCTTGTATATCTTACGGGCAGTATAATGTAACTTTAGTCTAGAAATTACTAATATCATTTACTTTTTTACGCCTACTACTTGTTAATCAATAGCAAGACGTTCAATGCCCTCATAAGGCCATGAAATCAATTTTATGTCACATCCATTATATGCCCGATGACTGGAAAACTCAAGCTCATACTGTTACCGTAAGCACTATATCTGATGTTATAATGCACAACTTATTCTATGCTTAGGCTTTTTTAGTAATCGAAAACTTCTTTAATTAACTGAAATTATCATCAAACATCTATGTTTATAGATTAGAGAAGAGTTTTCAACCCTATTCCAATATAAATTGGTAAAACGATAAAATAATATTTCAATTAAACTATTTCAAATCATTTTTATATATCAATAATTTACTTTTTTCCAAAAGTCATTCTATCTAGAGGAACTACTAAGCCCCTTAATTACGCCTTTTGTACTGCTTTATGCTCTACGAACAAAGTCATTGACTATAATAGACTTTTTTAGGCAGTTTACGATAGAAGTTGAAGGTATAGCTGAATAATACCTCTATTGTATAATTTAAAAAACATAAAATAGCTGTCTATTCTATACGGTAATATTCATAGGTGTCGGTGATGTTTGTTCTTTCGCGGAGATGGATATCAAACGACATGGAGATCCAAAGGTACTTTATTCAGCCGGCTAAATTCTACTATGAATAAATTTATGCTCGCTTTACTAAACTCTTACATCCTTTAATTAAATATTGTTATTTAATTTTTGCCTACATTAGTGGTTATCGAGTAATAATCCTGAAAGAAACCAACAATCTACCGCGCGTGATGGAAAAATGGAATTATCACTAATTAACTTTCAGGTTATATCGTAATTCTCTTTGGTCTTATTTTCTATGACAAGTTAACACTAATTTTTCAATACAGATGAAAAATCCGGAGTGGAAACCTAATCCCGAAACTAGTCAGTACATAAGTAAACTAAAGGAACAAGGTAACGATTATCTTTTACAACTATATTGTACGTCAATCTTCGATAAACTGTTACTTTACTATAAAAAATTTAAGAGCATTCACATAAGGGCCATTTCTTTCTACAGCAATATCAGAAAGTGCAAGCTTTTCTTCACAGCAACATTTACTCTCAAATTTATCGTCTTTGGTATGGTAACATACGTAAATAATGCTACTCTTTTAACTTCTCAACACTTTTTTTAGCTAATTAATTTATAATAATTATCTATGATACACAAAAGCATTTTAGTACGCTATTTAATAGCCGACCGGCTACATCTGAAGACACTACTTCTGAAGGCATAGCAACCAATATGCAATCTATGCAGTATGACTATAGGAATACAAATAGTGCAATGTTGCATCCTTCTCTTGGATTTGTGGATGGTTACGGCTTGCCACTAGACGCCACCCATCAATCATTACGTGACCATGACATTAACATGAGTACCTTGATGTTGCACGAAGTATGCTTAACAGTATTTTGGTAGTCTATCTGCTACTGTAACTCACTGTATTACACGATAGCAAGTCTTCGGTGAATCATAAAATTAAATTAATTCTCTTATTCTGTTTCAGATGCATGATCGACGAGTGAATCTATCATCATCCAACCCTACTAGTCCTAGAGATAGGTCATATCTACGTCAAATGCATCCAATGGGTCAGTCAGCACAGAATAATGGAAATAGTGAAGAGAAAGAAATAGAATCAACACCTAGCCAGAATAATTCATCCGTTCAAAATAATGAAGGATTAACCGATGGCAAACCTCCCCAGAGTTATGGTACTGCTCACATTGTATAAATTTACCTTTGAAGCAAAAGTGATTGTCATGCTATGGTATAACGAACGGTTGTTGTACGGATACAAGATAGCTGAGTTTTAATTATGAAAATTTTACGTCACATGCTTTTTGGCATTTTCTTGTTTATCTATCAAGTTAATACATTAGTTGCAATATAACATTAGGGTATTATGAGTCATCCTAAAGTATTCCTCCAGGTTTCTGAACTTGTAATCCTTAAAATGATTTATTTTGCAATAATGCATGTAGAACAATATGCAAATTTTATATAGTGCTCATACGATTAATCAATGCTGGCAATGACTTTTTATTGCATAGTATTAATTAATTATCATTTCAATTTTAAATGGAGATCTCGTGAATACATATAAACCTCACTTTTGTTTAGAATTATTGCTCCAGGCTAAGGTATTTAGATCATGATACGTTTGATAGCAGTCCCAATGTGACAGTTAACATCTGTGAATAGTTTTTCGACTTACTCTAATACTACAATCAGCCGATAATATTGTCGTTGGCAATTTTATCAATTTCTTCTACTATTACTGTGCGATATACAACATGTAAAGTAATCATATACGCATATCATTGCAAAATAGTTTGCGCAGATCATGCATGAATGATTAAAAATCTGATTTATATAATTGGCATGTACGAATGTACATATACTCGTGTATACTTATACCACTGAAAGCTTGACTTTGTTGCTTTACAAAGATATATAAAGTCTCTAAAAAAAAATTTGGTGTTTTATGCTTCTGATAAATGTATGTATTAACAAATAGTGGTTTATTAATTATACATTGTCGGCGTTGTTTCGGTTATTGGATACATATCATTTTGTGTTGCCTTATAAATCATTCTGAGTCTAATTGTTTACTCCTCAGTCAAATAATAAAGCCTAGCTGTTAGAATCAATTCAAAGTGCTTCGACGTCTAGTATCAATATTAAACGGTAACAGAAACCATTATTCACAATATTAATAAATTATAATTATTAGAGATATGCCTTAACTCTTGGCACAATAACTGACAGTAACCATAATTATAATTGATGATACTTTAGCTTGATAATAATATCTAGACATAGTTTTACACTAAATAGTACTGTACCTCAAGTATGATACAAATTAAAGTGAACAAAATTTGAAAATGGTCCATAACCGTGATGTATCGTGTTACAAATATTAAAAATGTAAAATGATATCTTAGCGAATAATACGTTTCAGTAACATGCAGTATTTAGAGGTATATAAGAACTATGATACACATCAAATACAGTAGTTTGCCTATCAAATAACTACAATTTTAGGTATGATTGTTCAGCCAACTCTGCAAAGCAGATTTCACGCGTACAAGATACTTGGCTAACAAGTGCATAAGGACCATATCAGTGATATACCCGTTTATAGAAAAATAATATCAAGAAGGTATATCGTAAAAGCTGAGATCGCTAAGAATTAAAATATGACGAGGAAGAGCACCAGGAGAAGGTGACAAAACCTTTAATATCTTTCTATTAACATCGACATCGTACCTACATTGCAACAATAGAATGAATCGTAAATAGAGATATACCACAAAATAGCTGTCTTCTAATTTATGTCTACTTACACACAAACAAAGCCAATTACGGCAGTCTGAACAATATCTTCATCCGTTGACAAAGCCGCACTAACAGCTAAAATTCTATGTATTAATGATTTCTCTAAGAAGTAGATGAAATAATGACTATCATTACATAAAGGCGATGCAGGAGTATATCATATTCGCATATGCTAATTTTGAATATGTCTTTAAATGTCTATACCAGGAACTACATTGATTAATTTCAGTGCTGCATCTTCAGGTTTCATTCCTAGAGGCAGGCATGATGTCGGAAGATTTGGGCCTAGAAGTAATTTAAGGCACAACCCGTGTAAAGTTTATTAAAGAATTTGACATACAAAGTTGACTTAAGAAACGACAATTGTAGTGTACCTCCAACTTTAAAAATTTGTATATCTGAAAAGGCAAGCTCGTAAACATGCGGAGTATATCCGCTATTATCATCACCGTAAAAATACGTCTTTATGCGTAAAGCACGAGCATTAGCACGTGTACTTTGCGCCCTTTCTATAACCTATGAAAGAAATTCAGTATTTAACAGAACAAAGTTTACCTAAGGTTCAAGTAAATGAATTACCGGTATATATGATTTATTAAATCTAATACACATACTCCGCCAGATTTTGGGGCTAAGACAATTTCCGCATTGCTACCAAAGTGAATCATTAAATCGTTATATAAACGTTCATTGTCCAGAACGATAATTTGATCGACTAAAACGTAGCAAAAACAGAAGGAAATTATCATCAGGATAACCTTTAGTAGTTTATATCTAAGCTAAATCAATTCAATATCTAGCAATATTAAATTTACAGCAGCTACCTTTAAATGTTTCGGCTGCATCCACAATTATCTTATATCCAACATCGGTTATCCAGCCACATGTATTAATTATACAGCCGTTGTGGCACCCTAAAAATTTCATGATAACCCGTTAAGTCATAACTGTTAAAAACTGCTAAAGTGGGGCTTTTCATAACATCTCCGTACTTGAAGGTAAATTAGCCCAATATTTTCGCAAAGAATCTGCAAGTCGTGATACCAACGTCATGTATAACTTTACATTAGTTGAAGGGGTATTACTACCATAATGGAAAACTAATGATGGGTAATCATCCAGCCCTAACAATTATGTAGCAATCAAAAATATTTATCAACATGCTGTATAAAAAGGTGCGCAACCTCACAAATCTTTACCATCTGATACGGTAATGGTCCTATTGATATGTAACGCACCTATAATTAGGCAAAAAGTAAAAAGTAGTGCAGTGTTATTAACGCTAGATTGAAAAGCAATTTTGAATAATGTTCCTAAAAATTAAACAACTTACCAATCGTGCCAGGAATTGAAACAATACCCTAAATATAGTCAAGAAATGCACAGCATATAGATAATATAGTATCTAAACCGATAACATTAAGAGATCTTATACCTGTCCAACGTCTAAATCTATGAATGTCGGTAATCGTCCCAATCGAACGGCGTAATTAAGTAGTAAACGACATAGAGTTGACTTTCCTACGTCAGTAGGACCAATGACCATAGTCTTTAAATTATAATATCCATTTTAATTAGTTAGCAAATTGTGTCGTACGATGGCCCATTCTACTTTATCATCGGACTAAATCTTCGAAATTCTATAAAGCATTCTTATAGTATCGATATCGTATTATGAATTCACGACACGATAACAGCTTGATCCAGAGTAGGCATAATTCAATCCTTTACCGTATAACTAAGATATACTGTATATTGCTGCTCGATTATCAAAGTAACTCTTACAAAAAAATTGTAATGCACTTGAACCTGCTATACAGCAACTATGTAATATAAATATAACAACAATTCAATCCTTTTACTGTGTCACTAATGTTGATTCTATTAAATTGTCAAGTTGCCTAAAGTACAATTGACGTCAAATTACCACTGGTCCATCAGTATTGTTCTCGACTGCCTTGCATCGACGTTGTTCCAATGCTTCATGTAAATTAACATAGAATTGCATAGGAGTCTTATCCGAAACGTACGCATAAACAGATTCAGGAATAATCTACACAAAGATCATTGCTTAATAAATATTAATCAATGACAGGATGTATTTTAAACTTTAACCGACGCAGTTCTATCCTTTCATTGAATAATTAGTTTGGCAATTTATACTACATTACACGTAAGACTCGATTTCTTCTTGTATTACAGGCACTAGTGCGCTATTGATAAATATACTCTTCAATCTTACTCAATCAATAGTTGTACCGTATACGAGTATGTGACTTTTTTACATACCGATACAGATGTTAGATGAAGATTATGTATGTAATATCATACCAACACTCATTTAATCTTACTTTAATAGTACAGCCATGCCAAGTGAATACTGCACATGTAGTCCGTTTCCTCATATCCACAACTTTATCGCTGACCAATTCACAACCAAATATTTCTGCTTTTCCTTGCAGAAGCTGAATTAGAATATGTCATCATTATCAGTAATATACGTGTATGTGATGTTGTAATGTACATAACAAGGTTGACATGATTTGCATCATTATGGACTGTAAGTTGTCATTGGAAATGTTGGATAGTCATGCGTCTGGAGCTATGCCATATATAGCATATATCACTCTATTGATGTACAGTATATTGAATGCCACAAATACAATTAAGACCAAGAATGTACTGCATGTTATGGATCGGTAGAACTTACAATAACTTTAGCATCGCTAACACTTCGAACTTCAATTCTTAACTCTGTCTCAGCTTCCAATTTATACTCTTTCCCAGGTAGACTTGCTACAGCTCGAGCTTTGATCTGATACCATAAAAGTCAATTTAGCATTTTCTTATCATTAAGGAAACTTTGTACAATTCGATACCTTGTCATCGTTCTACCTTACTCAAAGTGAATGTAGCAGTTGAGCACATTACTGCAACTACGGTAGGACATCATTTCAAGCTACTGTTGTGCACTTTTGCAGTGCACAACAGTACTTTGACTCCAACTTACCCGCTGTTCAACAAGACCATCCTCATCTTCATTAGAACGAGTAACATCGACACCGGTGGAGGCCATTTCTATACAAGATTTTAGTCAGGGCTCGTTTAAAACAAGTTGAATAACTGACTAACCAAGTGAACCAAGTGATTATTTTTATTTATTTCCAATCGGAATTTTCAATTTTAGCCTACAGCATTTATAATTGTGAAAGTAAGGTCAGCTTGAGACTGGTGCAGCTGCAGTCTCAGGTCTGTGTACTGTAGCTTGATGTCTTTGCAGTACAGTACAGTACGGTACCGTACAGTACCTATCCCGCTCCGATTGTACCGTATAGTACAGTACAGTACTGTACTGTACTGTAGGTGACTTTACGGTGTACAGTACTGTACTGTACGTACAGTACTGTAGGTGACTTTATGGTGTACAGTACTGTACTGTACTGTACTGTAAAATACTGTACACTGTACACTGTACAGTATGCAACATGTGAGGCATTAGCTACTGTACTGTATGAGCAAAATTGGAGTGATGGCGTACAATATCCGAAAACATCATTTGCAGAAAGTACCATTATTTTATAGATGAAAGTGAATTCTGCCACTAAACTAGGGCAAAGCTGGATTCGATTGAACTTGTCTGTTTTTGGGACTGATCGTTGTTGGCAATTGAACATTCAATTTTGAAAGTGATGCACTCTTTGATTTGCAGTCGTTGCAAAGACTTTCTGCTACGCACTCATGATTTGCAGTCATTGCAAAGACTTTCTGCTACGCACTCATGATTTGTAGTCGTTGCAAAGACTTTCTTCTACGCACTCATGATTTGCAGTCGTTGCAAAGACTTTCTTCTACGCACTCATGATTTGCAGTCGTTGCAAAGACTTTCTTCTACGCACTCATGATTTGCAGTCGTTGCAAAGACTTTCTTCTACGCATACGCCATTTGTAGTACGCAGAGACTTTCTGCTACGCAAACATGATTTGTAGTACACAGGCACTTTACTACCAAACCTTCGACAGGTGTAACTGTGTACAGTTCAGTACGTATACAGTACAGTAGAGTCTTAGACTGGGACTGCTGGTGATCATTGTACAGTATATCTTGTACAGTATGTACTGTACTGCATGTACTGTACACTGTACGCTTGGACAGCACAGTGTACAGTCTCTATACACTGTACGCTACCGTCTGTTATTCCAGTTTGACAGTGGACTGTAGCAGACAACGCAAGTCTCTTGCAGACAAACTTTGAAATAAGAAAGAAGACTAAAACTAGCATCCAAGACATCGCAATCCAACTGTTCCAAAAAAAAGCGTGAAGATGTATCAGGTTTGTCACCAATAATATGGTTATTGATGTTACTAGAATATACAAGTACACCAGAAGTGATAGGTCGTACTATTTCATCATAATCGAAGAATAGACTTAACACGCTACAGCAAAAAAATCCATCGCTACATCGGATTGAAATTGGATCATCAAAATGGCCAATGGAGGTTGCGATGCAATGCGCTACCATAGGGTTGTGCTTAGTACAACGGTACATACATCCAGTCCAACACTAGAGAAAGTGTTGCTTCCATCAGTAGCTATACCAAATTGACCATAACATACAGATGAATAGTGTGGCAAATAGTTCCAACTATTCCATTCGATTCAATGCTTCAATCAGACAACTGGGTAAAAAAGGACATAGTTCAAAATGGCACTCATGGATGCCATCAACTGCAGTCACCACTTGATGTGGCCTTTTTGGGGGAAATGTTCTTTTTACATCAATAATCCTTAACGGTGATAGACTGGATAGTAAATACTGTACTGCCCATACTGTATCGTACCAAAGCGGTAGCCAAGAGGACATAGTCTAGGTGTAGACTACAGTACAAGCTTCATCATCAACACGCACTGCGCCGACGGGCAGAGTACAAGTTCGGTGTTTCGCTACTTGATTTCAACTTGTCAAACGATTCTACAGTAAGCAGAGCAATGCTTTCCTCCATGTTTTCATATACAACTAGGAATATCCTACATAGTACATTCACCTAATCTCTTCCACCGATAAAATATCTCTTTCAAGCTAGCTGTTGTTGGTTCTAGCTTGAACATTTCGTTCATCATTGTTTTTATAGCTCTAAAATGTTTGTCAACTACAGTAAAATGCTCTCGCTGAATGGACTTGTACAAAATTTCTTGTTCAACATGGCTAATTTTCTTACTTAATTCATCGATATCAAACACAATATTCTAACTAGTATACCTTGGCATAGAAAAAATAATTTACTAATCGTTCTAAGATCGGTTATCTACGAGTAAGTACAATAAATCAACAATAAAAGTTTTTAAATCCCGTAGAAAAAACAGATTGAATAGAGTGGATAGTTTACACTAGTCAATATTGCACACCAACTACATATTCTATTCGACATCGTACGTAGAGAAAAAATTATCAACTATAAATAATCTCAATGCTTTGTACAACTACAAGCACATCTTTAGTATACTGTACAGTACACATAAAAATGGACGATTGAAGAATTGTAGCAAAATTGGAGAATTCGTAAAAATCAGATTGATTTCTTCCTTCAATTTTATCCCTTGACTAATATGTCTATATATATATGGCCATCTTCTAGCGCTTTCCATTACCTCACATGGTGCAGCAGCCTGCTATTTCTCAATCACCGCAACAACAGTCAATGTTGCAAGCACACCAACAACAGTCACAGCCTAGGCAACAAGCAACAGAAATGGAAAAAATCTACTCCTTGGTACAGGATCTATCCAATCCAGCCAGTTCAGAAGCTAGACAAGAAGCCTTACTAGAGCTAAGGTGAATAATATAAATTATTTATCCTTTCTCACCAACGTTACAATCCAATCATACAGTACATGTATCAGAACTACCAATAATGTGATCCTTTGATACTTTTCAAATACTTAGTAAAGGACGTGAAAGTGTACAAAATCTTGCTCCACTGATATGGCATTCTTTTGGTAAATTGGATATTGATATAGTCTTTTTCTTTCCGCTTCGTAAAACATGCCTTACTGAATACGTTATTCTATTCTATTCTACATAATTATAGGAACTGTGGCTGCTTTGGTGCAAGAAGTAGTTGATATTTATCCATACGTTAATCCACCAACTCTAACAGTAAGTTGAGTCTTGAATTGCTTAAACTTAATTTAATATCAGATAAGATACATTAACTTAATCGTCATTTTTGATATAAAATTGTGCAATGTTTCTTGCGATTCAGGCTGCACAGTCCAACCGCGTTTGCAATGCATTAGCTCTTCTTCAGTGTATCGCTTCACATCCTGAAACAAGATCGCTATTTTTAGAAGGTTCGTAGGCAATGTTATTATCGTAACCTTCGCAACAATTAATTCTAAAACGTCCAAATAATGAAAAGCTTTGTTTCTCCACACAGCACATATTCCGCTCTTCCTGTATCCCTTCCTCCATACCACAACTAAATCAAGGCCCTTTGAGTACTTACGTTTGACCAGCTTAGGTGTCATCGGTGCATTAGTTAAGGTAACATACTTATTGCTGTTGCTTATAAAATCGATCGCCTGGCATAGGGTGAGATGAATGTTGGTTGATTCTGATACTATCACCAAAATGTTGTTTTTTTTTTGGATACCCTACCTAAAATTAATCAACAGACTGATGACTCTGACGTAACCAGTTTTCTACTATCCACTGAAATTGTTCCCTTATGCCTACGAATAATGGAAATTGGAAGTGAACTGTCAAAAACTGTAGCAACCTTCATCCTTCAGAAAATTCTTGTCGACCCTATCGGCTTGGCTTATATCTGTCACACATATGAACGCTTTTCGCATGTGGCCATGATTTTAGTAAGATTATTTGTCTATCAATTATTATAAGAAAACAATTTTGGGACAGTAATTTATTACCATCCATTGTAATTGTATTTACTATGGAATACTTGATTAAATCAACTTTTTAATGAAGTATTATTATAAATTAGAGTAAAATGGTGTCAGCTCTTGGCAAAGAACCATCAGCTCGATTGCTCAAGCATGTTGTTCGATGTTACTTGTGCTTATCGGAGAATTCTAGGTAAGCTTGAATTCTTGCTTGCTTTTGATATTAAAATTAGCCAACCTAAAATATTCATAGCTAATGCTTGGATACTTTTGTCAACAGAGCTAAAGAAGCCCTGAGGCAATGCTTACCAGAGCAACTCAGAGATAATACTTTCGCTATGTTCTTAAAAGAAGACAACTCAACAAAGCGTTGGCTATCTTCATTATTGAAAAATTTAAACTTACCTGATCCTGGATTAAACGAACCCCGCAATCTAGTAATGTCGTGATAATCTTACATCGATTAGCTCCCATAAAACGTTACCACGTCTCATTCATCCAGTTCTTGCGGTGACTTTCTCCCTTGCCATCATAAATATAGTCATTTTTATCCTTAACAATGTTGTAGTGCTCTTCAAATATATTTCGAATCCAGTGTAAGATATTCATAATACAAACTGTGTACATATCTATATCATACTGTAATTTACTGTAAAAGTATAGAGTGTACATTTGCTAAAAGCTATTTTTGAAATCTTGTATTTGATTTAAAGATAGTCTATGGTGCCATTTGTAAATTTTATTTCTACTGCATTTGCTTTTGCATGGAATAGTGTTAATAGATAATTTGCATTATTATAGTGGAGCGATTTTATTATGTAGACTGAAAGATAGCATTTAATTTGATAGTGAGTGAAATTTTATTACTGGTGTATCTATACAATCTGAAACTGCAGAGTGTCAATTATGACTGAAAAGTTACATAAATAACTGACAAGGGTAATAATATACAATTAAAATCGTCAGTACAGATAATATGCAAAGATAGTGCTATGCTCGAGATGATATTTGTGCATCTCATGTCAAATGACGCGCTTGACTAATTTTGTAGTACCTAATAAATACGTATATTCTTTCTCCTTGTCTAATGTTTACTTTATATTTTACAATTCAAACTTACGATACTTGGCTACCATGCAAATATTTTGTTATAAGATGCAGAAATCGTAAAGAAACAAATAATTTTTATAAATTGAACAACAAATATCTAGAGTGTCGAAGAGTTGTAGTAACAAGCTATTGCTTAAACACTTTTAATAGCATGATTCGTATCACATCTATCATAATGCATTCCCCAATTCGGATAGATTTTTCAGAAGTGGTAAATTATCTCGACGACTTCATTAAAGCCGTCAAAGAAATTACAGCACCTAAAAATGGTGAAAGCAACAGGATATACCGCGTTAAAAATAAGCCGCTAGAGCTAGACCCTAATATACATGGAGTTACTACAGCGTTACGACTAAAATTGAAGATAAAAGTTATTGACTAATAATAAAATAGCTGGATAAGAATAAATCAACCGTTTTTAAATAATATTTTCCACAATTTTCCATCTTTCATTCGTGTTGCAATATTCAAAGCCGTTACATTTGTCCAATTTTTTGCGTTAACATCACAACCTAAATTATAATTACGAAAATAAGTTCAAATGAATACCGAACCATAATTGTACTACATCATGATGATCCATTTAAGATTTTTTTACCCTTGATTTTTACAGGAATACGCCTATTTTCGTAGCTAATACCAGAAGAATAACAACTATAGTCTAATTGTTATAATTAACTTTATATCTATGTTGCTAGTTAGCCAAATTTTGTACAATATAAAACCGCGATGATTTGTTCAAAACATGCGATTTCTATTTCAGATTTGGTGTCCTTTCATTCATTTTTTAAAGGTTAAAACTCCATCTACCTACAGACTGTACCGCATCACTTTACCTTCCATAATTAGCAATTCAACAGTCCTATATTTTCGCGTGAGATTGGTCGCATAAGCTGCACAAGCCAGCATTAAACACGTATCTCCTAAAGCAGTCTTTGCTGTAACTTGTCCTTGGCACTCTCTTATTAAATATTGAATTGCTATGACGTCGTGCTTAGTGCATAACCACTACATGTATAAAAAAAGAGTAAGTCTAATCATCACGCAATGGAATGGTATCCATTATCCAATGCAATCGTATATAGCCACCTACTTGAAAAATAGACAATCCGTATGGACTCATTTCCTTGTTCACGTCGATCGATTGCTCTTTAATTACACGTAAAAACTCTGATCTCTCACTTTGATAAACAGTCTAAAAAGGATTTTAAAGAGTAAGCAGAAAATGATGTCTACTTAATCAACAAGGTATTCAATAATAACCATCTTGATTCCTACCATTAATTGGTGAAAGGTATTATTTGCATCCTTTGAATGATTGGCCGTATTACCTATGACTTTATTCAATATATTAGTATTGTAAGTAAAAAGAAAACTAAAGTGGCCATCATTAGGAGAATATATTTCAATCTATCTACTTTCAAGTTGAATTCACCAGTAACGTCAGAGAAAACATGAAGTAAATTCAATTTTAATTCTATCGTAGGTAAAAGAAAACTAGTGTAACCACAACTAAGATATTTTAAACTACTTTTCTTGGTTTCAAATTCTTTTCATGAACACAACCCCAGGAATGAAGTAACATCACAATTACTGTACAAAAATATTCATGACGTATACAGCCTATCCTCCAAGGAAGGCAATAAATAATACACTTTTCCGTAGCTGCAATCCCATCAACTGATTGAACTCTATACCATCCATACCTTGCTGAACTGCATCTATGCATTCGTATATCATTGCAATCATTAAAATGGCCAAAAAATAAGATATTCCAATGGTCACTATCCAAGCTAATGCCCGTATTACAAGTGCTTCTCCTAAGAACTCGGAATACATCATAATCAATGTATCCCTTGACAACACAGGTATACTGTAAATAGCCAATACAAAATAGAACCAATTCAATGCTCAATATTAGCATAAAACCAAAGTATCCATTTCCAAATCTCACTGAGGTCCATAGGCCTCTCTTGAGCCAAAATGTCTTTCTAACCTAAAAGAAGAGACTGGTAGATGACGCCTGCTGATATGGTCATATCTACTGCGCACGACTCGTGCGTTGACTTGACAAGAACGCGTGTCACAGAGATAAAAAGAACCTGACGCGTCGTCATGCCGCCGATCGCAGCAATCTCCTACAAATCATCATCGCAGAGGGATTACATGGACAGTATTCATTCATTATATACAGTACAGTACATAAACTATCACTAGTAAGGCAGCAAAAATAGACAGTAAAATTCGCTATTGAAGGTCCAATAGAATTAGAATCAATTTTACTGCCTAGGGATTGTCCTAACATCGCCTGTCTTGTAAACTACTCTGCTTATTACCTTGCAGTGTACGCGCCGCCATACAACGTGGGGAATCCTAGATATCGTACAATACTATTTACGGCTTATCTACTGGTACTAGATTAAGATCACATGCTACAAATGTTTACGTGCATTAGGATAGGGTATTAAAGTTATGTTCGTACTAGAGCTGATTCATTGTTACAGTTCTAATGTCTCGTTAACGTGTGTATGATATCGCGCTTGGCATGGCCTTCCAAATAAAGTAGACTAAGGAAAGGAAAGCTCAAATTCTTGATCTCGTTCCAGGGATTACACGTATACTCGTATTAATTATTATACAGTATATAGTACAGTACATAAACTATCGCTAGTAAGGCAGCAAAATAGACAGTAAAATTCGCTATTGAAGGTCCAATAGAATTACAGTAGAACAAATTTTACTGCCTAGGGATTACACGTATACTCGTATTAAACATAAACTATCACAAGTAAGGCAGCAAAATAGACAGTAAAATTCGCTATTGAAGGTCCAATAGAATTACAGTAGAACAAATTTTACTGCCTAGGGATTACACGTATACTCGTATATAACATAAACTATCACAAGTAAGGCAGCAAAATAGACAGTAAAATTCGCTATTGAAGGTCCAATAGAATTACAGTAGAACAAATTTTACTGCCTAGGGATTACACGTATACTCGTATATAACAT